AATATCACAATATTTAGTTTCTCTAGTTTGCATACATGTTGGAAAGGACAAAATGCACTAGCAAAACAGCAGCTCGACATTTAATAAGGCTGTAGAAGTCGGTACCATGATTTCTACTTTCATATTTGCAAAAATGAACTATTTAAGAAGTAACAAGAGGACAAATATAACAATTGGTAGAAGTAAATGTATTAAATAAAATAATGGCCTAATGGGCTGACATCCAATCAGCTACTTGTTACTGTGCAGTTTTTTGTAGCTACTATACACTGGTGGCTCTTTCTGTAGTTACTCTAAATCTGTTCATGCAGCTGTTCAGTGTTCTAGAATAACTGATGATACCCAAGGTATAAAAAAGCATGTTATGTATTGTAATTCATCATAATGAAAGCCTGTCATCCACACCTGTTGTCATGTCAATTGTCAGATATGATTCAAGTCTCAATTGTCATATTTCTTAAACTCAAAAAGTAGATACTGATGAAGTTATAAATAACAAAAATATTGGAAGATGGGGATTGAGCTTCCTAAAATTCCTAAATTCTTGGGTCTTGATTTAGTTGGTTTCTGATGATTGGCTCTTATTTTTCTTCATTTTCCTGGATTCATGTCATAAAAGGTTTTATTGTATTGTGTTATCATCATGCTGTAGATTTGGATGTTGTTATATTAACTGTGATGGAGTTTTGTGTCCACATTTATAAATGGATATTATATTGGTGTAAAAGTGGTGAGCAGGTCAGAGCTGGTCAGAGATGTCTGTTTGTTATGTAAAACAAGCCTCTGAATATCGGTGCCATGTCTGTAGGGTTTTAGCCAGTACCAGAAATATACGCTGGGCCACTAGTATATTGATAGGGTCTTTATGATTTTCATAGTAATTACCAAATAATTAATGGTGGGGACTGAATAATAAGCCCTAAGATTTATAAGTGAGTAATAACCCTTTAATTTACAGGGCTAAACAGCTTGGTCATGTGATGATACAGTACAGGAGAAAAGAAACCATGTGGACTAATACCATGTTAACAGAATTGTGTCACTAGTGTATGAGTCTCTCATTTTGCTCCCTTATTGTGACTTTAATTCCCTGTGTAATTTGTAACTGTGGTCATGCACTCATTTGTTTGCTAAAGTTGGAGCCCCAGGGCCAGGAAGCGCCGTGTTGGACTGACCCATGTGACTCAGCAGAGTGACTGTGCTCTGCTTTCTCTGGCCTGAGGCCATGCAGGGGTTAGCATGCTGCTAATTAAAGGCAGTGGAAAAGCCTCGGCACTCCGGACTCCTGCACGCTGACGTATTATAAAACATTTAGGAGAAAGCGCGGGCCAGGGATAGAGGGTGAACAGATGGGGAGACAGCAGAAAGCAAAGGGAGTTAAGTAGAGGTGACAGAGGGGCCATGCCTTGTGGCTGGGAAAAGCTGACATCACAGCATCAAAGTAAAAATAAGCAGTAGTTTTTCCTCTCTTGCTTGCTAACTTGCATTCTAGGCTGTGCTAAGGGGAAATTCCGGGGTTTAGTAGTCTGCAGGAGGTATTTGCAGGATGGAACTTTGATCTGTAGAGGTTATTATGTGCTGTGTAAAGCCACTCGCCTAGGAAGGGTCAAAGACACTGCAGAATTATTGAACAGGCCATGGGGGTCACGGAGTCAAGAGATGAGCAGCAGGTTAACATATGCATCAGAGGTGCTTCACTGAAGATAGATGTTTCAAAATGGGCCTACATGTTGTCTGGGGATTCCTGTTTCTTTAATGTACCTCAGACTTTCATCAGCCTCTCATTGTGTAATCTTTTCAGCCTCTGATTTTGTTGCTGTCTGGAGGATGAATGCTGCAAATGAGATTCCCCTCTTTCAAGACTCTCACTGATGTTTTTTATTAGGACCCCATTGTCACTGAGGACTGCATCCATTTATTATTTGTTAATTATGCTTAGTGTATTACTGCTGTTAAGCACATGCAGTGATTACTAAGCTCTTTTTCACACTTTATATAAATATATTTTGAAAAAATATATTTTTAAATTAGTTTAATTTTTCTTCAGGCCACTTCATGACCAGTCATTCGATTTGAAACTGGACACCCAATTTGCATGTGACCTAAATTCAACCAAACATTCATTATGCAAATGAAGCCCAATAAATATACATATCTCCCTTCCAGTTGCCCAAAATCTCACCATGTGGCTCAAAATTCATACGCACGGATTCACAAAATGGGTCATCTCTGCTGCTGCTGCGGTGGCACCCCAAGTCAGTGTAACAAACTGCTTCTGCCAGGCGTCTGTTCTGCATTTTTATGTAATGGAGCTGCGAGTGTGATACCCCATAAGGGAGGGAAAGGAAGGGAATGCAAATTAGATATCACTGTTATACAATGGATGGGCTTCCAAGATGGAGAGGAAACGAGGAGAATAATTAAATCTTGTGTTGAAATCAGGTTCCACGATGCTTATGTCCTCACATGAGCATTTATCCTCCACTTGCATGGAAAGGGTCATGAGGCTTTGTTGCCATTAATTGGCCTATGGATAAAAACAAAAACATTATTTAATGAGGCAATATTCGGCTGTACAAGTCATAGGAGGAAATGGCATGCCGCTGTTGTACTGAATGATTTTCCATTTAGTCTCAGCTTTAGTGCTCATCCATTCAGAAATCAATAGGTTATACCTAAAGGCTTTAGCTAGGAAAGCATTCCATGTTGTGTATATAGCAGTGGCCTTCTCTAGGGAAGCCTGTGACTGAGGACCGGGTCCAGGGTAAATCAAACCCAAGCCAAAGGCACAGCCAGAGCTCTAAAGCAGACCACTATTAAACCCAAAACACACAGAGGCTTTATCCTTATGAGGCAGGCAGCCCTTCACCCAGAGCCTCTTTAAAGCCTCTAATGCTCTATAATACAGTCATAGCATTACAAAACCTTTTATAAGCAGACTTATAAAAAGTAATGCCTTATTGTCCACATACAGTGTTTGGTTTTTCTTCATTTTATAAGACACCAAGGTCTCATGAATGGTAAATTGCAACTGTGAAGTTTTATGAAAAATTTTATAGTGTAATATTGGCAGATGGTTATCTAAAAATCACAATTTGCTATTAGGATTTAATCAGTATTTTGAGAAGGCAGTAATCAGACCATATTCTGAACAAGCAGGCACTACTTGAGGTAATTTGCATTTTGAGGTGAGGGCATTTTCATATTCATGCAAAGTGAAAGAAACTCAATCACACTCACTTGTACTTGAAAGTTATAGCATAGTATGAACATAAGTATAGATGTGAATATATTAATTATTGTCATTGATTTATTGTCCAGAATTTTATCATATAGGGGCACACATCTAGTTTTGCAATTCTTCTTCAAATGCAGTATGATTGCAGTATGATATGATTCCGATATCATTGTGCAACTGCCTGGAAGTGTTTTTTATTTTAATGTCACATGTATAGTGTAAGTACGTCATTTAACACAATGGACTTATTGTGAATAAATGCATGTTTATTCATTCGTTCATTAACATTTTCTCACTTTCTCTATATTTGACAGGCCTAAATGCCCTCCAAACCATTTTGCTTGCATTTTGTCCGTCATAGTGCTTAATACCCAAACTTGACCAACAGCTGCCACTGTTATAGGCTCAACTTTGCCACAAGGACCTTACAGACCCCTAATTGGCAGGTGAATTGCTGAGCAACAGTGGAAATGGATGGTATTGTCCTTCCTGTCCAAAGAGCAGCTTAAATATTGCTATTGAGGAGCAATACATTAGCTAGGATCTTCTACACTGTCAGAAAAAGGGGACAGTACGGGTACAGTTTTATTCATCAGGTACAACCCATGTAAATGTAGCCTCAAAGTTACAGCAGTGGTACCTGAAATATGTTATTCCCCAGGGAAAGGTACATATTTATACCTTTTCATAACCTAACATTTTAAAATAGAAAATAAAGTAAAAAGTCTGGAGTCAAGACAGGGTCAATTGAGTCAGTGTAACTTAAATAACAGAGCTTCAATAGAAAAACAGTTATATATTACATTCCCTAACCGAAGGCTCTGAAGATGTACCCTTGAGGGCACCACCCCGGTGACAGTTTAATACCTTTTTTGAGAGTGCACACTACAAAATAGTGATTTAACTGAGTGTTTTCATGTCTATGTGTCTTACAATCATTTTTAACCACAGAATGTCTTGGCAAGCTTAGATATACATGGATTCTTGGATGATAAAAAAATGATCAGTTAGAAGTAAAGGTAGCATTTAGAGGCTGAGTAAGAATTAAAAACAGCAAATATCAAGTTTATTTTATTTAAACAAAGCAGTTTATGGCACACTCAGTGTGATTTGGGGATGGGGTTGGAAAGCAGTTTGGTGCTGGAAGGCATCATTACTCTCCAACTAGTGGCATTGATAAACCATGTGGCAGCTCATATTAACTGTAGCTACATGAGCTTATACCACAATTCCCAGTGCAACAGATTCAGTCCTGCGTGTGTGTGTGCAAGTGCGCGTGTGTGTGTTTGGCTAATTTGTAAGTATACTCATTAATCTCTTTAGATTACTTTGCTGTGCAGGGTGTTGACTCTCACATCTCTCCTTCTTCCTACATCCCTCCTCCTGCAATCTGCACACCTCTCTCTCGCTCTCTCTCTTCTCTCTCTTCTCTCTCTCTCTCTCTCTCTCTCTCTCTCTCTCTCTCTCTCTCTCTCTCTCTCTCTCTATCTGACTCTCTGTCTCTCTCGCCTTCTCTTCTCCCCCTCTCCCTCCCATTCTCACGCTGGTAAAAATATCTGCAGACAGCAGGAACACAGCAGGCAAGGGTGCCTCTCTCTCTCTCTCTCTCGCTCCCTCTCCCTTTCCCTCTCTCCCTCTCGCTCTCTCCCTCTCTCTCAGACATCCCACCCATGTGATCTCCTAGGCAGGCTGTTCTCAGTCTCCAGCCCTCAGCTGGCTGCACCTAATGAGTCTTTGTGTGGCTAGAACGAATGAGGGAGAGAGAGAGAGAGAAGCAGGGGAGAGAAATAGACTCTCTGGTCTGTTTTTTTTCTGAGGCGAATGGTAAGAACAGTAAAGACTGGGCTGCTGAATTCACAGGTTTCTCTCCTGCACGCTCTTCTGCCTCCATCTCTCTCTCTCTCTTACTTTCTTGCTCCCTCACTCATTCTCTCTCTCTCTCTCTCACTCTCTTGCTCCCTCACTCATTCTCTCTCTCTCTCTCTCCCTCTTTCCCTCCCCCTTACTGCTGCTCTCTCTTTGGTGGGGGTTGCTGTATGTGTGTGTGTGCGCAAGCAGAGTGAAATGGGAGGCCTTCATTCATCACAACTCATCCAGGCGGCTCATTGAATCGGCTCATTCACTCTCCGCGGCCGGACACGGTCAGCGGAGGGCAGTAGCGTGCGGAGCGTGGCAGTGGCAATGGACACAGGTCAGTCGGTCCTTTAAGCCTGGCGTGGGGGCCCCCATGGCTCACTGTCGAACTGATGTGTCATTGCCTGGTTCCAGCAGGGCTTGGCTGTTTGTGGCTTTATTACTGAGGGGGATGAGGAGATGATGATGATGATGATGATGATGACGACGATGATGATGATGACATGAGCTTCTCTCACTGTTAGCCTTTTTAAACTACAGGGCTGCTGCTGCTGCATTCAGGAGCATTCAGGACTTTCCATAGCACAGGCATTGTGGCGGTGCTGTGTTGAAGGCATCTATACAGCGATAACTCAATGTGCAGAGTTCGAGTGCATGTGCATTTGCCTGTGTTTGCATGTTGCGTGGAGCTGTTCCGGGGAGTGGTTGGATTTTCTGTGCCGGGCTTTCACTGCAGAAAGGTTCAGTTGCAACATGCTGCAAAAGTGTGGCTGTGGAAAACTACAGCAGCTCTAGCCTGAGAGAGACAAAGAGAGAGAGAGAGAGAGAGAAGGAGGGAGGGAGAAGGATGGAGAAGAGGAATAACTAGCTGGGAGAGTAACAGCCCTCTTTCTCTCTCTCTCTCTCTCTCTCTCTCTCTCTCTCTCTCTCTCTCTCTCTGTGTAATCTCTCTGTATCCACACTACGGCAGTCAGCTCTTGTTACCTCTGGGCTACCCATGATGTCATGCCAATTCATTGTGTCAAGAAATGAATAGTTGCTCCTCTCACTCTGGTCTCAGATGCAGCCAGAGCCAGCGCAGGCTTTCTGCCTTAACAAGGAGCTCTGCCCACTTCAACATTAGCCACTTTTCCTTTTTTATGTATTCTTTTGCCATAAGGCTGTGCTAGGCTTGAGTGGCTTATCATTAGAGGTGAACGCGTGTGGATTGTTTTATTAAGTCTTTTCATTCATCAGCGCATGTCATGCTTTTGTATTTTGTGTGAAGAAATATGGTTGTGATTAAGGAAAAAAAAAACAGTTGTGCTCTGCAAGCCTATACCAGAATAGCTGTATTTAGCCTAATAGAGAGTCTGTTGGAGCTCTTTTCTTCAGCCATGATTTTATGAATGCACTTTGATTATACATGGATGCAGCATGGTGCTTGTGTTTATTTTCGGATCTTTGGGGAGGGGGGGGGGTTGTGTGCGGTAGAAGCTGAAACACACACAAAAATAATCAAAATGACACTCTGATGTGAAATCACTATTTGTGCAAGTATATTAGAATCTCCATGGCAACCACTTTTGGTATGAAAGAGCAGTGCGGCATCCGCTGAGGGCAAAGAATGCGAATGGATTTTCAACAAGGGGGAACTAATTATGATGATTACAAGGAAATAGACTTACATTGTATCCAAAAAACTGGAAGAGCCATTTTCAATTATCTCCAACCCCCCTTCACCCCCCACCCCCCAGGCCTTGCGCAAAAAGAGTAAGACTAAATGATAGATCAAGGGAACTTTCCTTTAATGGAAGCTGAAGATGTCCTTCTGTGTATTTTTGTGATTTTTTTTTTTTATTGTATTCAGAAATGTGGCAGTGAGAGTTGGTTTATAATATGCAGGGTTGATGGTAGGTATGCTCAGAGAGGGGTGTCTAGATTAGATCAGCCTGTCTGTGGAATACAGCCTGTAAGAAAAGTGGCTTCTGTACTGTAGGGGAAAGTGCTAGACATTCCACAGCAGCGCTGTATGCTGTGGTTTGGAGATTCTCCAGCTGCTCTCTCTCTCTCTCTCTCTCTCTCTCTCTCTCTCTCTCTCTCTCTCTCTCTCTCTCTCTCTCTCTCCCCCCCTTCCTCCCTCTCTCCATCAGCACATACAGAAGAACAATAGGCTTGTGCTGAGAGTCTGCCCCAGCGCACCCCACTCTGCCTGGGCTTCTGTAATCAGCCGATAGCACGGAGAGGCTCTGAGCCTCACCACATGAAACAATACAGCAGCATATCCCTCTGAAACAAGCCAGTCGGGCTGTCTCTCGCGCCAGATCCTGGCACGCTGCTAATCTGTACTGTCTTCTTCTTTTTTTCTTCCGTTCTCCTGCAGCTTTCTCGTCGTAGTGCCTATTTTAGTTTTGGAAATGAGAGAGAGAGAGTGAGTGAGAGAGAGGTTAGCAGTCAAGGTGTTTCCAGAGCTCTGCTGCAGGTTTTGGAAATCAGCATAGGATCTGGCTCATCTACATAACAAAAGGTTTTGACAAAACGCTCTGGAGATTTCAGCCATGATTACTAATGGTGTGCTGTGAACATAATTATGAGCTGATTAATACTTGATACTTCCACTGATTTATAGGGCTTAGTAATTTCACCTCATCCATTCATCAATGCTTTTAATAAAACCCAAAATACTGTAGGGCTGATTATCGTTCTTAGATGGCCAGGACCCAGGTTTCTGGAAATGTTTTTTGCAGTATGGTGTTGTAATGTATGAAGATATTAGTTAAACATGAGGTTACTGCCTGTGCCTTTTCTGAGAAACACCTCAATTCCAGTTAGTAGGTTTTTCTTTGCAAAGTTGGCTTGCAGTCAACGTTCCAGTTTATCCCAAGTGTGTTCATTTGTGTAGAGCTCAGGCCACTGGAGTTCCTCCACACCAAACTTGTCAAACCATGTCTTTATGGACCTTGCTTTGTGCACAGGGGTACAGTCATGCTGGAACAGGAAAGGGCATTCCACAAACTGTTGCCGCAAAATTAGAGGCATTTAATATTCTAAAATGTCTTTGTATGCCGTAACATTAACAATACCCTTCATTGAAACTAAGGGGAAAAACAACCTCAGACCATTATCTCCCCTCCACCAAACTTTACTGTTGACACTTTGCATTCTGGTGTGTAGCATTTTCCTGGCATCCACTAGAGCACATTTACTCTAGTGGCATGCTTTACACCAGTCCAGCCAGCACTTGGCATTGTGCGTAGTAACGTTAGGCTTGTGTGCAGCTGCTCAGCCATAAAAACCCATTTCATGAAGCCCCTAATGCATGGTTCATGTGCAAATGTTGCTTCCAAAGCCAGTTGGGAACTCTGTAGTTAGTGATGCAATAGAAGGTCATTTTTACACTCTACATGCTTCAGCATTCAGCAGCCCTGTTCTGAGTTTACGTGGTCTGCCGCCTCATGGCTGAGTTGTTGTTGCTCCTAGAACCTTCTGTTTCACAACAGTAGTACTTACAGTTGACTGGGGCAAATCTAGCAGGGCAGAAAGTTCACAATCTGCAAAAGTGGCATTTTGTGACACTGCTCAGTTAAATTCACTGAGCTCTTTAGTACGACCCATTCTACTGTGTTTGTCTATGGAGATTGCATGGCCATGAGCTTGATTTTATACACCCGTTAGCGATGAGTGTGGCTGAAACACCTGGAGTCAATAGTTTGGAGTGTCCACATACTTTTGGCCATATAGTGTATTATCAGATACACTAGAAATATCAGCAATAGAATTTACCTACCCGTACAATGTGCACATGTACTTATAACATTGGCTGCAGTTCACCATTTACTTTAGTAATGGCACTTACACAGTCCAGACTCCAGCTGTTCTCATAATGTATACATACATTAGCTGTCTTTTAAAAGGCTTGTGTATATATTTATTCTACTTTGAAGAGTGGCTTTTTTGAGCATTTTTTCTATCCATTATTAACACCCAGACATTCCCTGTGATCTTTCTTCTGCTCTTGGTTTGTCTATGAAATGAATAGCAAAAACACAAGAAGATTTAGTGGGACTGTTTTTTTTTTTTGGTTTTTTTTTTTTTACATTTTTTAAAGACTAATTATTTGCCACAGCTTGCTGTATATTTTTTCTGTGCCTGGGGCATGTTTAAAACCCACCGCTAAGCCTTTAAGTCTTATTTTATTTCATTTTCAACCACATGCTATTGTGCTCCTGTGATTAATAAATTCTTAAAACCAATGTTTTATATTACTACATGGGGAGAAGCTATGGAAACTCGACTCGAGCGTCCATTTTTTTCTGAAGCCACTCAATCAAGGACAGACTAAGCATACTTCCAGGATTCAGAGGTAGCATTCTATTAGTAGATTTTTTTCCTTCTCTTCCATCTGAGGCCCTTTGTGGCAAGGTGATCAATTGCCCAGGGAATGTCAGGAAGGGAAGAAAAGAGGAAAAGGAGGGAAGGAGGATGTGTGTAGAGTTGCCCATTGCTAATTGAGTGCTTTGAGAATTGAAGCAGACATAAGCGGGATATTAAAGCATCTTTCTCTTTCCCTCTCACATACAGGTGTGGTTTGCTGGCAGCCATGAGTGGAATACTGAAGAGGAAGTTCGAGGAGGTGGAAGGGGCGTCGCCATGCTCGTCGCTAAGGGAGTCCGAGGAGGAGGAGATATCGAGTAGTGAGAGCGGAGACAGTAGTGACAGCGTCAACCCCTCGGCCTCTCGCTTCACACGTGAGTCATCCTCGCTGTCCTCGCACAAAAGCATGTGATATCCTGAGAAACAGCTCACCAGAAAATAGCTTACACTTTGTGCAATTACCAGTGATTCAGCATTGACGTTCAGGCAACATGGTGTTAAGACAGAATCTAACTGTATGTCTACTTTATTAATCTTCTTTAATGCCTCTTGAATATGAAAATGATTTGGTCCTGAAAAACACATACTTTCTCAATGTCTGCTTTATCAGTCATCAAGAGCAGTCTGATGGAGAGGTCCTTAAAATGCAAGGAAATCAAAGAGAAACATACATTTGCAACATTGCATTAAAGAATTGTTGTCAGATCCTTCAGCAGACTGAATTTAGTGCTGCAATTTAATATTGATTTTCATCCATGTCTGTAGTGGGCCTGCAATAGGATATCCATTATCACAATAAACTTAAACTACCACAGCTCATGAGTTGCAGCGTCAAGTGGCCGCACTCCATGCCTGCTTTTTGTTTTCTGGAATTTGACTTCATAAAACAAGAGGTACCTAAGTATTCGAGAGCATGCTGTCCTAAAAACATCAGTTATTATGATGGCGGTGAAAACATGCTCATCGAATCTGTCCTGTTAGAGAGCACTACTCTATCACATTGTATCAGATCTAAAGGGATTGTGTTGCGCTGAGTAGTTTTTGAGAGTTTTCAGCTGTTCTAACCTGTTCGTGCAATAAAAAGCCAGAGCTGTCTATCTTTTAGAGCTTCTGCAGGAAAGCCTAGGCCAATGAATCTGTGATTTCGAGCTGCAGCCGGCAAAGCTACACCGATGAATCTGTGATCCGCCCCTCACTGAGTTCAGAGAAAGAGTATGTGGGTTTCTAAGAAAAAGCCACAGCTGAGTAAACCTATCCCCCATTGCTCATTACATAGCCTAGCGCACTCACTGCTCACTGAGCTCATAGGTAGCTGCTCTCTTTGCATGGCTGACGCTAGCTAACTGCCTGACGGTGGGACTCATTAATGATTAATAACACCAAAGGCGGCTGGCAGGGCTCAGGTTGTTAGTCCAGTGCTAATAGGCTGGCAGTGCCTCACTTGTGTGCTGGTACAGAGCAGGGAGAGGAGTTCTTCCAGCAGGGAAGGAACGGGTCCCAGAGGTCTTTCCACAGCAGCTAATGCAGACAGTGAGGTCTGTGGGGAGTTGAGTATGACTTCCAGTCATGCAGGGCAGACAAGTGCAAAGCTGTGATTTTGACTGTCCTCTACCCACCATGCAATGACAGACTGTACCAGGATTGCTCTGTAAATGTTGTGTTCTTGCATTCCTGTTTTTGTTTTAGCTCCATTTCACGTTGATTGATAGGTAGTTGGTTTTGACAGTGAAGGAGTGCTGTCACAGTCAGTTACAATCAGTATCTTTAGGTGAAAACATCAGTTATGATTTTCTGTATTCACTTGAAAATACTAATGTTGAGTCTTGTTCAAAAAAGCTAGAAGACCTTTGCTTCAGGTTTGTCAATCATTCATGCAGCGCTCTACAAATCTCAAAGCCCGGACTCCTCGTCCGACCATCTGGAGTGGCACTTAATTTTAAGAGCTCCATCACACCTCCTCACTGTTTAATGCTTTGTGACGCTCTTAGCCACTTAAAGAGCCCCTCATTAAAAATGATTGGAAGTTTATATGCACCAGATATGAACTACTGTGGGAAAAAACTCTAGGTCCTCCTTTTAGAAACCCCATCCATTTCACCCCAAATTAGAAAGAAATGACAATTCTGAGGAGTATTTTAAGAGAGTGCTGATCCATAATAACCAGACATGCAGACACCCACTAATCACAGTAGTAGTGAATAAGCTCCAAACACAAAGGGCAGCTGCTCATCATTTTTGGCAGTTGAAGTGCCAAGATTATGTAAAAGATGTGTACAAGAATAACAAGTGAATTATGTAATAGTGACCCATTTTATTGCCTTCTTCACATTTACTGGGCTTATGTATTTATGAAAATCTTTAGCAGGATTTGCTCATCTAGGCTGATGCTAGAGTCCAAGATTCCCCAAGCCGTGAGAAAGTGTGAGTGCGGCGCGCTTGTGTCTGTAATGAAATGTATTGTCCTCATGCTTGTAGAGGGGGGTGCTGCAGGAACAGATGGTTTCTATTTGTCCTGTGTGTCTGACATGAGGAGAGCAGTCGGAGAGGCAGTGGGAAACTCTGCGGATATTAAGGCCAGGACGAGAGATATTTATGTTGGGTATATTTACACAGACGCCACCCTCTTCCCCTCTTTAAATGGCCAAACAGTGAGAACCACAGGCATATAGGTTCTTAAAGGAGCCAGTGGAGGTTACAGCAGGGGTGAATGGTAACGGTCTATGCTGCTGCTCAGGTGTAGGTGGTGGTTTTGATTTATGAGCTTCATTTTATGAGGTAGTCTGATAGAGGGGAAAAGTGCTGTAAGGAAAAAGACAAAGACCGAATCTGCTCACAGCTGCAAATGGATTGTTCAGGGCTCATGTCTCTCTCTGTCACTGTTCAAAATCCTATCTATATTGTAAATCTTGAGCTAAGCTAAAGCTACAATAATCCCAGCAGAACTATATTCACATTATTACAGGTGCTTAATCTAAGGTACAGAGCCAAGTTAAGTTCCAGTATACCTGTACTGTGCAAGAGTCAGAGACCACATTTTATTTATATGATTTCCATAATAATTCCATAGTAATTACCTTTCCCCTTCCTTATGCAAGTGGATGATATTCTATCTAATCTCATAAATAGCTCCTGAAAAATGAACAACTTGTATTTTTATAGTTATAGTTTTATAGTAACATATAGAGTTCATCGTTTACAGTCATTACCGTAGTACATGTCTACATGTCTGGTGTCATTATTTTATTTATAACTATTTATACACTTTGTTATTTACCATCGATGGTGCCTTGGATTGTTCTGAATCCAAGTATCACCAATTCTAAAAGAATCTTGATTTTTGAATTTAATTAGAATATATGTATCTTTTTCCCCACCAGCATCCTCCATCCTGAAGAGAGAGAAGAGGATGAGAACTCGCAGGGTGCATTTTGAGAAAGTGACGGTGTATTATTTCAGCCGGCGGCAGGGCTTCACCAGTGTGCCCAGCCAGGGTGGCAGCACCCTGGGAATGTCCAGCAGACACAGCTCTGTCAGGCAGTACACACTGGGCGAGTTTGCCAAGGAGCAGGAGCGCTTACACAGGGACATGCTGAGAGACCACCTGAAGGAGGAGAAACTCAACTCCATCAAACTCAGGGTAAGAAACATATTTTTGTCGTAAGTGAATTTCATTAATTACAAGATATGTCCAAAAAAGATACAAGAAACTGTCCAAAAATATATATCTCTAAAATGGTAACTTTTATGGAGAGGGCAAAAATGTTCTTAGTTAAGTTAATGTAAAGACATTTTGTTCCATCCCATTGTGGAGCATTTCTATTTGTCCATTCATCATACAATGTAAAGAACATCTACTATGTCAAATAAAAATCGAACGAAGTAGAGATGCATTAATTCACAACAAGCTGTTTTTGCAGTTTCATTTCTATGTATGGACCATATGGTCTGGGCAGTGAACAAAACATTTTGAAACCATAGAAACATGTACACACTACATGAAACTCTTTTATAAAAAAAAGGGAGAAAATTTATCTTATCCTGAAATAGGCTGTTTAAGATTAAGCTCCAGATTGTATATGCGGTAATCCAGTATGCTTCAATTTACCAGGCAATAACTTACCCACTGAACTGCCCTTCTTTTTTTTAGCTGACCAAGAATGGATCTGTGGAGTCAGAAGAAGCCAATGCTCTCACACTGGATGACATCTCAGATGATGACCTGGACCTAGACAACACAGAGGTGGACGAGTACTTCTTCCTCCAGCCACTGACCACCAAGAAGCGCAGAGCCTTGCTACGTGCATCTGGTGTCAAGAAGATTGATGTAGAGGAGAAGCACGAGCTGAGAGCCATCCGGGTGTCCAGAGAGGACTGTGGCTGCGACTGTAGGCTTTTCTGTGACCCAGAGACCTGCGCCTGCAGCCTGGCAGGCATCAAGTGCCAGGTAAACATGCCTGTGGGTGCTATGACAAAATTTTTCACAATACACAATATCTATCACAATATTTAGTTTTAAGGTTTAATCCGTTGAAACAGCCAAAAACGCAAAAGTAGTGCCTCATAGGCCTGTGCCCGGTTATGGTTAACCACGTTACCATGGTAACAGTCATCAGTGATGGTTAAAACCCGCTTTCTGTCAGTTTAAAAAAAATGTTCATTTATTGATTTACTTCATGCAAACCACAGCAAGACACTAGTGTTATTCTACAATAGTGACAAATTTATTATGCCTATCATAGACAGATTGTTCTGGAAATGCATGCTAGGTGTAGCAGACAGATAGCATGCCTGTAGAAAAGCCACCCAAGTAAAGGCTTACATTTTAGGGCACATTCAGACCACAGCGTCAGGTTTCACACAAAAACAGTAAAATCAGGCAAAAAAATCATGTCTTGTCTCTCTTACAGCAGGCAAAATGGGCCTTTTCAGACAAACGGCATTGGAGAAGAAGGCATCAGGCTAAGCAGCCACAAACTCTCTCACATGACATTTGTAATTCTGTTCTTCCTTACTAGATTAATTACTGTTTAATGGCCAAATCAAAGATGACAGCATATTACAGCCACAACTTTACTGAACTGTGCTTTGTAATGTTCTTACACGCTGTCACTGTACTTGCTCCTGCATCTGCTTCAGTGTAATAACGGACAAAAAGTTGAAGGGAACCGCCCCCCTCCTCTAACCATTTACTTTCCACATGGTTACCCAAAAAAGAGAACTCTTATTTGTTTGGAAAAAATACAGTAAAAAGCTATGAAAACAATGATTTTTATTCAGGGATTCATGAACGTCGCATCACGAAATCCAGAAGTTTTCTTTGTAATCAAACATGCAGTCGGTCAGTGTGCTGACGATATTCACAGTATGCGCAGAAAAGGATGTAGTGATGTAATGTGAAGTCTTTTATTGCAATAGTGATAAATGTCATCATATCACCCACCTGTACATGTTAAATTAGCAAACATTACCATGACCTTTCTGGCTACCTGCTAACCAGATTATTTAGAAGGCTCATCTTCATATCAAGACAGGATAAACAACACGCATAGTCTTTAATGTATTTACCTGTTCATCCCTTCATTCATAAGATTTTGCCCAATGAAATTCTCTCTTGCAATGATCAAGGCATGCACACCATCTGTGGTAAAGTCAAATCCAGCTTGGAAAACTCTAAATGGCAGACTGACAAGTTAAAGTGCTGATTAAGATGTTACAGAGATAATGTTTAATTGAGATATGGCCAGATAAAGTGAAGACATCAACCACAAAATGGCAGACATGGATCGAGCTGATTAAGAGAGTTAATATAGCTTAAGAGGCCCCATGCTGACAAGTTGGCCTAATTTGGTGAGGTTTCAAGTTGAGTTCCATTTAAAAGTCCGGAAGCTAAACGCAGGGTGGTGGTGTCGTTTGTGTGCAGGTGGACCGCATGTCGTTCCCTTGTGGCTGCACTAAAGAGGGCTGCAGTAACGCGGCTGGCCGGATTGAGTTCAACCCCATCCGGGTGCGCACGCACTTCCTGCACACCATCATGAAGCTGGAGCTGGAAAAGAGCCGGGAGCAGCAGCAGCAAAGCTCCGCCCCCACCCCCACTGCCAGCGGTTACCACAGCGACACCAATGGCCACTGCAGCCCACTGGCATCTGGCCAACACGCGCTAGAATATTCTCTGTCTGAGTCAGTACAGCAGAGTGCCATCATGCACCTACAAGCCGTGGACGACATGGACGAGGCCCTGGAAGAAGAAGAGGAAGAGGAGGAGGAGGAGGAAGAGGAAGAAGAAGAGGACGAAGACGATGAGGAAAATGAAGACGACGAAGACGACGAAGACGAGAGCAGCAGTTTGTGCAGTCTGTCGGACTCGAGCACGCAGAGCCTGGCCAACAGCGAGGAAGAGGAGGAGGATGATGTTGACAACGATGAAGACAAAGCGGAGGAGTTTGAGGACGGGCTGAGTGCTGTTCCTGTGTCACACAGCGAGGTGGTTCCTGCATCTTCTGTGATGTGCTACTCAGAGAGCGCAATCACACAGGAGAACCAGACTAACGGCAACTCCTACTTTATCAACTCTTCAGCTGAGTACTATCAGATGGAGAACACCTCTATTTTAGCTGCTGCTAGCCAGGCTAGCGAGAGCTATGGAGGCGACTCCACTTCATATCAAGACAGGGTTAACAACTCTAATGGAGTGATGACACAGGGACCCTTTAGCATGACCACTGAGCATTACACTGACTACTCACAGCCCTCTGAGGAACAATATGCCAATCACCATTATACCCTCACTAATGGATCCTCAGCTGTTATTGGCTGCTGCGAACCAGAACAGGACCAAAGTGTCCAATCGAAAGGGACCTTCCACAGCCAGTCAGGAGAGCTCAGTCAGATGGAGTTCCAGAACTATCTAAACAATAACACACAGGATGGCTACACGACGAACGGGAACTGTTTTGTGGTAGAGCAGCCAAAGGAGGTTTCGTCTTTAGCAGATGCCACCAAAGGACCTCCAATGCTGGAGCCTTTTGCTGAGCCCACGCCAGTTTAGATACCTACACTACATCCTTGAGGAGGAGAAATCTTTCAACTGGTAAGGTATGAAGTATTTGATTGAGAGACCACACAGACTGACAGAATGGCCTTTGTTCCTGCACTTGAAGGAGTTTCATTTGATCACATTGACATATATGACAATAGAGAGAAGGATTCATACCATATGTATTTTTCAAAGAGCCAGGAAAAAAAATCAGTAATTTAAAGTGCAAACTGAGATCAGATAACATAAACTGTAAGCTTTAGGCCTGTGCAATGTATCTTGTATTTCAAAAGTAAAAGTTCTAGTTTTGAGCAGATATTGTGGATAGAACTTTTCTATGTCTGTGTGTCAGTGGTGCAAAAAAAAAAAAGTTGCTGTTCATTAATATGTTCGGGAAAATGTGTATACTTAATTGTTTTGATAAAAAAGCATGTTATTTTGTAGCTTTCGTTGGCAATTTATGGTTTTTGTAAGAATTTGCATTGATGTACTGTAAAAAGGTTGAGTTCTCGTTGTTACATATGTATATCATGCTTTTAAAGCATTTGTAAAAGCATGAAGCCCGCTCTTGAAATGTTTGCTGTTTCTGCCTTTGATTACAATACCAAAATCACAAGATTTTAGTTGTGAATATACTACATTTCATGAAAATAATGCACTTTTCCAGGGGGGTTGTGCCACACTGAATGGCAAATAGTCTTTCGCAGAGCACTGACAAGGTGGACTTTCTCTTACTGTACCATTATTTAATCCTCATCACAACATTCAGGTTTTTGGAGAGTGAGAGAAAGAAAGAGTTCCTCATTTCAGCATTTCCAACTATTATCTTTGGGGCTATACAGGGACATGATGAAATGCACTTTGAAGAGCATCAAGTTCATTGTAATGAGGCATTGCATATCTTTGAAATGAAGGTATGATATATAACAGTGTTTAAATTATAAAACTGTGAAGTCTATGGAAACAAAGAATTAAATACACAAATAGAATGAATATTTCTAATATTAGATTTGTAGCAAGGTTGATATTATCACAGAACTCCTTATTATGAGAAGAACCAGGTATCTGGTTAAGAAAGAGTTCTAATTTCTCATACATTTTAATAAGATAGCAGCATAAGATCATTTCCCTGTCTAATGTGCTACTATGTACTGCAGTTGAAAGAAATGCAGTCCAGTTTTACTGGAAAATCTGATAAAGATATGTTAAATTTGGTAGTAGCTGTATATTGAATTGACTTATCTGATGAGTAATTAATTTTGATAAATTTACTATATAAGAATGAATGAATTTTAAAGACTAATTAGTTTGTCAAGTGCAATAGTGTACTAAAATGGGTTTCATACAAGCAACATTTATGTTCAAGGCTATTTTTCAGTCCTTCCCAGATCTCAATTTCAGTTAATCTACTGATGGATCTTAAAATGAAGTCTTATTTAACGCACAAACGTTGTGGCATATGTCTTCTTAATGTTTAGAGGACATGTAGTCTTTGTTAAAACGGTCGTTTCTCAAAAAAAGCATAAGATAGGACAATCATATTCCTATAGTGATTTTCGCCAGTGTGCAGGAGAAACACAAACCTGACCTCAGCAAGTGTAGAAACATAATCCTTTTACAGGAAATAAGGCCATAAATGACTTACTTGTAGAACAAAGTGGAAACTTCAGACTAAATCATTGAACAAATAAGGAGAATCATTGAATGTTCCTAGAAAAGAAAAATAAATGAAATCGTTTGGAAGGTAAACAGGAATGTTGCCTTTGCTGTGGCTCGCAGAATCTAAAGTGAATGCCTTTCTTTTTCAGTCACGATCGCTTTGCGTTTTCTCCGTTGGGGAAAGCGAGAGCTCATGTCATAAGCTAAAGTCCTTATACTTCGGTTTTGCCTTGAAAGATAATGTCACAATATTTCTACAGTCTGTGTTTTTTTTGTTCATTTACCTCTTGACTTACTGACAGTGCTCGTATAACCTCATTCTCTGGTGGAGTAGGAACAATGTACAGCCTTCAGGCCGAAGCAGCCTGAGCTGAGCTAGCAGTGCTAAAGCCTTTAGCAACAGGCTCCATTCACCACACTGCAGCCCTGTTAGCATCCCCGGGACATTCTGTTTGCAGTATTTATTATGAATGATCTATTGAAATGTGTATTTATTGTGGTTTCCTGAAACAGTAGCTATGTATTGAATAAAACCTTTCTTTGCTAATGACGGCCTTCTTGTGTTATGATTTTAATAACTAACTAAATGTTTCCCCTTGCTTAAAAACAGCTTAGACCAGCATGAATTCCATGCCGGTCTGGTGCTGGTTTAAGCAGGTCACCCAACATGGTCATGCTGGTTGACCAGCACACCAGTATCCAAAACACATTTTTTGGTTTTGGTGGTGATCAGCTTAAAAAAAAATTCCAAAACACAACATAATGCTGCTTTGTTGTCCAGCTCTGCTGCTGGCTTTTCTGAAAGGGGTCTATGGCTAATAAACTGGCACTTAAAGAACCCTTACAGAAAAGTCGCATGCATTTCACGTGATCATTTGTGAAACGTCCAAAAAAATCTTCACAACTTAACACGTGTGATGCTATGTGAATAAAAGAATCATGCAACACATTATGCACCACACTTATGTAGTAATCAGTAGTATAGTAGTTGTCCAAAGTAACTAAAAAATCTTTATAAGAATTCCTGTAGTACTTCTATTAATTTTTTTCATAAAGGGTAAAAATAAATTCAATTTAGGAAATAAAACCCATATTTTTAAAGCCGTTTTGTTTAGCTTAACAGAGGGTCCTTTCTTGAGGGTGCTTTTTTTCATAATTAAGCCCATGAGAGCTTTTGTTTCCATGCTTTTGAGTAATGATATAAAGCACCCACATCTTTGCCCACAGTGGCACTGTTTGAAATTAGACTATCCCTTTAATCTGAGGTTATCAACCCGGCTATGATGTAAGAGCAAAAAAATTACAAACACAAGTTAGGTTTTTATTTTCTTACAGACAAACATGAGGGCTTGAAATGACACTGCAGTTTTTGATCTGTTGTGTTGCACCACTGACAGCCCTGCTTGTACTGAAATTCAGACACAAAGCTTTGCACACAGTGCCCTCTTCTGCTGAAAAAGACAACTACATTGTTCTGTATTGCCAGACAAAAAAGCCCATCCTAGACATGGACTGAATAACTGCATTTCAGACAAAATACTTAAGTCTCTTCATATAAAAAAACACCCAAATGATCAAACTATGCAACAAAATACAGAAATCTATGAACTTGAGGGCATACGTCTATGTTGGACTTGGAGAGAGTTTACAGAGTTTACAGCACTTTGTTCATTAAAAAAAGGCAGATGTCTCTGTGTTAAAAACATTTGATTGCAAATCATTTGTTTGGCTATGAGTGTGAAAATGCTGGAGAAGGTGTTAGACAATATGTTAGACATTCTCTCTGAAATATAAACAATGCTCATATACGGGGTTATTTCTAGTGCAGAGGGAAATTGCACTTGGTGAAATCTGGACTTATAAATACTCTTACAAAGTCTTTGGTGCATTTAATTGTGCATGGTACCTCACATGATAACTTGAAAGGGGTTTGAAGGCCTCTGTTAGTCTCTGATAGAGTTTTGTTCTGAAGCAATAGTAACAGCCCTTCCAGTAACAAGGTGAAGGAGAAAAAGCAAAAAGTTGAGAATCAGACTGAAAGTTCAGAAATCTTCACTTTGTGCTTCATTGTAAATGTTCAGCATCCTTCCTGAAGGCTCTTTGTTGCATTTGTAAGTGTCTGTGTGTTCTGTTTGTACATATGTGTACTGTATGCATACTACTTCCAGCAGCAGTAACTTCACATAAAAAAATAAATTAAAACTCTCATTCTGGCGTTCAGTGACTATAGTGTGGAGTGTGCAGTATGGGTGAGTGACTGCATGTCCTCTCAGGTAAACACCCACAGTTGGTATCTGTCTGCTGAGTTGCAGGTGACCAGAGCAGGGTTTTCAAATCGAGCGCTAAGACACAGCCTCCACGCCATGTTATAAAACAGCTGGTCCTACAAAGCCAAAAAAAAACAGAGAGAGGCAATTAGCAGCGGTATGCTGGAACCCAGTATGAAAGCCAACATTAGGAAAACATCTTATAGACACACAAGAAAAGACATCTAACCAGGGGTGAGCGATACGGCAAAAATAGATCACGATACTGAAAGACATTTTCACACGAGACATTGCGTTTTACGATAGCACGGATGTCCCTGAAAAAGACAGCGTCTAGAAGGCTGCCTTCACAGATGTGCAAGTTACCCATGCCAACAGACGCTGGCTTTTGAGCTTTGCTTTGGTAGCAAGTGGAATGGTCCTTTTCTTGTTTTGCCTGTAGAGGACGATGTCTATTATTTCCAAAAGCAATTTGAAAGGTTGAATCGTTAGACTACAGCACACATAGCTTCCATTTTTCTGAAGCAGAGAGCAAAAGAACTGTTTACTAACAAGGGTTTTCCAAAGAATTCCGGATGCCATTTGGTTCTATTCATTACACAAGAATGTCGTTTTTTAATGCACTGCCGTCTGGGGATCAAAAGTCACAGGCATTCAATATTGGTTTTTGGCTGCCCCTGTCTCAAATTTTTTGAAATCGCAAGCATCAAATTTGGAATTAACATATATGTACAAAAATCAAAAATTGATAAAGTAAATATCTCGTCTTTGAGTTTCTTTCAGTTAAATACCTGTAAAAGGTATTTAAGGTATGTAATTGGCAGTGATGACATGACAGACTCCCTGATAAATCTATCAGTGAGGGAGACTCTAGTTTTGAGAATGTGAAAGCAGTAGTATAGGAGAGGAGTCAGTAGTAAACAGTGTAAGATACAGCAGCTCTAAAAAGTTCACTACCTCCCGCAGCTCCCATTTCTGCTCAGCTCCAGTGAAGGTGTTGTGGCCTTTGTACTGACATTCCTCTAGTTTCACTGGCCCTTCTTTCCCGTGTAGACAAAGCTCCTTCTGAATGTTGTGTCTGATTTCATGGTGCGTTGAATATTCAAAATACTGTGAGGGATTTTGAAAGAGCAAAATAATAGACATTGAATACAAAGGTAATTAGACAAGGCTGTTTAAACCTTATATTGCATATAAACTACACTTAATGTCCCAAAGTATCCATACACTCTTTCTAATTACTGAATATAGCTATTAGGTGCATAGATTGCTAAAATACATGTTCACTTGCCCACATACAGCTTGTATAACTCATAATAAATTCTTAAACCTTAAATTGTACATGATATTTTTCTATACATCCTAAATAAATACACCTACACCGCACGCACAGGAATGTGGATAACTGTTTCTTAACTGCCTAAACCCTAAGAGCCTGTATGTCGGCCTACATTTCAATTCCTAACTCTCATAATTATAGAAATGATATATTAGTTTCATAGTAGTTACATAATTACTAGTAGTTACTAAATAATATGTTTTAAAGGCCTTATATTCTATAAGATTAATACCAATTAAGATTAACAAATGAAGTGATTAATTAATGCTGCAAAATAAATAATACAATACAATAACAGTTTGGTAAACAGACTTTTACTGATTGACTTCATAATGTCAATCACTGTTCACAGACAGTTAGTACCTGGTTGCCTCCCATGCCGTGGCAGGGGTACATGATGAGGGCTTTGCCTCCCTCATTGTTTTCTCCAGCATCCAGACACGAGTCCTTCCCTACGTTCTTTATCTAGACAGGGAGAGAGCAAGACTGTGTTCATAGTCAGAAACTAAAAGATAAGAGAAATGATGAGAGAAATGAGAATCAGACAGAGAGAAACAGAGAGAGGCAGAAAGAGAGAGGAGTCAGAGCAGTAAGGCCCAAGCTGTTTAAACATGAAGTCAAGCTTTCTCCAAGACCCTCTGCAGGGAGGGAGGCATAGCGGGAAACCACAGTGGCCAGACACAACATTCTGTGGTCTGGAGGGGTGGAAGGGGGGAGGAAGACAAAGAAAGAGTAGGAAAAGAAATGAAAAAAGAGGAGAGAAAAGAAGAAAGGGGGAAGTAAAAAAGAATGAAAGAGAGAAAGAAAAGAATGAAGGAGAAGAGAAAGAAAGGGAAAAGGAGAAATAAAAAAGAAAATAAGTGAGGCAGAGAGCAAGAGAGACAAAAGCAAGAGAGCAAGAGCATAAGAGAAAGAATGAAAAGACAGGAGGGAGAGAAAAAAATAAAAAGACAGGGGAGTGGAGGGGGAGAGAAAATGAAAGAGAAAGAGAGAGAGAACAGATAAAATGAAAAGAGGGAGAGGGAGAAAGAAAAAAATAATTCTAAAGAGAGCATGAGAAGAAAAATGAAAAACAGGAGAGAATGAGAATGAAAAGACAGATAAGTAGAGATAGTAGAGGAGAGAGAGAGAATGAAAGTAGAGGGGGAGAGAGAGAAAATGAAAAGAGGCGGAGAGAACGAAAGATTAAAAAGGAGATAGAGAAGAAGAAACAATGAAAAGAGAGGAGAGAAAGGGAGAGAGGGAGAGAGAGCAGAATGAGACAAAAAAGAAAAAGAAAGAATGAGCAAAGTGAAAATGAGACAGGTTGAGAGAGTGAAAGAAGAATCTCTCACACTGTACATATACACACACACACACACACACACACACACACACACACACACACACACACTTACTGCGCCAAACTGCAGCGGGTTAAGATCAGGCATGAAGACCTCGGGATACACGTTCTTCAAATACCAGGAGAAGCTCTTACATTGTAGCCTCTCCCGGAGGTCTAAGCGCTTGGAGACGTCTCCGAATGATCTCTGTGAAAACAGCCCCAGACTGCCATTAACCAGGAGGGTGAGGGGGTTAGGTGGGGGGAGTGGGGGCTCATTTCTGAAGCAGCCTTTGAACCAGGAGGAGATCATCTATTCAGGCTGCCCACAGGCCGTATGTGGAACCGCTTTTAAGCAGTCTTTCCTCTCAGGTTATGGACTTGTGGCGGGTCTTGGCTACATATTGTAATTCGGGTGAGGGATTTCCGTGGTTAGGGCCATGAAAGAGCAGCAAGTCTTGGCTTGGCTTTAGGTTAAGAATCTGGCATGGTGCCTTTAAAACCAGCTCAACATTGCTAAATGACCAAGCATATTTCCACAGCAAATACCCAGCCACAAATTTTTTAAATGTCAGAACAGAAGACAGAAGATGATTTCTCAACAATTATAGTAAATATACAGAGTACATATAGTATAGAGTTGCATATTATGCATATCTTGGCCATCACTACCTCAAAAAAGATTAAAATCTCGGGGACTTTCCTGGTTAAGTAAAGGACAGACAAATAAACACACTAAAATAAAATAAAATTTTGTGTATACATACTGTAGTATCATCTTTCATTCCACATGCTGAAAAAAGCTCTCAGGGTAATTATAGACCAAATAGCGACAATTTAGAGAGGGGAAAAATTAAAGGGCTTAAAACTCACAACCACCTCTCCTTCTCTTTCTCCCTCTCTATGGCCTGAGGGACATATTAATGACAGTCAGATGAAAGCACTGCTGAGGGAATGTCGTACACTCTCGTTGTTTCAAGCAAGCGCTGTTACAAAGAGGCCATGCTCAGCAACCACCAACACATCCTGTTAAGCATGGAGTGTGACCTAATGTACTTTATAACTTACTCAACCTCAGCACAGGTCAGACAGACAAACATTCTAGGCTAGAGTGGTTACAGATCAAGCTTAACAGACCTTGGACTAAAGATTATGTTCCTTTGGAAGATCTTCATTCAGACAGTGTTTCATACTATTTAAATTCAAAACCAGGCATAAAGTAAACACTATAGTATTACAAGACCAAAGAATAATATGTATGAAAGTCTTAGCATTTATTTTTCTATTTTGTTCTCAGTTATTCAACACTATCCAACATGGGCTTTACGGGCCATTTTTTAGACACATGAACCATCCGGGTTTTTAAATTTGAATTTGCGATGCTTCACTGAAAATCATTTGTTTGGAAAACTCATCCTAAATCCACACTTTCATAACACAGAAAAGTCCAGAGCAAGACTACAAAAAACAGTTTTATGAGGAGTTTGAGTCTGGTAGTAGCTATTCAAATAAAAATCATAGCTATATAAACAAGTCTTAATGTCACAATGTGACATTAACAACAGCAGCTTTCTATCGTCTAGCTTGCTATCAGCAGGGCAGTTCATGTGACAAAAAAACAAAACAACTATCTATTCACTGCTGCTGACATGGATCACCACTAGCAAGGGACAAACGCAGTATGCTTCAGTCACAAATACATTGTATTTGTAGTTGTAGGCGTCAACTTCCTTTTTTCTTTTTTTTTTGGTCTGACCTTGACCAAAGCAAAGCGTTTGTAGACACCAGTGCAGAACTAATGACAGACGCGATGAGAACGAAATGTTTGGAAACACAGCATTACCTCTTTAGCCATCTGCGCGGCCTGCTGGTTTCTACGGTAGAAGATCTCCTTATAGTCGTCCATCCAGACTTCGGCCAACCGCACCTGGTTACGAGCGATCACCTGTGTGCCCTTGGGGAAGGTGTGAGGGCTTTTGGTGCGGAACACATGACCCACGATGGAGCAGGGGATGATCTCCAGCTGCCCCCCACACTGCCACACCTGCAGGTAGGGAAGAAAGGAGGAAATATGTCTAGAATATTTTATATGCAATCAAGAATACTTACATTTTTTGAATAACTAGGTAAAAACCATACTGAGATATTCCGAGAAACCTTTTAGTATTCAGAAAAATAAGGCCAGGCAATACCCCAACATTTCAACTTTCAATCTGCAAGACTTCCGGTGGCATCATAAAAATTTGCAGTGTATTTACCCACTATGTTGCCCTTGGAGCCATAACATATCACACCTACTGCATGCAGACACAAGTCCCAGATTTCTAACTCCCACCAGCATAACTGTTCCAGATATTTAGCCATATGCCAGGCCTTAGTAAGGTCATTGATAAAAACATGTTAAACACCACTACCTAAACAAGAGTAACTTCTGCTTTGCGGTGGAGAAGCTGAAGGTACATATTGCCCTCTCTCTTACCCTGAAGGACATTTCAATGTTCTCTCCTCCCCAGATCTCCATCTCTTCATCATAACTCCCAATGTGGTAGAAGTAATCTTTAGAAATGGAGAACAGTCCCCCTGCAAATGCTGGTGTTCTGTACAGCATAGAAAACAACTAAATTGAAGGGGTGATTTCTTTTTATAATTACAGATAAGCATAAGCACTTGTTTACAATACTTTGTCAAAGCAGCTTGTGTACAATTTCTAACCTATAAACACAGAGACAGAGCCTGAAATAACTGGCTCAGATATTGTGTGAGATATTGTGTTTGTTTATGGGATCTTACTTGATGGGGTAGGTTTCATCTTTGCGTCTCTGTTTTTCATGTTCGGGCAGACTCTCCCACCCAAAGGACAAGCCCCAGTCGAAGTTGCCCCGGTTGTGGTTCTGCCCGTATGGAGAAGGCTTCATGAACTCAAATGTGTTCAGGTCAATAGTGGTGATGTCTGGGCTCACCACTGCTGTGTAGTTCTCTGCTATCCGAGCCAGCAGAGGCTCCAGCCAACCATGGAAGCACTCACCTATACAAACAGAGCACGTTCATAAGGAAAAAAAGGTAATACACAACTACTAAAAAAGAAGTAGGACTGCAGGGCTGCCACAATTACTTGACCGAACTCAATGACTCAATGAATTAAAATTTACTGTAAAATTTACTCGATGAACTGGCCTGATTAGTTACCACTCTGCATGACAATTAAGAATATTTAAAAATCCTCCACTGGTCTCTTAGAGTAAGAAACAGCCTGATGGTGATACCAATCTATATGCATTTTCACCAGTTTTCAAAAAATGTAAAGAATTATTAAAAGATAAAAGTCCACCCTTCAATTGTGAAAAGACAACTCAGGCTGGACACATAAAACACTGAAAGTTTTATATTTTCTTAAGAAGCCTCGACATTATTTTTAGAAAGAAGACAAACTAGATTAACTTTCTCCAATAAAGTGTTTTGGAATCTTTGAAAGACTACGCAGGCTTTGTTACTGTAGTGCTAAATCTCTATTTGTATTGTTTGGACTGGATTTGATTACTTGATTGATTAGCAAATAATCAGTAGATGACCTGATTACAAATATAAACCACAGAGACAGCACTATTTATGTCTTGGAAAGCATTATATGTTCTGACCAATTCCATGTCCCAAAGACATCTTAACAGTGTCACAGCTCTCCTAATCGGGCCCTAGCATTTCATGCTTGTTAGGCGCTGGTGTGTTCGTCAATTATTCCTTAAACAGCACAAACAGTGGGTGAAACCACACTGCATACCAGGAGCAATATTTACCAGCCTAAACTAAACCAGCATGACACAGATCAGCATTCTTTCCCGGTGAGAGGCGTCATGACCGACCACAGACGAGATGGCTGTTTGTTTTACGTGAGAACAGGCCCTGCAGTAGTGTGTGGCTGAATGCGCTGCAAACTACAGTGTGAGACTGTATGAGGGTGTAAATGGCAGGGTGACCCTGATTGCCCTGGACTCATGATGACTCAGCATTTTTAATCACATCAGAGATATGCACTCACAGTGAGCGTCCAAGAAGGTGAGGGTGTCGCCGGTAGCCACGGAGGCTCCTAGCAGACGCGCAGTAATGAGGCCTTTTCTTTCGAGCTGCCGTACCACACGTACAATGTGTAGCTGCTTCAGGTACTCATCCAACTCTCCCTTTAGTCGCTCTGTAAAAGAGGAAGCACACGGTATGTTGGCATAATACTACAGCTGTGACTCCATCAAGGACCACCTGTATCACTAAAACAGAACATACCCTGTTTCATTCTTTAGGTATGGGATATATTTCAGAGTATATAAGCTATACATTTATTCCCACCCCATTATAAGCCACTATAAGACAGTAGCGATTGCGGTTGTTGTGGCTCTGTAATACATACTGAGTTTGAAACAATGACTATGAGATTAAACACAGTTACTAAACTACATTTTCATCATTTAAGAAATATTGCTAAAATTCGTTCTTTTCTATCCCAGAGTGACACAGAGAAACTTGTTCATTACTGTAATGCTCTTTTTACTGGGCTTCCGAAGGAAACAGTACATCCTCTACAACTGGTACAAAATGCAGCACCACAGATCCTAATGCAAACAAAAAAGAGCTTATATCACCCCCAGTTTTAAAAGAACTGCACTGGCAACCTGTATCTTTTCAGATAAATTCAGAAGTTCTGTTACTAGTCTTTAAAGCTCTAAATGGCCTTAAAGCACCTGCATACCTCACAGAATATCTGTCTGTTAATGTTCCAACTCGTGATCTTGGATCTGCAGATACTGGCCTTCTGCAAATACCTTCCATAAAAAATACAGAAAACATGAAGAGATAACCTCATTCAGTTATGCTTCTAAACTGTGGAACTCAATTCACCTTTTAAGAAACATCAGAAAAAGTTTTTTTCAATTTAGCTTTTAATTAAATTGCAACCTCTTTTTGGTATTTATCCTTTTAATTTAATCTGTGTCACTGCTTCATATGATCTAATACTCATAACTTTTATTTATTACTCTTCTAACATAGTTAAATTTGATCACCTGTCTGTAAAGCACTTGGAGCTGTCACTGTTGAGAAGGGCTTTTTAAATAAAGTTATTGTTATTATTACTCACATATATCGTCCCCTTGTGTCAGGAACCATAAGTAACTGGACAAATGACTACAACCTTAAATAAAATGATCATGTTTAGTAACAAGTTGCAAATTCTTTCAGTAATGTCTTTGATCCACAGACCTAATCAGATGCTGAGTAGTTTCGCACAAAAGTGAAAAACAATGAAAATCACAGTTCAGTGGCCAACTGCATAAAACATCTTGAAAATTTATCCCAGGTTAAACGCTTAAGGGATAAACTTAAATTTAAATTTAAATTTCACAACTGTCAAAACGGGAATGCTGAAACTTAAACTCAGGGATTAATATTCAATTTACAATTATGGATTTTCCTCACTTTCCATTTTAAACATCACCCCAAAGAGATTTTACACAGCTCACTTAAGGTAAAGGGGAAAGCTTAAGGCCACAATTCTCTCTTCTCTCTGATTCTCTCTTCTGCAAGTCACCGTTGTTTCTTATGGACTGCACTATAGCATGACTCCCCAAACAACAGGATGAGTCTAGGCTTAATGAGCAATAACCATTTTATTACACTGTGTGTCTGTATGCATTAACATCATAACCTTAATGGGTAAAGATTTGTCCATGTAGAACACATGGAAACATTCTTCACTGATTTTGAGTAAACTGGCTTGCAGACCTACAGCTGGCCTTCTTTAGTGGAAGCTGACACTGTGTTAGTGAGGGAGAGAAGTACAGACACAGAGAAACAGAGAGAAAGAAAACAACAGAGAACAGTCTATGACAGCCCTAGTTCAGGAGCGCCTGCCCTGTGTACTCTTGGTATTTCTCCCCCTCGAACACATATGATCTAATTGGTCAATTAACAACCACTTCCTCAGCTAAACTGCACATGTTAAAAGCTAAAAAGTGTACAGTGGGGACCCACTGTCTACCCACTGAAGGTAGGTAGGTCATGACCCCTGTTCTATGGTATCACTCCAAATAATCCTTTTGACACCTTTAACAGTTTATCATACAGACAAGAGTGAGTGTGCAAGTAAGAGGGAGAAAAAAGTGAGTGAGTGAGTGTGTGTGTGTGTGTGTGTGTGTGTGTGTGTGTATGTGTGAGTGTGTGAGAGAGAGAGAGAGAGAGAGAGAGAGAGAGAGAGAGAGAGAGAGAGAGAGAGAGAGAGAGAGAGAGAGAGAACACCTTACTGATTCACATTCCCTATGGCAATCTGCCAGTCCCTGCCTGAGCGCTCTCTAGGTGTTCACTTTTATGACTGAATCCCAATAGTGGGGCTGTTCCTTCCAGGTGATTGAGAGAAGAAAGCAGAGTGCAAAGCATGCTGTATTCCCCATAGGCTAATTTTCTTTCTCTTCCTTTCAGCCTAGGGCCAGTTATACAAGCTCACGGCATCTGCCTCCCGCTGAACACCCCCATGGCCACTACAAAAGCCCCTGAAGGAAAGTTTTCATGAGCGGTTCTGCTTCTTGCTCTATAGGCCTTCATGAGCCAGGGGTCTCTGAATCCCAGCAAGAGGGCTGCACAGAGGAACCACCTGACTGAAAGTAGATCCTGGTGAAAAACCAGTGTGGTCCTGCAGGGCTGGGCACTAGAGGCTAGTTACCGTCTGTGCTGGCGTCATCCACTAGGATGACCTCCTTGAGGAGCAGGGCAGGAGAGGTATGAAGCACGCTGTAGACCGTCCGCAGTAATGTGCTCCATGCCTCGTTGTGGAACACGATAATAACACTCGTGGTTGGCAAGGGTGGGCAGCGCCGGAATGTCTGCTCTATGCATCTAAAGTGGAGAGAGAGAGGAAAGAGAAAGAGGGGGAGAAAATGAAATGATGGTGAGAATAGACGGCGCAAGAGACATCTATGCCATTCTTCCATGGCCATAAAAGCAGGGCGTACGACCATAAGGTGAATGCATCCATGAAAGGTCTGTGGTGCAGTGGATGACCAGGGCTCTTTACAACAGAAAAGAACAATAAAATTGGGTTTGGTGTTCTGTAAAGTGCCCAGTCAAAATAATAGGGACAAGAACAGACTTGTTTAATTAGCCAAACAAAACAGAACCTCTTCCTCCTCTCCTCTTTCTCGCTTCAATCAGCCGCATTAACTGGGCAGACATGCTGAAACAATGTCTCAGGAAAAAGCCAGTCTGTGGTTTTTCAGAGCCGTCTTATATAACGGCAGCAGCCAAATCTACAAAGCATGTTTGGGTTTCAGCCTCTCCGTCTGCTGGAAATGGAAATATGTAGGTTATCGCTAATTTTTTTTAAAGGTGTTTTTTATATCTATTATTTTTTCTGTTGGCTTTGACATGATAAGAATGAGACCTGCTAGCCAGTGCTTATAGAGACCACTACAGATTACACTAGGACATCGCTAGATGGTGCTACACTTACAAGTCAACCAACAATGACATGTTCTAACATAGTACTAGATTGAATTACACATTTATTATAAGAGCCAACTGGACTGCATGTATTTCCAGTAGCCTACACATTATTAATCATTAAATGCAGTGCTTTTTCCTGATGGCAGCACAAATGCAGACCACTCTTTATAACCCTGTGTAGGTCTAGTCTTTTATTACAACCAGGAAAATACCTTGATTTTGCCAAACGTTACTTTATAAGCCAAATAAAGGGAGGTATCTTTTATTTAGTAAGACGCTTTGGGCCCCCACTGGTTATTTTTAGCAGGAGCAGAGCTCATGAAGGAATGTTTCAGTTAAATACTTTGACTTAACTGAATGTTACATTATAAATTAAATAGGTGAGGTTTTCTCACTCTGTAAGAAACTGTCAACCCCCACTTACTATTGTAGCTTTAGTGTTGCTCATGAGGGGATTAAAAAGTGCTCACTCTTCTCCTTTAATGTCACCATGAATCGGAAATCATAATCAGTGATAGGTGGAGGAGGTGGGAAGGGAAGGTTATTACAGGTTATTTTTTTTCTTTTATATTATTACATATTATTTTTCCTGCCCACTGGTACATGGTGATGTAACCAAATTTAGAAGTCATTTTATTATAATATAATATCACTTTTGTTTATAATATTACTTACAGTTTTATGTACTAGAAAATGGTCATAATTCATTTTTACATGACCATTTTTCAAACGTTATACATTAGAATTAAACCAGCTGTTTTTGTTACTCTGCCTTTGAGCACTGTTCTGATTAGCTGTCCAGTATTGCATCTCATTTAAAATGCACTCAGAACTGAAACACTCCTTAGAACTTCAGCATGAATGGGTGGGGCTAAACTGCAGGAGCCTGAATAGATGTATATATGTAAATGAGTTGGTTTTTCATGACATAAAAAAACATTTTATTCAAAACAGCCTGTTTTTGTATGTCTGTGTATGCTTTCCATATATGGACTAGATGGACTAAGGAGCGAATGGTGCAGGTTTGAAACTTCAAACTCTTTGATTTCAAAAAAGCAACAGAAATTCAGTTTTCCCCATAGGGGCATTTAAATGACTCACGATGAATCGTGATTAATATAACCAGGAACACGAATTAACAAGGTAAAAAAAGACTCATTCTGATTTCAGGTTGACTTTAAGGGATTAAAGTTCACTCATGATAGTGTGCTTAAAAGTGATTAAAACCAAAGTCATAAAGCAACTGAAATGCTGTCATACTGAAGGTCCAATAATTGCTTGAAGTAAATTTACACAATTATCCTTTTACCACAAATATTGTTGGTCAGTGAAGATATGTCTGGTGTCTGAAGTTTACTTCCTTAGTTTTGTGCTGCTTAAGCCACATAGCTAAGATACCTAACAAGTAATGGAAGCTTATACCTCACCAATCAACACTGTGCCAACTGCATACTTAAATCATTGCACAATTGCCTTAACCTAAGGGCGGGTGATATGGCAAAAAAATTTCATATACTCAATATGTATGATTATGTTTTTGATACACAGACATAATGCACTAGTAGTGCAACATTTAAAGCTCCGAAAAACTGAGTGGCCTACAATGATGTTTATTCTATGATTCACGTACTGTACTGCACTAAATCCAGATAAGCAGGCCTAGTTATAATATACTGACAATAGACAACGATACACTCAGAAAATGCATCATTTATCACCATAACAAAATATATCACAATAATGATAAAATATCGTCATACTGCCCACCCCTGTTCAGTTATCTCAAATTTGCTTATGTGTTCTTTGACATTCTAAGGCACACTTATGTCTACATATCATTGCTGTCCAAAACAAGAACTGGCAAAATGGTAACTTTATAGGAGCAAAAATGTTATTTACTTTGAATGTAAGTTAATGTAAAGACATTTTATTCCAAGTTCCAAGCAACTGGGGGAATTCTGTTGGTCTATTCACCATTAAATTTCCACACTATGTACAGGACAGCTGCTGTGCTCAAATCATGTAGAAAAATAAAAATCGCAAAAAATTATTATTTTTTTAATTATATGATGTTTTTAACTGTGTAGTGTTCATTTGAAGGGTGAGAGAAAATTGTGTAAATTTGGTTTTCCACAGAGGTTTTGCTTTAAAGCACAATGACAGCGGGCTACGTACTCTGGAGGTCTGGTATCAGGACCAAGGTCTCTGCTGAGTGAGATGCGGTCACTTGCATACAGGTTAAAGCAGTGTTTCTCCTCGCCTTGCTCCTTCTCCTTCTGCTCCTCTGGGCTCAGGTTCTCTGTGTGAAAGGGTTTCCCAGAGGCCCCTGGGGCGCTGGGGTTTTGCGGGGGTCTCTCCAGCACAGGCTTCAGTTCAGCAGCCGTGTAGTAACCGGGCAGACACGTCTGGCTGCCCCTGCTATCCTGCTGCCTGACCGGGGCTCTAATCTGCATCTTTGGCATGGCGTCCCTGAAGTTATTCACCGCCCCCATTACCATGCCCAGCACGGCGTCCCGTTTCCCCACGATCCCCTTCAGCCACGGCTCCTCCTCCTGAGGGCCCTGACTGACCACCTCTCTCTGCATCAGGAACACAAACGTCACAAACACCAGTGCCACAATGGCAAGCTTCCATGGATGCAAACGCCTGCGCAGCAGCCTGCGAAACACAGTCATTCTTCTGTGGTAGGAGTGAAAAGAGGCGTGTGTGTGTTTAGAGTGCTGCAGATAAAACTTCACCTGACACACACCCTCTGAGTAACATCCATGACTGCTAAACCTGCAACAAAGAAAGAAAGAAGGAGGATGGTGACAAATTCAGTGTAATCACAACCTTAAGAGTATCTGGTTTTATTCAATTACAGTCCTAGAACACTGTAATCTTAAAAGAAAACCCAATTTAAACAACTTCTGAGTACACGCTTGAGGGAGGAAAAACCTTTCACTCATTTTACTCCAATTCTAACATCTAGGTTATCCAAAATAAACGTTTTCATTAATATTTAAGACCTTTTTTTCAGAGTGGCTGGGAAATTATTCTCCAGGAGAGAAAAATGTTTTCATGAGCACGTTACGCCTTTTTATACATCCTCTAGGAATTCGTCATGAAGGTTACTCGCTTCCCAAAATTACAACATGTCACTGTAACCAGTGGAAAAGTCTATTCATAATATCTGAGATTCTGGAGATCACTGTTCTCTGCACTTGGGAACACATATGGTAAATGAACCCCTGTTATAGACTTATTCTGTCATGCTTGGGGCTTGAACAAAGCCAGATACCTTCAGCCTGGTGCAGAATAGCAGCTGAGATGTCCAGCTTGTCAGTATTACACAGAACAGTCAGCATGAGAATGAGAGACTCAGGCATTATCATACCAACCACAGTCTTACCCGCATTGCTGCCAAAACGAATAGTGCGCCAGTTAAAACAATAATAATCCACTTTTCATCGAGTGGTCTGAAGTATGGTCCCGAGGCAGAAATCCAGCTGACCCCGAACCTGATCAAATCCCCACGATAATCCCGCAGTGAGAGGGTTTCAGTAATCTCGACACACTACTTCCGTCTCGTTGGATCCAGGTGCGCTACTTTCAGGTAGTGGGTGGAACGCAACTCCTCCCACGCATGCGCATTAGACGCCACCCATCGTCACCCATTCACGCCAAAATTGTAACTTCAGTCTATAACACAGGTTGTTGTAATGAAACGACCATAGCATCGTTTCGTGATTAACAGTATAGCCTTGATATAAAAACTTAGGAAGAAATGATCAAACAAAGCGACATCCTTTCGTCCATTTTTTTAAAAAGTCGAATAAATGAATCCTAAATTCCTCAGCGTGGCTCTCGGAGGGTGTCCATAGTCTCAGTGAACACGGGGACTGTGTTACAGCGGGAGAGTGAGCAAACGGAGTGAAGTTCAATTAAGCCGGCTTTACTTCTGCCGCTCACTCACTGAACGCCACTGCTGGGCAAGTTTTTTTTCCGCCCGTGTTCCGACAAGCCGTTCCTCCTGTGCCAGGATTGGCTTAGTAGTTCACATTCATAACCAGTCCCGATTACTACGTACAATTCTAACCAATAACAGAGCAGAACGCGGAATTCTAATGACCAATCCTAGCTCAGAGGGCGGGGCTTGTCTGAATATGGGTGGGAAAGAACCGCATCGAATCACGCTCCCTCAAACTAGCGGTGAGAAATCTTAATGAATCCACAGAGGAAACTTTGAATCGTGAGCCTGACGAAAGCATCTCACTCTGTCACAGAAACCGAAATCCAATGTTTTACTGACAAAAACAGCAGTCACTTTGTTCAGTAAGTTAATCACACATGTGAAGGAAACTTCTTGAGGAACATTTTACCGCTCTCGCGGAGGTCCGAATCGCTTAGCAACCGCGATGACTGACATTCTCAACGACAACAAAGTGGGGAAGGAAAAGGGAGACTAAAAGGAGAAAGTAAACCAGACACTTAACCCCCTAAAGTATATTAAAATGAAAATAAACTTACCGTGGTACACCTACAAGTTTGTATTAATCCACCATGCTCGCGTTTGCCGTGTCACCCTGCCCTTGGAATTCATGAAGAGCTCGGTGCTTGCGGGGGTAAAGAAAAGAAAGCGGACACGATGGCCATCTGAGAGAGGAAAAGCAGCGGGGTGGCTTTGAGTCATCAGCTACAGGCGAACATCTTCCGCCAAAAAGGGGTACTAGCCCCAAATCTACCGTGACTTTCCCCCTCCGCTCTTACTGGCACCTCACTGAACAGGCAGAGCTGGGGAGGTGCAGCCAATGCTCAATTAAAAAAGTACCAGTGCACTCTTAAAAAAGATGGTTCCTCAAGGGCTCTTTAGTAAAGGCAGTGGTTTATTTAGAACCATGAACACTCAAATGTTCATGGTTCTTTATTTAGAACCATGAACACTCAGCATGCATGCTTAAATGGTTCTTTGCATGGAGAAATGGTTCTTCAGATTGTTGGAGAATGTGTTGTATATGGTTCTTAATAGGACCTTTTTGAAAATGGTTCTATATAGCACCAAAAAAGAGTTCTTCTTTTGTTACATACTTGACACTGTAACAGCAGCAGAACTCCTTTTAGTGCTAGATAGAACGGTTTTCAAAAAGGTTACATAAAGAATCATATACATGGCATATAAACAGTGGAATATCCCCCACACAGAGGGCACTCAAACAAACCAAAGGGATTTTCTTTCACATAAGAAGAGCTAATGGTTGAGAAGCATGAAAAAGAGTGGATGCTTTGGGAATGAAAACAGGAGGTCAGTGGCCTCTAAAAGCATCACACACAATTAAAAGGTCCATGTCCTACATTGTTCTCATATTTTCTCTTTTTCTGCCTGAGATTTTTTTTTATACATGTAATATACATTCATGTGGTTTTACGTACCAACAAATACTCATAATTCATTTTTACATGATATTGTCCAACTTCTCTTTACCCATTAGAATTAAACAGGCTATTTTTGTTATTGTGCCTTTAAGACTGATATATGTAAATGTATTCTGTTCTGATTGTCTGCCCTGTATTGTGCCTCATTTAAAAGCAATTCAGGCTGAAACACTCCTAAGTTCAATATGAATAAACTGCTGCAGAGAAATGTGTCTGGTTTTCATGACATCACAAAAACAATTAATTCAAAAAGAGTATTAGTTTTTGCAGCTTAGTTTACTGAATGTCTGTTCTGTAAAGAATAACTAAGGTTGGTATTCAGTAACTCAGTTTGACCAGCATCAAATTGACTGATTATGGTAAGCCATATTAGTTTTTTAATGTAACATTTTTTCCAGACAGATTACTTCATGTGTAGCCTAGTCATCAGGAAATATGACTTACTGTCCACACAAAAATATCCAGCAACAACAAATTAATACAAAAGTAGATCACTTTTTTTTTATGAACACCATTGTTTTTCAACATAGTTTTTGATGTACGATTAAGTGCGCGCACATACACACACACACACACACACACACACACACACACACACACACACACACACACACACAGAGTTAGGATCTTAAAGCAGCTCTTGCTTTGTCCAAGATGTCCTTTCTTATCCTGGGATAGTTTGGGTGCGCATCCAAGACCTGCAGGATAAGGATATGCTCTGAAGTTTCTGTTGATCATGTTTTTACTTTATTACAAAGAATTCTTAAAGAAGAAATACCAAATCATTATTTTACTCACTTTGTGGCAAACATCTATGGCATCCACATGTCTCTTTGCTTTCAGATAGTTGAATGCAAGCTTGTACCCTGTAACACAGATAGTGAGATATGACTCAAGGCCAAGGCAACTTAACATTTGCAAGAGAGGCAAGGCAAGTTATTTTTTTTTATATAACACATTTTCATGCACAAGGCAGTTTAAAGTGCTCTACTGAGGAAAAAAAAAAACAAAATAAAATTCAATTGAAATAAATTGGACAAAGGTAAAGTAATGAACATGGAGTAAAAGGGATAAGGAATCAATAATAAAGTTCTAAAAAGATGCAAATGCCTGAAAGGCACAAGCGAACAGATATGTTAAAGACATACCTATGGTTGGGTTGGTCTGATTGCCATATTTCCAGGCCATTTCATAGTTCATAGCTGCATCCCTGAATGACTGCTCTTTCTCCATGATGTAACCCATGTATTCATATGCTTTGCAGCATGACTACGGAAAATAGACACATATCATATTTGTGTTACTCCTAATGAAGTCAAGTCAAATAATTGCTTTTTCCAAAATCTCACAAAATGGTCAAACTAACACACATTTAGAGAGAAGTGCAATTTATACCTCAAAATAAAACGCTACATTATTACAATTATTGTTATTTTTACAGTGAATCTAGATCAATGAAAGTTTTCCCATATTGGAATAAATTTGTCCTACATTCTTGTTGGTCTGTTTTTTCATACATGATGATATATTTAGTTAGCCCTGTTTGGATTGCATTTTTATTTTAAAATAAAATTCTTAAACATTGTTCATAAATTATTTAGGCTTTTAAAACCTCTGAAATCTCCTTAATGCTGTGACAATAGTGTAGCAATGTACACCTAGTCCATGATCACACAGGCTTACAGCTACAACCCTTTTCATAGTGAATAAATAAACAAACATCATTAAATTTGCATGTGGTTTAGAGATCCCCGCAGAGCTGAACAGAACCATTTCTCCCTGAAAAGTAATAAAATACATTACACCAAAAATGATTCCTGAAGTCTGAGCTGAGGAACCTCTAAACTGTTCTAGCAGCAGCTTTTTCTTCTAAAAGAACGCTAACCTTATTGTGGCGCAGGCAGCGCTTCAGGAGCTCTCCTGCCATGTCGTATTTGCCTGACTGGATATAGATGTCTGCCAGGAGCAGCCAGCTTTTCTCAAACTCGTCTGCATCAATGATGTTCCAGCTCATCTTGGCAATGCGTTTGAGCTGGTTCCTGGCTCGTGGAGTCTGTTTCAGGATCATGTAAGCTGTGGCCATAGCCAGCAGTGCAGGAACGTGATCTTTCTGTAATATGGGAGAGTGTGAAAGGAATCAGCATCACAATGATGGAAAAGCTTCTAGTAGGACTTAAACTTTAAGAATTTTAGGAGAAATTAAACAGTAGCTTACTTTACAACATTTGTAAAATTATAAATATTATAATAGGAGAAAATCTTCCGACTTTCGTAGATATCCTGAATAAAACTAGACCAAGCATCCAATACATAAAGTGAGTTATCAAAAAAAAAAGGTTCATCACTTATAATCTTGTGTTTCTGTTAGCAGCGTTTTTGTTTTTGTAGTACATACTGTACTTGATTTATATTATGTTGTTTTACAAAAATAATCTATATAAACAAGCACTATTTGTCTTTCAGCGCTGCCTGTACATCCCTGAAGTAACACGGCAATTTATTGTTTTTATCATGTATTCCTTTTGCATATAGAGCTTCTCGAATGTATGTGATAGACAATACCAACATCCCTGAAACTTGTAAAACAGGCTAATAATTTACTTTATTGAATTATTTTTCAGGTGGAAGTAATGCAACTAGAGTACTAGATATTTGCATCCAGCAGGTTTACTGTTTGATGAAAAGCGAAGATAGGCTGCAACTGAAATGGGAGTTACCAAGCTTAAACTGTGTTTGCACTAAAGGTTCCGTGTGCACAGGTGTGTGCTCATGGGTGTGTGCTCATGGGTGTGTATGAATTCAAGTGTGTTTTTGTCTACCAAGCTGTCAATCTGCCTTTCACAAACCTCACTGTTTGCGATCTCAGTGAACACTCCAAGAGCTTTCTCCACGTTGGCTTTCTGCTTGGTGGCCAGGTAACAGTAGTGCTCTAGAATACGCAACTGCACGTGGCCCGGAGGGGTCTGTGGCTTCAGCTCCTTCAGCAACTTCTCTGCTGTTCGGACAGCCAGCTGCTCTGACTCCTGCTTCTCTGTAGAGTTCCTGATATTATAAACATTGTAACAAATATTAGACAAATGAGACTTCAATATCTCACTATTGTCACTACATAACTTACACTGTGGTTTCACAGTAGTTCCTGGACCCAGACTAAGCTTATTTGGTTGTTAACCACCACTATGGCTGCACAATAAATCATATTTTTATTGTTATTGCGATATGAGTTTTCATTGTTAAGAGGTGCGATGACAGAACAGATCAAATTATGATATATATGTAGCACCAGAGAGACGTCATTACATTGCTGGCACAAACCATTAAAGACCTAATGAGTGCTTATCTGAGTTAGGAGTGAACCCTGCTGTCCCACGTGGGAGAGAATAACTTTACCATTAGGCTGAACAGCCAATTACAAAACACACAAGTGCACAGCTCAAATACTAATTTATCTGAAACTACAAGTCTTCCTCTCACAGATTGTTCTCACACCCAGTGTTTTAAGAGCATGAGGCAGTAACGGCTACTGTCTAGAAGAAAGAAAACTAACTAAATAATTAACCAATACAAAGACTGAGTTCAGAAGAAACACATAAAAGCTAGTGCGGTGACACACCTGTTTCTATAGAGCTACAATACTCGAGGAAAAAAAAATGTCCAGAAAATCAGACATTTGGAATGACTAAGATAAATTGCCTAATTGAGGATAATGCAGTCTCATGCTGAATAAAGACAACTTTATGTTGCCATAGTTTGTTCATGTCTCTTGATAACTCAACCCCTCCAAAGAAAAACCATATTAACCATTCCATCCCTTTTTTTATCAGTTATTTTGTTTTCTATTTTATTTCGTACAAATTTTACATTGAAAAGCCAAATGCTTTATTTTACGTTTCAGTAACCCTTATAATTTAAACACAGGGCATCAAACAATGGCATACCCTACTTATTTGATTTTATATGAAGATGTCACATACACTGTTTTTTGTTGCAAGGGCTCAATTGTTTATTTAATATGTATATAAACTGTAATATGTTAATCCTTCATGGTCAGTCAAGCTTTCTGTTTGACTGCAGCATGTTTCTCACCCCATGTCCCCATCCAGGTTCTCAAACACCTCGCCTCCCATCGTCTCATTGTCAGGGTTCAGGCAAATCTCAATCATGTTGTACACTGCATTCTGCCCCCAGTCGTTGTCCTTGCGAGCCTTATTGAAGTGACGTAAGCCATCGTTGGGCTCCCCCGTGTACCTGAGATGTACACAAAGATAATCACCAGCATTTCATTTCCAGGAACTCAGAATTATTTTATCCACAGAAACTTCAAACAAAAACTGTAAGCAATAATTGCTTGTTTAATGAATTTTCTTGCCATGGTTACTGATGTAAGACATCCACAGAAAGAGACATACACAAAGATAATCACAGTTATTGCTCTGGTAACTCAGACTTTCTCATAGAAACATAAAAAAAGCTGCAAGCAATGAATGCTTGTTGGCTGAATTGCCACAATTACTGAAGGCAGTTTTCATTCGTCATATTATAATGATATGGGTGAATGGGTGAATACATGTTATCATACTGCTTACACGTAGAGGTGGGTAATCCAGGTCCAAAAAGTAAAAACCCTCCCCAGGATTTTGTTCCAACTGCCTGAACATCTTTGCTGCTGGTTTGAGGAACAAAATCCTGGGGAGGGTTTTTACTTTTTGGACCTGGATTATCCACCTCTACTTACACGTGGAAACCCGCTTCTTAGCACAACAATGTACATCTCTATTGTGATAAATTAATTTGGTAGCCTACTGATCAATAATTAAAATCAACAAGCAGGGCTAATGACAATAAAGGGCAGATATGAGTAAAAAAAAAAACAAAACAAAACAAACAAAAAAAAACAGTTAAAGTGTAGCTGAAATTGAACCTAAAGTACCAAATATTTGTATTGGCGCTTCTGCGAGGCAAAATAATGAAAACACGAAATAGAGGTGCAACTTTTAGTTTGTACTGAATTACTATTTATGCCTAAGTGTCTAAGGAGTGCATGAGTGGCATTTCAAGGAGGAATGCTCTTTCTTCTCTTATAGCAAAAGGGTAATTATGTCTTTCCTCCTGAAATGTTCACCAATGTTACAGTACTGTTTAAAAGTCAGAGATATTCATTTATTTAACTTCCAGTCAAAATAGCCATTAAGTCCAAGTTATTAATTTTTCAAAAACTCAAAAAAAACATTAAAGAACTATTAAAGGATATAGAGAAAATGGGACGCCTAACAAACATGCAAGACCTGGCAGACCACCAAAACTGTCAGTATCAGATAAACAGTACTTAAACCTTTCCTCCTAAAGAGACAGGAGAAAATCAAGCTCCAGTTTTGCTTCAGATCTAAAAAATCCACAGGTTTTTCTGCCCATCTTTCCACTGGGAGGACACAACTCAATACTATGGGTGAGAAAGAATGTGTAGTTTTCAAGATGCTACATATGCTGTTATGGAGAAAAGATAATAGATAGCAAACGAGAAAATTAGCAAATCAAACAAAGAAGCTGCCCAGAGTTCAGACCTCAACCGCACTGAACGTGTTTGGGATTACTTGAATTATGAGAAGCAGAAAGTACAAACTTCTAAGACTGAGCTCTGGAGGTGTGGAAAAACATCCCTGCAGATTTCTTTGAAAAACTACAAGCAAGTCTCCTGTAAATAATCAAAGCTGTAATGAAGGCAATGAGTGAACACACTAAATACTGAAAATGCTAATATTATATTAAATTGTCGAAATTTCTTTATGATGTATTCTGTTAATATTCTGCTATTTTTTCCTGATATTGAAAAAATGAGTAACTTGTACTTAATGGCCATTTTGACTGGAAATGAATGAAATGAAGGGTGATCTCTGATTTTTGCACAGTACTGTATACGGTTGATGGCTGGCAGTTTGTAGCCTTCATCCGCCCAGACTGGTGGTACCCTCATATTATACTAAGGCAAACTTATCAGTCATTCTGAAGTGAAGAGCAAAAATGAACAGTTCAAAATGAATCATAGGTCTACTGGTAGTCTAGAACATATTAATGGTGTGTGTGAACATTTCCAGAAAAAATGTCTACTCCACTGAATTCAACTTGAATATTCTTACCACAGGTAAAGGCCTTTGCAGTAGTTGTATCCAGGCTCAAACTTGGCCCTGGGTGAGTGTTTTTCAGCCATCTCCAGAAATCTGGGAACCTCCTCCAGTTTGCCAGCTCTGCGCAGCAGGTCAATCAGTCTGGACAGTGTTGGGTAGTTGTCTGAAACAGATGAAACATGGGAAAGACATCAACACAACCCACAGCAGGCCTACACAGAACTCTGCATTTAAGCTGAGTGCTCAAGTTTCCTTTAGTGCTCCCTAAATAGGATCGTTCTGATTGGGCACTGGGTGAAGGAGATGAAAGGTTAGCAGGTTGCTTTTGGAACATAAGATAAAGGCTGTCACACCTGGTTTCCTCTCCAGCAGCTGCTGAAAGTGGAAGACGGCTTGCTCATAGTCTTGTTTCCTGAACATCAGGTCAGCCATCATCTATAGGCACAGAGACATTGATCAGTGGACTTCTTTTCCACAAGCACACAAGTTTGATAGTAATGTACTAAACAGAGACTAACCAGTGTTGCAGATTCATTGACTTGGTCATTCTTCAGGATGACACTGCACTGTTGCTGACAGGCCTCTACATCGTCCAGAGTGAGATACAGCTGAGCTAGCTCTAACATTACCTGGTTTAGAAAAAAGACGTTTGAAATCTTATTAGATAAGCATTTAGCAAAGCACCCTGAAATTCTTCATTACATCCACACACAAAAATAATTGTACAAATTATAATGTTTACAGTGATCTGTCACAATTAATGAGTCATTAAAGAGAATGGAAACATTTAACATTTAAAAAGTTTAGGGCTCACCTAAACTAATTACATACATTACTAAAGGTGCAAGTCCCATCAGACCGACAGGGAGGACTAAAAGAGTGTTGTGGGGCTCCTAAAGATGCAGCTGCAGAGACGAGCACACTGCACACACTGATTCAGCCACACTGACCTTGCTGTCACTCTCACAGTACACAAGCGCTTCTTTGTAGAACTTGACAGCCCTCTCGTAGCCACGCTGGTTGCTGCAGTGTTTGGCGATTTCGGCACAGATCTCGGCAGCGAGCTGCTTCTGCATGGGCACGGCGTCAGGCTGCTCCAACTGAACACGCTTCAGCACCTTTGCCTGTACATCCCGTGCCTGAGCAAACACACATAGGACAAAACACTTTCACCAGCAATTAAATGGCACTTCACAAAATACACATCCTAAAAATGCAAAATAATGCATCCTAAAATTTGCTGAATTTGATCCTTACATTGATTGATGTTTTTACAATGTGTGAGTCTACCATCAGGGACTCAGGCACTAATTAATGTGAGCTATCACACCAGCCAAGCAAATGAGATAAATTCAAACTTTTAAAACAATCAGGAGACTTACACGATGCAAAGAAAGCAAAGCCTCATCATTTTTATTGACTTTGCTCTGAATCTTGGCAAGCAGTACAAGGTAACGGCAGTCTTCAGTTAGCAATGGCAGTTCATTCACTGAAATACAGAAAAACCCAAATACAGCATTAATGTCAGAGATGTGAAAAATTAGCAGTAAAAAACTGATTTAAGACAGAAATGGTTTACACACTGAACTCTAGACATATTATTCAGGTATTAATCTTAAGATTTATTGTTCAATAACTACTGTGGGTTATTCTTTAACTACAATGAGACGAATATCTAAGGATGTAGATGCGAGAGTGAGGAACGGAATTATGGGCCCACATTCAGGTCTTTCAGAGGTTTAATAATGTAAATCATTTAAGCGTTTAAAAAAAAAACTACATCAAATGTTGCATGTAAGGTTATCGTGCAAAGTCAAGTACTGTTCAGGAATTACTGTTTTCAATAATATTAAACCAACTGGTTTTCAGATAAACATATAAAATTAATTTAGTATGATATCCCTGTGCAAATCTTTGGAATAATCAACAGGAAGATGAGAAGCTTTAAAAGTAATTTCAGGTGCATCCAGAATTATGAATAGAGTAGTAGATGATTCCAAAATGACAGAGAAAGCTATAGAGCATCAAGAATAAAATTAATTTAAAACTAACATCCAGAATGCCTGGTATTTGAACAGTTATCTACAACCCCATTTTCAAAAAAACACTGTGCAAAATGTAAAGAAAAGCTGAATGGAATAACGTGCAAATCATTTAAACCCTATATTTAATTGAAAATTGTACAAAGACAACATATTAAAGATTGAAACCGAGAATTTTTATCAGGTTTTAAAAAATATACGCCCATTTTGAATTTGATGCCAGCAACATGTTTCAAAAAAGTTGGGACGGGGCAACAAAAAACTGGTAAAGTTGTGTAATGCTTAAAAAAAAAAAAAACCTGGTGAAACATCTCTCAACTAATTAGGTTAATTGGCAACAGGTCAATTACATGACTGGGTATAAAAACAGCATCCCAAAGCCTTTCAGAAGTAAAGATGAGGAGGGGTTCACCACTCTGTGAAAGACTGCACGGGTAAAAATGGCAACAATTTGAGAAAAACGTTTCTCAACATAAAATAGCAAAGAACTTTGGGATTTCATCATCTATGGTACATAATTTCATTGAAAGATTCAGAGAACCCGAGGAATCTCTGCATGTAAGGTACAAGGTCGAAAATCAATACTGGCAGGCCGTGATCTTCAGGCACTCAAGCAGCACTGCACGATTCTGGAAATCACTGCATGGACTCCAGAACACTTCCAGAAACCATTGTATGTGTATACGGTTCATCACTGCATCCACAAAAGCAGGTTAAAACTCTAAAACTACTACGCAAAGAAAATACCACATATATACAGGATCCCGAAATGCCACCATCTTCTCTGGGCCTGAGCTCATTTAAGATAAACTGAGACAAAGTGGAAAGTGTCCTGTGGTCTGACAAATCAAAATTTGAAATTCTTTTTGGAAATCATGGATGCCAAGTCCTCCAGGCTAAAGAGGAGAGGGACCATCCAGCTTGTTATCAGCGCACAGTGCACAAGCCAGCATGCCTGATGGCATGGGTATGCATTGGCATGAATGACACATCTGTAAAAGCCTCATTAACGTTGAACGATATATATACAGGTTCTGGAGCAACATATGCTGCCATCCAGACAACATCTTTATCAGGGAAGGCCTTACTTATTTCAGCAAGATAATGTCAAAACCACATCCTGCACACATAACAACAGCACGGCTCTGTAGTAAAAGAGCCCAGGTGCTAAACTAGACTGCCTGTAGTCCAGACTTGTTACCCACTGAAAACATTTGAAACAAAAAATATGACAAAGGTGACCCTGAACTGTTATGCAGCTGAAATCCTATAACAAGTAATAATGGGAAAACATTTAATTTTCAAAACTACAGCAATTGGACTTCTGAGCTTCCAAATGTTTATAAAGTGTTGTTAAAAGAAGAGGGAATGAAACACAGTGGTAAACATATCCCATCTTTTTTTGAAATGTGTTGCTGGCATCACATTCAAAATAGGCATATATTTCTCAATAAAAACACTACACTTTCTCAGTTTCAACATTTGATATGTTGTCTGTACTATTTTCAATTAAAAACGGTTTAAAATAATTTGCACATGATTGCATTCTGTTTTCATTTACATTTTGCACAGCATCCAAACATTTTGGAAATGGGGTTGTAAATAGATCATTTACAATGTAAAATAAGTCAAAATACTTGAAATATTGAGTAAAACATCTACAAATACTTTCTGGTGTATAGTTTATAAGATCTACACAATAAATCTTCACAATAAGATGTTATGCAAAATAATAAAAAAAAAAACAATAAAACAATGATATCCAAACATTTGAATGGTATTATATGTGTGTACACACGGAAAATTCTCACCGGGGTCATGTGTGAGAGCTTCATGAAGAACTCTCTCACAGCGTTCATACTGTCTCAGCTTCATAAGCAGCTCAGCCAGGTCATAGCACAGGAAGTTCTGCTGACCGCTCTTCAGTGCCGCCTCATAGTAGTTTATGGCCTGACAAACAAATACTTTCATCACAGATCAAACAATGCTGTATCACAATTTCTAGAATTGTGAGTGGGCTATATGTTCTATGTCAGAGTACTGATCTTACAGTTATATGTTCTATGTGAGAGTAATGATCTTACAGTTATATGTTCTATGTGAGAGTACTGATCTTACGGCTATATGTTCTATGTGAGAGTACTGATCTTACGGCTATATGTTCTATGTGAGAGTACTGATCTTACGGCTATATGTTCTATGTGAGAGTACTGATCTTACGGCTATATGTTCTATGTGAGAGTACTGATCTTACGGCTATACGTTCTACGTAAGAGTATTGATCTTACGGCTATGCGTTCTAAGTAAGAGTACTGATCTTACAAAAGATAAACTGGTAGCTAATCCAAGACGAGTATATTTACTCTGTCAGATAAGTGCAGGCCATGGATGTGCTCTTTTCATTATCTGAAAGACGCAAACAAAGACGCAAAATAGTAGGAGCAATGCCTCAAGTTTGTTGCTGAAGTACTCAGTCTGTGTACACACTCCAGGAGAGGATGTTTTGGTGAACAGAATGCTGGGAATGTTCCTCCCCCTGTGCTTACCTTAACATAGTTGTGGGTCTTGACAAGAGCTTTTCCAATCTTACTTGCCACAGCACCATCTTTAGGGTTTCTCTTCAAAGCTTGCTCATACACCTCAATGGCCAGCTCAGGCTGCAAGCACACAGTTTTTACAAAATATAAAAATATAAATATAAAATATACATCTAAAAATACATATAAAATAGTACAAAATAATCAGACACAGTGGTAAAGGTTGTGAGTTTGAGACATTCCTGACTGAGCTATTCATTTGAAGAAACATAACACACAAACACTGTGTTTACTATAGTGTAAATATTTGTACACAAGTTGGGGCAAACATTTTATTAGCATATGTTCCAACATGGTTCAATTCAATTCAAGTATGTGGTTTCGTACCCATTTTAAGTATGACAAAATAAAAGTTTATCTGTAATACGTAATATATTTAATAATAAAAACAATAATTTCTTCCATTTATATAAACAGAGACAAGGAAGCACTATCACAGAGGTGCTAAGAGATGGGACTGAATGATCTGCCCCCCCGACAGTGCTGTCAGTCTGGTCAGTAGAGCAGTTTTGATTGAGTGTGAGATGGGGTGTAGCACAGAAGGGTAGGATAAGGCAAGGCCAAGTATATGTGAGAAGTAGAAGAAGTTTGTATCTTATTCGCATACAAACATGTATGGTTATAATATGGAGTGCTTAATGGCCATAAGGACCTTATCCCAACAAAATTTGAATACACTTGAGCTTATTTAGTGTCTTACCAGGAATGCCAGTGAAAATAGCACTACAGTTATCTAAACGTGAGAAGATGAAGGCATTAACCTGGGTTTCCACATCTTTCAAATTCAGTATGCATCACAATGTTGTGGAGCTAATGAAAAGTGTTTTTTGTGAATGACTTGAATGGGGTTCAAATGGGAGGCCTTCGTTGCAGACACTATTAGAGGGTTTGACATCAATATCAGTTAAGAATTCAGGTTGTTTTTCAAACTTGGGTTTTAGAACCAACAACCAACAACACCCTGTTAAAGTAGTGGAAGGGAAAGCTGTGGTGGACCTAGTAATGAAACAAAACTGACGATCATCTGCATAACAGGGGATGTTGAGACCTGGGGTAGTAGATGATTTATGGCTATGGAATAAGATCTGTACAAAAGACATGATGTAAACCAAACATACACCAAACCTTTGATACCAGTGGAGGAAAGGCAGGATAGAGAGATCTAACAAAATAATGCTTACGGTGCCAGTGTCAGCAATGAGGAGCAAATCGCTTCTAACTCTTACAAGAGCAGTCTCAGTATGGGTGAGAGATAACAGATTTGCAAACCTTAAGAAGGAAGGTTGGGGCTGGCAGGTGAAGGGGTTAGATTTTGAAATAAGTACAGACAGAGCTGGGATTGGTAGGGGTAATATGTTACTTAATACCAACCTCTTGGATGTTCATGTAGGCATCTCCTAATAGGAGGCATGTATGTGAGCTGGGCATCTTTTCCACCAAATCTCTGTTAAAAATAGAGATATATTTAGTCCTAGGGGTTTTCATTTTATATGCTTCTCTGGGTTGTATTAAATTTTAGCCAAGACCTGTGAACACAAATGTTAAAGATAAGAGGAAGACCTATAGGCCTCACTGGTGACAGCTAAATGAGGCACTTAGTGCATTACATATAGAGTCACAACATGATTCGGCATGCACCACATTCCGTTTAACTTTCTAAGAATTTCTGACATGATGAATGAGAACCAATTCTATTTTCTTAATTATAGGAACTGAGTCAACAGAAATGCAGTCCACCTAGGTCAGCCAACCCTATGTATATATGGAATATCAAGGGGAAAAAAAACTGAAATTATCACAGTGCTTGACTGTGTTGCATAGGAAAAAAGTTAGGTAAGGTAAATTGGGTAAAACAGTTACATTGTAAATGCTAAGTGTTCAAACCTTTAAATGAAAAGAAAATGAACTAACAAAGCTACAACAATATAGATTTTTGGTCATAAACTACCATTTCAGCAAGCAAAAGAACATACTGCAGACTTAAATCACCTCTTATATTCTTCGTAAAACTGTACACCAAGAGTTTACTGAATTTAAATATAAAAGTGTCTAAATATCCATGTAAAAACCCCAATCAGCATCACAGCAAAATGGCAAATTCTGAAACACACATTTATTTCTTGCTGCAAAGCTTGTTGACATTGTGTTATGTTTTGCCATGTGTGCATCATGACATTGGATTGGAATTATTAAAGGGAGTATTGCAAGTATTAGTTACTTCTGTTAGTGTTCCCCTTACCTGTAGCAGCTAACATAGAGACGTTTCTCCTTCCGGTGGTTTAGATAGATGTCAGCCATTTTCTCTTTGGCCTGCACGTAGTAGGGCTGATCTTGTGTGATGTTTCTGAGCATGCTCAGTGCGAGCTCTGTGTCTCCACGCAACAGCGCAAGGTCAGCATTGGCGATGGTGACGCGCAGCTCCTCAGGAGTGCCCGTGAACTCATTTATAGCATCCTGCATCACTTTAGCTGCCTCATGCTGCAATTATCACAAAAAGTAACATGGCTACAGGTTTCCCATACAAAACATAATATGTTAAATATATTTCACAATGCATTCTGTTGAATTTCTAGAGTACACTGACAACATTTAACAACATATTTAATTTTGGAGAACATACATTAATGTATACCTGTCACGTAACTCTCATTATTCTGTAAAAGACATGAAAATTCTTCATATTTTTCCACATAAAATTTATAAGGAACTCCACTTAACCCCTTAACCCTGGGTTTCTTTGTAATGCTGGCAAACTTTACCTGTTCTCCATTGAGCCAGAGCGCCTCAGCAAGCTCCAGATACACTGATACACAATCTGCCGCACTGAGCTCCACTCTCCTGGCCTTGCTTTTGGCAGCAGAGCCAAGGCTCTTCACGCCTGGCAGACTCATGGCCAACTGCAGTGTCTGAATGGCTTCCTGCAGCTCGCCCATCTTCCTCTGAGCCTGTGCTTTAATCAGGTGATACAGAGGGTGCTCCCTCACCTGATCAACAGAAAGAGAGAGACAGAGGAGAGCAGGAAAGAAGTCTTATGGGAACTGACAGCATGGAGGAATGAAGAAAATTGTGTAACACGGTGGATTACAGCCATCAGTTAATTTAAAAGGTTTTTACAGAACATATGTATGAACATCACCAGTACAGAGGTAACATGTTCATACAGAAATCCCCACAGGGGTTTTTGAAAGCAATTAGGAATAGTTTAACAAAAAACATATACAATTTCCCCTTCTTCAGATGTAGTTTAAACAGCCAACATGGATTTGGTGTACACAAACACAGCTTATATTGCTTGTTAGCTACTCTAACATTACACCAAACATGTCTTGGCTGATTAATTACATTTGTGGTAAAGGGAAAATTCTGTAAATTTGATTTAGTTGCTAAACTATTCACTATGCACTTGTTACTGGTTTCATCTTCAAATCAAACTTGCTCACAGATGAAGCACTGAAGCATGTACATTTGCTACTGCACAAAAATGCACTTTAAGAGGCTTTCACCTCAAAGTTGTGGCTAAGGCAGAGTTCCAGAGACTGGGAGGAGAGTTTGAAATTGCCCTGCAGGAGATGGATCTGGGCCATGAGGAGGTGAGCATCAGCGAAGGAGGGCTTCTGATCCAAACAGTGCTGCAAACTGCTTTGAGCTGCCTCTATGTCACCTAATAAGAACAAACATGAATGGAGCCAATAAATATTGTTGGCAAGATCTGTAACAGCGTCTGCTGGCTTTGGAAGCATTTGGGCAATGTGAAATATTCACCTGACAAGAACCTGACTTTCGCCATCAGAAACACTGCACGGAGGAGTCCAGGGACAATCTTGACCACAGTGTCCAGCACAGAGGCACAGTGCTGCAGCTGAGGTGCAGGGGCCTGACCTTGGGCTGGAGGCTGAGGGGTAAAGAACAAGATTATCAGGTCCATGCTGGTTAATGTAACAGAAGTGTATGTCACTCAAAAAGATTTGGGTGACAGAGACTCCCACTACTTGTTAGCAACATTAGCCTCACAGCTCCGATGTAAAGCAAATAAGGCAAATTTGAACACCAAGCATGTTTTACCCAATTGACTATATTTGAGATATGGGGGAAAGTGAGTATATTTTACATGATCATGTCAAGTTCAATAGAAATCTAAAACTGTATCTGGTGAAACTAAATAATTTCCTGTTAAGCATACACTGGAGCCTGTGAACCACCAACTGAATATTGAACATGGAATTGTAAATGTGATGTTTATTTGTACTTATAGTGCACATCCTCAGACATTCAGTGGGGTCCAAAAGCATGAGAACACATTCAATATTTTTCAATTTTTTTTTTCATTTAAACCTGAAAATAAACAGAAGGTTTTTGAAAGTTGAACAATTTAAACAGAAAAAAGAAAATATTAAAGATTCCAGGTCATTATTCAAATTTAAGCAAATTTGTGATTCTCAACACTTTTGTTCAAAAAGGTCAGATTTCCTTGCGTCTTATATTGCTTCCATTGGAGCACATATTTAGAAGATTCTTAAGTGGATTTGATCTAATAATCAGAGTCTTTTTAAAGGAGAAAAAACGTTTTTCTAAATTTCTGCATCATTTGGTCTGTAAATTGTAAATAAAGTTATTTAGAGTTGGGTTTCACAAAACCAAAGATGATTCTTAAATGGTAGAGTGAGCATCACAATGAACACTCTCTCTACCTGTTAAGATGATCTTAACTGTGAAATGCTTTTGAGAAACTGGACCCAGAGTGGTGTGATGTGAAATGCTCTGTTCTAGAGAAACGTATTCAGAATGGTTCACTGTGGTGGTAATAGGCACCAGACATCTGACGTGTCTCTGAAAGCTACTTCATATAAGGTACAAAATGTTGTACAAATTCGTTACAGATAAATGTGATTGATAAGAACTTAGATTTTGACAGCAACATAGTGGCAAACAGTAAAACGTAACTAGAGATTGTATTTTTAAGGCAGCTAAATGTTTTTGATGTCAACAGAAAACTCATCAGATTATTTTAAAGAGCTTTTAATGAGTCTGTTTTAACATTTGGTCTTACAGTCTGACATGGCAACTTGAAGCCAGTTGCCAAAAGTCTTTAATGTTGCCAGCAAGATTATTGGTGAGCAGTAGATTTCACTTTTGGACATTTTTGACAGGTATGGTGAAGGACAGAGAACATCATTAGTAATCCCGCCCATCCTCTCTATGCTGAATTCCAGCTGCTCCCGTGGGTCAGATTCCCCAGGGCCAGCTGCAATAGACTGAAACACTTCTTCATAGTACGTGCAGTTAAAGCTCTCAACTGCATAGAAGAATTTGTTCATTCATTTTATCTGTCCATCTATCTAAGCATTTTAATCCAGCATCTGTCATTTGTCCTTTTTTCCTGTTCACAAAGTTAACTGTATTTTACCCCACTTATGTTTACATGTCATTTTGGACAGTAAACAAAGAGGCTAAATTTGCTTTGTGGACATTGTGAACCCTGGTTCCTACCACCGACACTGTAAAGTAATGCTGTAAAGTGAGTTTCTCTACAGGTAACCATTTCACATCAAACCACTCTTAATGACTTTGTCTCAATGATTAGTCTTGAAAAAATCTGTGAAAGAATTTTTTAAAAGTTGGTGGAATTCAGCTTTATGTTAATCAGCTTGCAGCCATTGTCCAACTAGTATTCTGTCATTAAAGAGGGACATACAGAATACAACGAAATTCTGAAATTCAAAGATTTCAAACATTGTATTTTTCACTCAAATAGTCATGCTGTTAATATAATTTGTAATAAAACATGCAAAGCATTTTCACTAGTTGCCTCAGACTTTTAAAGCCTACTGCTCACTGTGGATGGTTTCAGAAATGCAAGAAACCAGAGTTGCTTTATCCTACTAATGCAGACTCATTTACCATAACATAAAACCAGTGGAGCACCTGTAATGAATGATGTAAGGGCGGCCACCAGCAAAACAGCTAAAGGATCCTGACGTCAGTTCGCTTGAATATTCATTTAGGCTGATACCTGGTACATGAGCTGCCATTAAGGGGCTTATCTTTCAAGAAAAGTATACACACTCATCTGTGCTGGCCATGTCCATAAACTAATAAAATAGTTAGTGTGTGTGCATAATGAAACAGTGATTGTAGCAAATACATGTGCTTTATAAATACAAGTACCTTGGCAGGACAGAGAACCAAGTACTCTTTGGCAATCTCCAGCAGAAAGTCAGGGTTGAGTTTCTCATAGTATTCTACACTCAGTGGCAGACCTTGAAGAGTGGAGAAGTGCGTGTCCACGGTGTCATTCAGCAGGTTAGTCACTTCATCCTGAGACCTCCGTTTCTTAGTGGCCAGCACTGCCCGCAAATACAGCAGCTCCTAACTCACACACATACAGAATATCAGGTTTGTAAGAGATAAAAACCGTTGTCAAGGTTGTAAAGCACAAGCATAGATAGAGTTCTCCTGCACATTATCTTTTCTTACAATATGTTCTTTCATTACATTAACCACTGAAATAGCCTGTAAAGGCTTTAACATACACAAACAGCACAAATCACATTCAAGATTACTGCCCTACATCATGACCACTTGCTTATCTAGTAATGGGAGACATCAATTACACTATGTGCTCAGTTCTGTAGTTCAGCTGAGAACATACTGTGTCTGACTGATGTCACTAAGAAGAGCCTCACATATGCAAGTGGCAGACGTTACGCATTGCAGATGACTCCATCTAAATAAAACACAAGTGGCTGCGTCAGAGAATTACTACCGTCTCTGGATGATTTGCAGAGAGCTGCCTGTGCAATTCAACAAAATGAAACACTGCTCTTGTATGAGTCAGCATTACCCAAATATTCCAGACTTAAGCAAGAAAAAGAAACAGGAATGACTAACATATGAAAAAACTCACAAATGCAAGATTTTACAGACAAAAGAGATTTATTTTTGTAAGACTTCAAAAAGGCTAAAGCACTGAAGACCCGCACCAGACATCAACAAGGACACAAAGTGTCACTGAAGAGAAGCACCAGCACATTGTACCTTATTTGTTTGTTTTTTTTGCTTTGTTCTGAATAAAGCTGGATGGCTTTTGAGATTTTAGTAGCCTATAAAGTCTATAAGGTCTATAGCCTATAAGGCACGCACTTCTCGCATGTCCACAATGCTCAACAGATTCCAGCCATTTCAGCTAACACAAGGTTGTTTTCACTGTAGTTACTAGAGTGCCAGTAGCTCCTCCTGTGGGCAATCTTGTTTGTCGTGAGTGGGTTTTTGAGTGGGTGGTTGGGAGAGTGGGTGAGTTACAAGCCAGGTCTGTTAAGTGCTTTGCATCTAAAAAAAGGGTCTATGCAATGATGTACAAACATTTTAACACGAGTTATCAAAGGAAAAAGTAAATGTGAGCTCATTTGGTGAAATCTATCTTTACTGACTCACCGCTGATTTGCCGATAGACTGCTGGATCTCTGTGAGGAACTCGAGCTGTTGCTCGGCATCCTCCAGATGCCCCTCACTCAGCTGGCAGCGTATAATACCTATGGGAGACAGAAGTGTTTACAACACACGGAGACCCAATAAAAACACTGGACACTTGTGAGGAACATACACGGCTGAAATAGTGCTTTGATCATCGTTTCAAATTCTAGAGGGCTGCAGTGGGACCAAATCAAAAGTCTGTCTCTGATTATTGGCAGGACAAAGTCAAAATCTGAAATCTTACATAAATTAGACCAGCCATCCTGCTGGTAGAGCAAAATTCCACTTTGCCTTTGCCTTACAGCTCCTCAGTTATTTGAGTGAAACACATGCCATGAAACTACAGATACTGGGCTAATTTATGTATTAATATTTCCTGATATGGTGTAGCAGAATGCTTATAGATTGACAAATCTCATTAGGTTGTGCTGAATCTGGATATACAATATCTGATGTTACCGTCAAAAATGATCACACAAAATAATGTCAGATAAAAGTTGAAAGGCCTTAATGTAGGCCTGAAAGAGTTAAGTTACAAGCCCTGAGCTTTTGGAAAGAAACACCTACTTACGCACAAAAGCAGAAATCAACGGATCATATTCCTCAACATCTGAGCTTTTGCTGTGTATCACTTTTTGTCTGCTTCACTCTTTCTTATCTTACCTAATCTCAAAACTCAGCCTCTGACTGTCATATAATTGAAACTATTCATTTGCAATTTTGGGAAAAAAGCCCTTTCTATCTGGAGCTGGAAAATATCTTGGCAATTTGATCCCTCCATCTTTCTGAGACTCCAGTGCATTGCTAATTATGCAGCGATGACTGCCCTCTTTCTCCCTGTTTTGTGGAGCCATGATAGTGAATTCTTACCTATCAGAGCAGAGACGCTGCTCTCGTCCAGACTCATGGCAGTTTGGTACCACTTTATGGCCTCTTTGGCCCTTCCCTGCAGGACCAACTGGTAGCCCAGCTCAGTGGCCAGCTCTGCATCACGTGATGTCTGGGAGAATGACCGCTCTACCATCATATGGGTGTGCTGCAGCACCTTTTCTGCTCTACCACACTGAACACAGGGTAGCATTATCAGCAAGGAGGCTTTCATTATGATACTGTAGTACTCCTATTAGAACATACTGCAGTAGAACATGGGGCAGTTTCTTGGACATGGGTCAGACCATTAAAGTGCAATGCCAATAGGGTTTCACCATTAAAAATAATATTTAGTCAAAGCTTAAGCTTAATCTGCATCTGGGAAAATGGCCCATAAAGCAGACATTTTATAAGCTTTACCTGGACACACTTCATTTTGATCATTAGGATCCTCAAGCAAAGGTAAGTGGAATCAGGTGTTTAAATCCTGACCATCCATTCTATAAAGCAGAATCCTAACTATTCAAATAAAAGCCTGTCAATAATGCACTACGATCAATAAATTATTAAATGATCAAAAAAAAGTATTTCAATCTTACCACTCGGGTGAAAGCTAAAGACATTCTATAGAGGAGCTCTGAGTTGTTGGGCTCTTGGGTGTCCATATTGCTAATGAGGTTCAACAGCTGCTTCACTGACTGTGAAAGAACACAGAGGAGATAAACGGCAAGGAATAAAGCACAACTTGACAATTTAGCATCATTTTGGCTAATCTATCCCATTTGGCATTGATTTAAGGTAGAAGTGTCAGACCTCCCCAATGTCTCCCTCTCTGCAGAGAGAGTGCAGTGCCAGCATTCTTAGAGCCTCCAGATTGTTTTTGTCTCTTTGAAGAAGCCTGAAGTCAAAAACATAGTCAAAGAGCACTAAATGGAAAACAGAACGCAAAACATGCATAGCATACTCACAACAGAGGACCACTATTTATCTGTAAAATATTAGATATTCTGACACAATAAAAAATTCTGATGAAAATGTTACTGTCCTCACCCATTTGAGCTGGTAACTACAGAACTGTGCAAAAATCATTTGTTTAATTTCCATCCCAACAGATATAAAGTACAAGTTCATTTCTCACTAGATAGGCCTATTACTAAGGAGATAATCCATTTACACGAGGAAGGGGAAAGTCAAACGAAAAAGGAGGTAAAAAACAAGAGTTTCCAAAACTGGAGTTAAAAATGTTATAAATATTGAGAAAATGAGACTCCTAACAATAGTGCAAGATCTGGTAAACTATCCAATTAAAAGTACTCAGAGACAAACAAAGAAAGCTCTGCTGCTGCTTCAGATCTAAAAAAATCCACAGGTTTTTCTGTCAGCGGAAAAGTCTAAAAAGATGTGTTTCAGTCAAGAAGCCATTACTGAGAAAAGGAAATAGAGAAAGAAGAAGAAAATTGGCTAATTACAAAGAAGCTGTTGGTGCTCTCAGAACAATGGACTGGCTGCCTCAGAGCCCAGACCATCATGGCACGTTTGGGATTACTTGAATCACAAGAAACAGAAAATGCAACCAACTTCTAAGACTGAACTTGTGAGGTGTGGAAAAATATTTCCTTCAGATTTCTTTGAAAAACTGAAAGCAAGTCTCCCAAAAAGAATGGAAGCTGTAATAAAAGGCAAAGGGTAGACATTAAATACTGATGACAGTTGTTTAGGCCTGTGTAATTTTCTGTTAAATTTGTTTTCTGCTTTTTTCCCGATGTTGAAAAATGAATAATTGTACTGAACGGTTGTTTTGACTGGAAAATAAATCAATGAAATACGATCTTGGACTTTTGAACTTCTTAGAACATTTTTCAGAAACATTTCTAAGTCTCTCAACGTATGTCATATATTAAAAAGCAATGGCAACCTGTTGATAATATTTGTTGTTACTGCTCGTGTTAAGTAGCTGTTGTACGTTAACTCAAGTCCTTGAAAGAATATAACTTTCTAATCAATACATGATGCATATACAATTCAGAAGTAGAACTGGAACTGGTCACGACACTTTCATTCAGAAAGTGATCCTCATTACAGGAGCAGTTCAAAGTTGAAAAAGGTGTGAGTGAGAGAGAGAGAGAGAGAGAAACACAGGGGGAGACTCTTTCCCTTCACTGAGCCGTTAGACCAGCAGGAGTTAGCAGTGGCACTACCAAATCCTGAACTAGCTCGCACAGAGTGAATGGTTTTTCTCCTCTCACACACCCCCTTCAGCAGTGCACCCTGGGATATATGTGGCTTTAGCACTCAGCCTCAAAGGCCCTTTTGATTCTGCCTGCTACTGGCCCTCATCCAAAAGGCAGAGGAGAAGAGAACAATGCACCAGTCTTTTAGCACGGATCTGTGGCATCACATTTGATTTTCATTTATACTCAAACACAGACTGACTCACAGGGGCTCACTCGGCCTGGCCTACTGACTTTGCTGTGTTTTTGTGTTTGTCTGGTGAAAAATCAGAAATATTTGCACCAAGGTCTTTCAATTTAAAACTAACAAAAAAAGACAAAAACTGTTCATAAAAAGCCAGTACAAACGACCCCTAGACCACAGATAAATACAGCAGTGAATGAAGCTCTACCTCTGAGCAGCATCCACAGTCTGTTCCCAGTCCTGCAGGCTCAGCAGAAGCTTCATCTTCTTCACCAGAGCAGGCATGAAGGATGGGTAACTCACAATGACTTGGTTAACTATCTCTAAAGCACCAGAGTAATTCTGACGGAACTCATAATACTGCACCTGCAAGCAAGCAAGTTGTGTAACAGAAAGTTAAGATTCTGCTGGACCTCAGTAGCAGCAAAATTCGAGCAACACTAACAAAAACTCTTGGATACATCAGACTTATTGTTCTCTTTTTTCAGAATTGACATTGAAAAACCTTTTTTGAGCCACAGAATGAATTTTAAAACTAATCATAAGCTATATCAAAGTCCCGCAGCTTGTATATGCAATATTACTTGTCATACAGCAACCGAGGGGTTTTGTTGCAAAACGCTTCACAGACCACTTTGCTATATGTAGTTGGGGGTGGATTTTACACATACCAGAAATATCACTGCCATATTATGATTCATACCACCTTTGTAAGAGAAATAAAAATGTGCTTTCCATTATACGTCAGCTAGTATTCTTTTCAAAAACTTGTTCTACTCAAAATTGTTACAAATTGATATGCAGCATTTTGGAATCAAAATCTTCAATCCAACAGAAAATATCTCCAGAACCATAAACTGAGCCCTCACAAGTGTACCAATATAGTACAGTTCAGATCAGGGCATATTATCTTCTTCATTTCTATCATATAAAGTGTTTATAACCATTACCTTTCCCATTAAAGCAAAAATGTTGATTTTCTCTTTTAGGGCTTCATCAAAGTACTTTCCAGACTTCTTGGCATAGGCGTCTTTACCAGAAGTCAAGTCTATCCACCCTTTCAGTATAATCCCCTGAAAAGACACACATTATTCCCAGCATTAGCAAAAGCAAAACCAAAAGACAGTCTAGAATTTCTTTCTAATCATACAAATCAAGACAAATCTACAGTATTTGTTTTAGGTCTTATTCGATTCCAGTCATACACTCTCTTTCTCAGTGTATGTTATGATCTGAGCATAGCAATTGCAGATGCTCAATGGCACTTCAAACCTAAAACTTATTTAAACATATATTAACATTAACCATATGTGGCTTAAAATGCCTTTGCATTAATAAACAATATTTTTTTAAATTGTTATTTTAAAAGACTACAGTGATGATCCCCTCATTATATTTGTGTCACCTGATTTGTTACCACCTTAACCTCTGACATTTGATAAAAGTTTTGCATAAAACTCACCTCTGTGGAGCCACTAGAAATTTTGATCATCCTGTCCACATACTCCCTGGCCTTGTCATTGCGGCCCAGGAGCCACAGGAACATTCCAGCATGGTACAGAGCTTTTGGGCTGGCACTTTTACGATCCTCCTTAACCCTTGCATCAAGCTCCTGGATGGTATCTCTGTCTGAAATCAGTATAGATCACATGGGCATTTACATCCAAACAGAAGCCATCACTCACATAAATGACTGATTTACTTACATCAAAGAAATGCATATTTAGCAACTGTTCCAAAATATAACAGATGAATTACACCCTACCTGGGTGAGGTCTTTTCTTCTGGGCATAGACCAGAGCCATCAACGTACACAAAGACACATCTCTCCTGTCCCTCACCTGTTCCAGCTCCTGAATGGCCTCCTGAACATGATCTACAGCAGAAAAGATGAAAGGTTTTAAATATCCTTCCAAACAGAACTTAGTGCAAGCTGTAATCATCAGATACAACCTTTAACTAGTGCTGGACGATATATCTCCTGGACCCGTATTCTGTGATACTGCTTTTCAGTTTAAAGCAGAACCCCACCGATTTTTTCAAAAAATTCTACATGATTAAATGGTTGAGCTGTAAACAAAGTCATTCAGTGTGGTTTGGTGTGAAACGCTCCGTTCTAAAGAAACTTGCCAAGTCAGAAATGTTCGCAGTGGTGGTGATAGGATCCAGACGTCCATCTCTAAAAGTTATTACGTGAATATGCTGCCTGATGTCTGACACATTGTTTTATGATAGCCCTGTGCTAAAGTTTTGGCGTAAAATGTATTTGAATCCATTTATTTCAATCCTTTCACGTTGGAGGGGTACATGCAGGGTGTTGTAAGGCAAAATAGTCCCCAAAGAAAACTTATTTTTTCAGATTTATTTTACCATTATCAACATTTCATATAAAAACTCAGAAGACACATGTAGGTTCACTGGTGGTTTTGGATAGTAAACAAAGTTATATAAAATTACTATATTTGTGTTGTAGTCATAGCGACCCCAGGTTCCCATCACCACCACTGTAAAGAAATCCGAGTCTCTACAATGAACTATTTCACATCAAACCAGTCTGAATGACTCTGTTTACATCTCAAAGACTGAATTATTCAGAAATTTTGAATTCCCCTTTAGGTTATAATATAAGGATACATACTCACTGAGCCCTTTATTAGAAACATCTCCTTTTATCTACGCTCAGTGTCCATTTTATCAGCTCCACTTACCACACAGGAGCACTTTGTAGTTCTACAATTACAGACTGTAGTTAGCTGTTTCTCTGCATACTTTGTTAGCCTCCTTTTAGCCTGTTCATCAATGGTCAGGACCCCCACAGGACCACCACAGAGCAGGTACTATTTGGGTGGTGGATCATTCTCAGCACTGCAGTGACAATGAAGCGGTGGTGGTGTGTTAGTGTGTGGTGTGCTGGTATGAGCGGATCAGACACAGCAGCGTTGCTGGAGTTTTAAAACACTGTGTCCACTCACTGTCCACTCTATTAGACACTCCTACCTTGTCAGTCCACCTTGTAGATGTAAAGTCAGAGACGACAGCTCATCTGCTGCTGCACAGTTTGCGTCGGTCATCCTCTAGTTCTTCATCAGTGGTCACAGGACGCTGTTGGCTGGATATATTTGGTTTGTGGACTATTCTCGGTCCAGCAGTGACACAGGTGTTTAAAAACTCCAACAGCACTGCTGGGTCTGATCCACTCGTACCAGTGCAGCACATACTAACACTCCACCAGCACATCAGTGTCACTACAGTGCTGAGAATGAGCCCCCAACTTAAAAATACCTGCTCTGTGGTGGTTCCTGACCATTGAAGAACAAGATGAAAGGGGCTAACAAAGAAACAGATGGACTACAGTGCTACAAAGTACAGAACTACACAGTGTCCCTATACGGTAAATGGAGCCGATAAAATGGACAACGAGTGTAGGAACAAGAGGTTTTCCTAATAAAGTGCTTGGTGAGTGTATTTCATAGATAATGGACTTTACTTAATGAGCTCAGCTGTATTTTCCTGAAGAAAATTCTTAAGATATTTACCTTGCATGAGAAGACCATAGGCATGGAAGAATATGAAGACTGAATCATTGCTGAATTTTCGTTGGGCTTCACTTGAAACATTCAAGACATGACTGGAATACTTCTCTTGGCAGTAATATATGATCAAGGCCTGAGAAAATAAGACATGTAAACGATAAACTTTTAGGTCAACTTAAAGAAAGATACAAGAGACAAACACTCTGTTTTACGCATTATCTAACATAATGCAGCAAAAGGGACATCGAAAAGGCTCACGAAATATTGTTACAGACGAAGCTGAACTCAGCTTCTTCTTCTCCAGGTTCTTGTTCGAATTTTCCCGTTCCACCTTAAACAGCGCAGCATAGTTTCTGCTGTACCATTTAAGGTGGAACGGGAAAATTCGAACAACAGGCAAGACAACATAGGAAGACAACCTACCTCGTGTAAATCTAGCCGTTGGATAAAATAGAGAATGCAATGCGTGTCTATTTTACATTAAACGCATTAAACATCTGACTTTGAATACACGAAACATTTCGTTAATCAAAGTCTCGTTGACATCCACTGAACGGTCCGTTAGAAAAGAGTCACGCTACATTGAATTTTTATCGGCTTGCCTCGAGATACAGTGAGGAAAATCTTACCAGTGTTAATTCTTCGTCCTCAACGTTAGACATGTCCGCACACGTTTACGCTCAGAACAGATCACTTACTGACAATGATTTAATGTAGCACCTTCAACACTTTTCTTTACTCATTTTTCGCCATCTTGGAGATCATGCACGGCGTCTTGGTTACCAAACAACCACCGCCATTTTTGTCAGGAAACAGGGAAGTGGATTAGAAAGTCCCCCTGACTGTTTCTTACGTGTCCTCATGATGGCGCCCTACTCCTTAGTAATTGTACTGCTTAAACTGGAACTCCATTGATATAAAAAAAAAAATCTACATCATCAAAAGGTTGAGATGTAAACAGTCATTCAGAGAGGTTTGAGGGGAAATGCTCAGTTCCAGAGAAACGTACCGAGTCAGAACTGGTCACACGCTGATAGCAAGAGGATAGTGGACCACGGTCGGCCCGCTAATGGCAAAGCTGGCGGTCCACTGGCGTTTTGCTCAGCGTTTTCCGGGCGGCCCATCGGCGGTTAAGCAGAGTATTAGACAAAATTCCATTTATCATCGCTACAGTCTAATTTACTGATTTTCCTTCCTTCCTTTCTTTATTTATTCTTTGTAAATCAGTTTAGTAAATAGTGTGAGCAGCACAGTGTGAGCAGCAACATTTTAAAATCATTCTACATCAGGCCTAGTCATTATTTTTTTCTCTCGGTTCTTATATGCTTGTTGTCAGGGCAGTGGTGGTGGAGAGGAGCCAGACGTCTGAGGTTATGTTTCTAAAAGCTTCCTCACAGAAGGTTATTACATGAAATGGTTAGGAATACGATCCCTGGTGTCTAATACATTGTTTTATGATAGTTTTGTGAGAAGGTTTTACCTTAAAATGTAGTTTGTCTCTCCCCACCCCCCACATTGTTGCCATAATAGCCTCTATTCCTTTAGGAAATATTTACACAGGGTATTAGAACATTACTGTAAAGATTTAAATGCAAAGTAGCTGAATTAGCTCATTAGAAGATGTGTCTAGATACTTGGATACACTGTACAAACTGAAGGGGTTTTGGTTGGACATCTCCATCTCCAGTCTAGGCAAGTGGACTTCAGGCTAAGGGTTAACAACAACAACAAAGCATTATTTGAAAAAGTGTTTGTGTTTATCTGAACTGACTAACTCATGCAGTGATTCCTTAAACTCTAAAGGCCTGTATGTGCTCCTACATCTCAGTTCTTCACTGTCGTAAATATCTTCCATATTAGTTTCATAGTAGTTACTAGTTTTTAGGTTTAATTTCTGAAAAATAACTCTTAAATAACTGAAGAATAAGCATCCAGATTGAAGTTTAAAGAATGGGTCCCTCTTTATTGCTCTTTTATGAAAGTTATTTTGAATGAATGCAAACCCAGTGCAGGGTTGCTGATATGGTGCGGAATGTCTCTAACCCATTCAGGTGGAATAAGCCTGATCACATGACTGAACTGCACAAAGGCCTGAAGCTCTCATTTGATTGTAATGACAGCTATACCAAATGAGAGCTTTACACTGTCTCATAACTATCCAATATTATTTTGCATTAAATTAAATATTTTGCAGCCACAACTTTAACAATATCAGGGACTAAACCAGTTGTTAAAAGCCGTGGGCCACGAATGTTCTCCCTCCATTCACACTATCCCAGAATATTCTGGCCTTTTTCACACTGTTCTAAAATGTTCACCCTCAGTTCACACTGTTCTAGAATGTTCTACTCTGTTTACACCGGTTAATTTTTTGTTCTTGAACAGTATTTGGCAGAGAAGAACTGGAGAAGGCCATTATTTCTGCTTCAGAAATGCTGTTTTTATTGGACAAGGCAGGAAAGGGCACTAAAATAGGAAAGGTCACTTCTAGACATGTAACTTCACCAAAACTACACCCTGATACAATACAAAACACACAAACAACACATAAACACATCTTAAACTAACAAATAATGACAACAACAGCAACAAAAGTCTTTTTCACTTGGGGCGTCGGGAGGTGGAGCACGCGTTGCATACCACGCCTCTGAAGTCCCTTCTGCAACACGGAGCAAGTGGCAACTGCCACAGTATAAAGCCAACTGCTAACACTAGAGTGTTGCTTTTCATCAGGGAAAGTTGGGTTGGTGTGCTCTGGGCTGAACTGTTTTAACTGTTTAAAAGTAAGAGAGCTCATCATAGCTGTGCTCGACTGCTTGCTTGACTCCCCTGTATTGCCCAGACACCAGTCAGTATTTGGAATGGAATTGTTGCTTATCCTCATCAGCAGTAATGAGAGTCTCAGTATTACACAACAGTTTGACAACATTGATCGTGAAATTAGAGCTGTGGATGGCTAGAGCAGTGTTGAACAGCACAGTCGTTGGGAGCCCAGCACTGGGAGCCCCTGAGCCTTGTCTAAACAAAGGGCCTGCCTAACTGCTGTCCCAGTGGAGACCTTAGCCTAGCCTGTCAGATTCCATTCCATACATGCACTGGCAGATAATCATTAGCCTGGGCAGGATTCATCAATGGGGGAGTAAATCAGGTTGATATTGAGCTTGAAGCATGGGGCAAAGCCGAACATGGCACTATGTTCCTGCTAGCTACTTATTACACATTCACTGTGTTATAATGGCTTTGTGGGCAGTTATAAGATTGTTTTGCACAAAGTGGGGCACAAGCACAGTCTAGACTACTTGTAACCACCTGGTATAGACTCATGACCGGACATATAGACCTCCCTTGAGACTGCATACTCTAGGTTTTAAAATAAGCTGGTAGACCAGCACTAAACTCTTTGTGAAGGCTTTGTGAATAATGAGTTTGCATCAGTTGTCAAAGATTAAATGATATTGGTGTCAAAACTGTCACATGTCTAGAGCTACCATACTTTGACAGCACAACATCTGATCAATAACTTTTTATTTGCACTTAGAAATAATGTATATGCCAGTTCCTAAAAGGCCTATAAAATCTGAGCAGAAATCTAGTGGTGAGGAGCTTTTGGCATAAGGACCTGCTATATGTATCCTGCTCCATTGTGATTTCTCTACATTAACCCTAATTGATCAATCTGGCAAACTCAACAGAGCACTCTAGAAGCGTGGTTTGCAGACTATAATGCATACAGTACTCACCAGCCCCTATACCACCAACCCAGTGTTAGTCCGAAGTCAAATAAATCACAGTGTTGTCTTTTTTGTATACATACTGACTTATTACATGCTATGCATTTAAGTAACTTGCACACAGATCAAAATGAAATGAGTGGAAAATGTACTTAATCCCATCTTTTGCTGATTTTTCCTTTTAGTATTATTGCACTCACTACCACTCTCTCACTCAGCCCTTCCTAAAAGATGGGTCCAGGGCCATTATTAATATTTATTGCATTTGCAAAAGAGAGGTTATAATGATCTAAGGCATGGTCTTATACTGCTCGGCAGAGAGGCTTGCTTTAAGAACATGGAACACAGAGCTGCTGACCAAGTCTTGATAAATCTAGAGTCTGTAGGTTCTAGTACCCAGCTCCATATAAATGAAATATATTTTCTGTATGTTACATCTTCATATGTTCTATTTAATGTATATTCCATTAAGCTTTGAAATATTTTTATAACATATTTTGATATATTTCATTCCCTTGTTTGTGCATACACCTGAAAGCAGTAGAACATACAGTCTCGCAGAAGATTTTAGTCCCTCGTAATCTTTCACATCAATTTGTTAATGATCAAATCACAGGATTTTGCACAAAATATCTCTTATCCTCAACTTAACTCAAGTTAGTTTTGACAAATGAAACACACAAAACATCAAGTCATTAATCACTCTTTTTTTAATTTAAAGCTCTGATACTGTAGTAATCCCCCTACTGGGTGAATGTTTGCTATGTAATATTGGAGCTAGACAAGGTTACACATGGTGACATCCACAGAAAGTGTGTTGGGGGGGGACATTAGCATTCTTAGCAACCAGTGGCCAGAAGACTGGCTATGATGTCACGTTGCCAGGCAACAGCCAAAAGAGAATCTGCAGCCTCATTCTTCATTTGAATAGTCGTCTGGTAGAGGGGCTGAGTGTTGTCCAATCAGAGGCTATTACAGGGGCCACAACTGTGACACTGCTGTCATTTAAAAAAAGTCCAAAAACTGAGAATTTTTGTAAAACACTGTGGCTTTCGGTACAGAATTAAAATCTCTTCCTCTGCTGTGTAGAGTGTGTTTACTTAAATCTAATTCATTTAGAGATACTGGTAGGGTCAACTTGAGGCCACTATGTGGACATAACACAATTATGCTAGATGAAATGAAACAACTGACAGCAGCCTTTAAAAGAGGGGAAATTGATAGTGGCATGCTAAATGACCAGTAATGCAACAAATAAGACAATAACAGGGTGTGGTGAGGACTGGTGAAGCACAGGGTTGGGTATCAGAAAATCAACAGAGTTTCTGTACGTCTGTCTGAAAACAGAATCATCTGCAAATAAAAGCCAGACGTCATTTTAATAATTAATCAAAAGTTTTGCCTACACAGCATGTTAATAGCTCCTAATAGCAGCCACTGAGCTACTCGCAATTAAATTTGTGCATTTCCTGATCAACTAACAGCCTGTGTTTCGTGGTGAAATGTGGACCAGACTCAAACACATGCTGGACTGGTCAATATTTAATCAGAATAACGATTCCTGGATCTGTAAATGAAAAGCTACAGCAGTTAAGGAGCTTTTAAAATCAGAGGTACAGCTGCTTACATATGCAAACAGGCCATAGTAACAAAGTTTATTATGTAGACTGTGAATCAAACAGAGTATGCCTTGTGGTAGGTACACACACACACACACACACACACACATTTGGGGGGATATAATTGAAATCTTACTTAGGGACCCCCATTCAAATCACTTTATTGTTTTGTATGCAAGAATAAATATGAATAAATACTTAAGTTTCATGAGTTTAATAATTGCTAAAGGGAAACACAATAAAAAAAGAATATACAGGGAAAACAGAACCTTTAAACAACAATTATTAATACATTAATAATTTATACATTAATATGTCAGTAATGTTTTTTCTGCCAGTAATATGCTTGACAAAACTACAGTACGGTACAAAAGTCAGAGCTCACTTTTCATTTATGTAATTTCCATTTTTCAAAATCAGGGGAAAAAACAGAAAACATATATTTTGCAGAAAATTATACAGAAACAACAACAACTAAATAGAATATATTTTTCAGTATACAGCCTGTCCACCCTTTGCCTTTTTAAAGAAATCTGCAGGGGTATTTTTCCACACCTCCACAGTTTAGTCTTAGAAGTTGCTTGCATTTTATCACAATCCAAGTCTGGACTCTGGGGTGGTCAGTCCATTGTTCTGACAACACCAGCAGCTTCTTTATTTGATTTGCATATTTTCTTTTTTTTCTCTATTTCCTTTTCTCAGTAAGGACTTTTTTGACAGCTACATGTCTTTACAGACTCATAGTGTTGAGTTGTGTTCTCACAGTGGAAGGATGGACAGAAACACCTGTGGATTTTTTCAGATCTGAAGCAACAGTGGAGCTTGACTTTCTCCTCTCTCCTTTTTTCACTTATAATTCCTGTGACTTTTCTTTATGCAAGTGGATTATCTTATATCTCCTCCTCTCAATATCTCCTGAAAAATGAATGACTTGTACTTATTAGTCATTTTGACTGGACATTAAATAAATGACATTTGGTGGTCTATGACATTTGCACAGTAGTGTGCAGACTCACTTTGTGGCTTGGGGACACTAAACCTATACTGCAAAAAGCAACAGCTCTGCTTACACATACACACACACACATACACACACACACACACACACACACACACACACACACACACAATTCACCCTCTGATACATTTAAGTGCTCATTAGCTGCTACAGAAGAAATGGACACTCTAAGAAACCGTCTTTTCCGGCTGTGTAGAAGGCCTAATGCTGATTGTGGTTGAGCTTGGTAGAAAGTCATAAAAAGGGTGACTGGAAGAGCACAGGGCACTAATGCTCTCCTAATTAGGTGTGGTTAGTCACTTGAGACAGAAGCTTATGCCCATAAAACAATTTGTCCTGCCCAAACAGCATTTGAGTCATGTTGAGTTTGTATAGCCATATTGTTGAACAAGTGTGGACTGTAAAGCAAGAAAATGTCTTTTCTTCCTCAGTATTACTGATATATAAAAATGATAGCTTTATGCTCTAAACTTGTCATTTGCATTAGTACACCCTTAAAACCAGGTTCGTTAAGGGTTCTTTAGTAAAGGCAATGGTTCTATATAGAGAGAACCCTACAAATTAATAAATTGTTTTTTACATGGTTAAATGGCACCTGTCTATGATGGAAAATGTGTTATGGTTCTTTAAAGAGCCTTTTAAGATCTTTACAGAGTTTGCAAAAAATCATCAACGCAGACATTCACCAGAATAGACATTGAAGGCTCAGACATTTGGTATATAAATGAATGTAAAACCACTAATAGAAACCACTGCGATTCTTAATCTAAATTAAAAAAGGAATTAACTATTATTAATGAAATATAATTAACAATAAGTACTTCCACCAGTTCTCCCTGGTGTTTAGTTGAAAAACTTAGCTGGTCTTGCAGGGTTTCCAGAAATATTTGAGTCACCAATGGATATAAATACCCTAATTCAAGCATAAGTGAAAAACAAGTAATAGTAGTGCAAACTGCTAGAGTGCATAACAATGCCAGTAAATAATCTTGCTACAATGCCTCATTATCATTTGAATGGCTCTCATATGAGAGCAATCTCAAAATTACTGAAGCTTTTGCTGTATTTAGTCCACAGACTGAGCTCTCCATGTAAAACAATATCAAAAGAACAGATATCACACATATACCTGAGTTACATGACATCTTTATTCTTTTGGCTTCCTTAATCAGATGACTCATAGCAATGTCTTGCATGCAGTTTAGCCATAGACTACAAGCTCAATGCATGTGTAAAATATGGCATCTATTACCTGTGCTTATGTAATCAAAACATTCATTTTGTATAAATGTAGATTTCACTGACAGTAAAAGTTTTTAGTACAGGTATAATACACGTACAGAACAGTATACCATATATCAGCATCGCAGCATTCTTTATGTGGGAATCATATCATGGGTCTTTAAAGAGAAGTAGTAGGTTAGAAACAAAGTAAGAAGTTACCTGATAAAATTTCATAACAAAAATGTAAACAAATGCAAGGATCAAGAATCAAATCTGTCTGTTTGATGACACTTTATCTCTGGCAGTTGTAATCAGTAGTCAACCAAAAGCTTTGCTCTATTTCAGTCTTAGATAATATTTCAGATAATGCATGAGGAGCATGCTCAGTTTGCAAAGATGTTTCTTGAAAATACACACCAAACTCAAATATAGAGGTTCTTCCCTTTCATCGCTGACCAGGGAATTTGACAAATGGAAACGTGCAGCCAAACAAAGTGTCTCCAGTATATTTTCTTATCGCTGTGCATTTACAAAAACACATACCCACGAACTATAAAAAGCAAAGTGACTATACAGTATGCAATACAGACATGATGAGAAAGTCACTCAAATTTAACTAAAAGCTGTTGAGAAAGAGGAAAGTAGTTAATGTACCACATCTCTTTGATTACATAGTTTTCATCTTCCAAAATATTACATAGTCCATACCTAATCGAAAAAATTTGCTATAGAATGCATAGCCACACAATACATTTGCTTGTAGGAATAATAAAAGGATCAGTCTGACAAAGACAACCTTCAGCATGACTGTTGGTCAGAGTGTGGTATGAAGACTTTGGGAGCAAACAGAAAGTTTGTCCAGAGAAATACAAAAAAGGAGCAGATGAGGCCAGGATGCTGTAGGACTAAGTCGCTTCAAATGAATGGATCTTTAGCTGTTTCTTGCCTGAGAGTGTTGAAAGAAGTACTCCTGGGTTTATACACATCTATTTACTCTACTTTGTAAAATTGTACATTAAAACAGTTAATTAAAGCTTGGCTGTGTACAGTAGATTCTCAAGAAATGCAGAGATGTACATTTAATACACTCTAAAAAGTGATGTGTTAACAACAAACTTGTGTTATCCATTTTAACACTTTTTGTGTCATATTGTTTTCTGATTTAACACATTCTGTGTTAAAAGCAACCCCAAATGTGTTATCCAGAACTGTGTAAAGAAATATTTCAACACATTCTGTGTTAAAAGTAACACAAAATGTGTTGTGTCCAACTGAACACACTGATGTGTCTTGTTAGAGACAGAATGTGTTGTTTTTTTAACACGTGTTTTAAGAATGTAGTATTTGTTCAGGAACAGATGAACTTGTTTGTACTGTATGCTCATGATGGAGACAGGCCGTGAATAGGCACATAAACTAATGGCTTTCTAGTGTGGTTAAGAGGCACCTGAGAGGCATAAAGCCATTTTGAAATACTGGACAAGATAGGCGACTGTCTTCTGTTTTACTACGGGCGGGTGTTGTAATTTTTATTGGACAGCAAAGAAACCCACTGACGCAAAATATAGTCATTTTCTTTTTTTAAAACCTTCAACACATCAACTCTCTAACTCTTTTTCTTTAAATAATAGAGGTAAAGTAGCACAAAGTCTTAAAAACAATGTCATTAAGAACATGACTTTTTAAGAAAAAAATAGATTGTTGAATAATATGGTATTAAAATGCAAGACACTAGATGCAGAAACACGCATGACTTCATATGGTCCTGTCAACCTTCTCAGAGAAACAGCATAGAATGTGCAGCCTCATTATATAGCCACATCAATCACTGCCACATTTCAGGCACTAACCTTCATATGAAACTCAAGTAAGGTTTGTCATTTTGGCATAGACAGCCACCCTTAGAAAGGAGGATAGTTGATCCCTCGAAAGCTGTAAACACTTTGTCTCCTTACATCAATTTTTTGAGGATTTTTTCTACCATTTCACGTTCATTTCTTTCGCTCCTTGTTATCCTTTCCTTTGACCTCCTTTTCCCTTTTGTCCTTCTCATATTTGTCCTTGCCACCCTGTGTTACGTTGTCATATGATGGTGGTATGGCTGTGGATGGAGTTGTGTCACCTTTGTCTGAAGTGGAATGGTTGTTAAAGTTGTCTCTGGCCACTGAGTCCTTGTGTGAGACCTTTCCGTTCTCCTGTGGAGTGTCTTTGTACGTGTTGGAGGCCTGTTTCATACTGTGTCTTACAACGTGTGTCCTGTAGGCTCTTTGAATGATGACAGCCGACATGTCCTCCTGTTTGCGCCGCAGTGTTGTGGTGATGGGCTCGTAGGACACTTTGGATGGGTTGGAGGCCATGAAGCGGTCCTCCATCTGTCCGCGAAGGACGTCCATCTCACCGCCTTCCCCGAGGACGTGTTTCGTAAAAGCAAACAAGATGTCCAGGCAGTGGATTCGTTCCCCACTCACCATTGGGAGGTCCATGTTGATCAGCTGGATCTTATTCGGCTTGGGTATACGCAGAGGAGGGTCCAAAGCATCAGCAAAATCAGACAATTTGTTGTATTCCATGAACTGTGTGGCCTTGGGGTCAAATTTCTCCCACACCTCGTAGAACATCTCAAAGTCATCCTCGCTTAATGGCTCTGCGCTCTCCTCTGTGGCCACGCTGAAGTTTTCAAGGATCACAGCTATGTACATGTTCACCACGATCAAAAAGCATATAATGATGTAGCTCACAAAGAAGAAGATGCCTACAGATGGGCTGCCACAGTCGCCCTTAACTTTGCTGCCAGGGTGTTCCTTAGTAGGGTCACAGTCAGGAGGCTTGGTATTGAGGATCGGTGACAGGAGAGAATCCCAGCCTGCAGAAGTGGTGATCTGAAACAAACAGATCATGCTGTTGCCAAACGTCTCAAAGTTAAACATGTCGTCAATGCCGGCTTCCTTCTTGACATAGGCGAAGTTCGACATGCCGAAGATAGCGTAGATGAACATGACTAAAAAGAGGAGAAGGCCGATGTTGAACAGAGCTGGTAGGGACATCATCAAAGCAAACAGAAGGGTGCGTATTCCCCTGGCGCCCTTGATAAGGCGAAGAATCCGGCCGATCCGAGCAAGCCGAATGACGCGTAACAACGTCGGCGAGACAAAGTACTCAATGACCCCAGAAACACAGGTGCCTGTTGAAAAGGGGGAAACATTAGAAATGCTATAACATGTTATTCCTCCAAATGTAAAATCATTTACAATTTCTGATCATAAACAAGTTGCCAGATCTTACCAACTATTGACAGAATGACCACTACAAAGTCAAAGATGTTCCAGCCAACTGTGAAGAAGTATTGTCGAAGAGAGATCATCTTCAGCGCACATTCCATTGTGAATAGCACAATGAAGATCAGATTAATCCAGTAAAGAATTGCCTTCTGGCTTTCTGACTGATCTTCTGTCTCCACCATCATCGTGACCATATTAAGGCATATAAGAATCATAATGCAGATGTCAAAGGCTTGATTTGTCACAATGTCAAAGATAAAACCCTGGAGCTTGTTCTGAAATACACAAGAAAAAATGGCATGAAGCATGTTTAATATTTAGTTTCATTTTGGCCATTGAGTACGTTATTCATTTTTCAGCATCAGACAAAAGCAAGAAACATGTATTAAACAGACAATTATACAAAAGCTTCAACTACTAAATATAACAGCATTTTTTTCAGTATTCAGCAAGTAAGACTTGTTTTCATTCTTTCAAAGAAATCTTCAGTGATATTTCTCCACAGCTCAGTCTTAGAAGTTGCATTTTCTCATGATTCAAATAATCCCAAACATTGTCAGTGGTGTCAACGTCTGGACTCTGGGGTGGTCAGTCTATTGTTCTGAGAACATCAACAGCTTCTGTGTTTGATTTACAAATTTTCTTCCTTGTCTTTCTTTTCTCAGTAAGAGCATCCTGACAGCTACACATCCTTTCAGAGCCACAGTGTTGAGCTGTCTTCTCACAGCAGAAGGATGGACAGAAGCACCTGTGGACTTTTTTCAGCTCTGAAGCAAGAGTGCTTGACTTTCTCTTCTCTGATGAAAGATGAAAGCTTTAAGTGCTGTTTATCTGATGATGACGGTTTTGGTGGTCTACCAGGTCTTGCAAGGTTGTTAGGATGTTCTCTGTACCTTTTAATCATTTTTTAAAACTCAATTTTTTATCTTTGCTTTAATCTACCCCTTCCTATCGCAAGTGGATTATCTTAAATCTAATCTCCTGAAAAATGAATATGTTGCACTTAATGTCTGTTTTGAGTGGAAATTATATAAATGAAGGGTCACTCTCATGTTTGCACAGTACTGTATATAAATATATCAGTGGAATTTCTTACTGCTGGCCGGGGAATTGGTTTTTGCAGCTTCTTTGAGCCCAGTTTCTTCATAGCATTGTAATATTTCTTCTGTTCCTCTGTCATAAAAATGTCCTGACCTCCAAAGTAAATGGGAAAAACAGAACAATTAAATTTAGGATGAAACTTTCATAACACAAAACTCATCTAAGAGTTCAGTGCTTACACTCTTTAGTCAAGAACCACTCTTAATTGTTTCTTGGTTTGGATGCGCAGTCCTAGGAAAGATTTATAATTGGTTTTTACATTACATACAGGTTCTTTAAAGGGAAATTCCACCGATTTTGCTAAATTCCTTAATCATTCAATGGTTTAGATGTAAACAAAATAATTTGGAGTAGGTTTGGTGTGTAATGCCCCTTTCTAGAGAGATTTACCAAATCAGAATAGTTCACCGTTATAGCACTAGGAACCAGACGTCCAAACAGTAATATAAAATATTACTTCAGGATCACTTCTGTGTTTCCTCTCAAAACTACATTTTCAGCTGAGATCAATGCGCACAAGCTAATGTGCTTTTGTAGTTACTAGCCTGTAGCTACAGCCGCTCAACATGGCTAACGCCAGTGTTGTATCTGATTCGGTTCCCCCTCAAATTCATGTTCCCTTTGACAATTCAGGTCCTTGGGCGCATGCATTCACTAAACAGATAACAATGCCAAGCCACACTGGAACTACAGAAAGCGGAAAGGTTCAAAAAAGGTTTTTACGTCTGCTGTATTCACCGAATCAGTAACGAACAGGCCAAAAATAATTTATCAGCATGATTGTTTACTGTATTTTCAAATTGAAAATAATATTTATCACAGAATCTTTATTATGCCGTGTTAGCTTGGGTGCATTTATATTGGGGATTGGGTGAAAACACACGGCCATTCAATCTTTTTATGAACGCTCTCTGTAGTTCCAGTGTTGCTTGTTGTTGAATACATAAGCTATGACACTGTGTGATGTAACACCACCAACGCAAAGCGGATGTCGGGTGGAGAGGTACATGCAAAATGTCATTACGTCAAAATGTTAGAGGAGCTACAAGCATTATTTTAAAAGATTAATTATATGAATTAAACGGACAAAGAAAATAAAAAACAAAAATACAACTTTTTTTCAACATTTGATAGCGTCAGGACCTCAAACTGGTTAAGATACTTATCTTTTTCTTCTGCTGGTTGAAGTTGTCAATAATGACACCAATGAAGAGATTCAAAGTGAAGAAGGATCCAAATATGATGAAGCCTACAAAGTAGATGTACATAACAAGGTTTGCTTCATACTTGGGCTGTTCATCTACCTACAGATACAAACAGAAACAGTATACATTAGTAATACTGCAGACGCCTTGAAACTGTGAACTACAGTCATCCACAATCCACAGGTTGGGAATAGTAATTTAGGATTACTATAATAGCACAGACTTACATTGCGAGAATCTACTGCTGCATACATAATGTCCATCCAGCCCTTGAACGTAGCCTTGAGGGGAAAGAGGAAAAGAAAATATAAAATCAATTAAACTAAACAGGAACATGAGCCTTTTCCAATCTCAAAAGTTAGGATAGTGTGTGAAATTCTAATAAAAACAGAAAGCAGTCATTAGTTAATACTCTTTCAGTTGAAGTAAATTGAAAATGGTACTAAAATGTGATATTTGATGTTTTATCTTACAAACTACTTTGTTTTTTGTAAATATACACTCATTTTAAATTTGCCTGCAACACATTCTTCAACACAGTCTTCAGCGGTGCAACCGTGCAAGGCTTTGGTTGCCGTATTTTGAGCTTAATAAGACATATTTTCAATGGGAGGCAGTGTTGGACTTCAGGCAGGTCAGTCTAGTACCCACACTCTTTGATTACACAGCCATGCTTTTTCAAGGACCAAGCCTTTCCTGTATGCTCCTTTTACACCTAAGCATGATTGCATTACCTGATTAAGATGTCTTTCAATTTTATTCTAGTCCTAAATTGACCCTGTCCAAAATTTTTTGGAACGTGTTGAAGGTCTCAATTTCAGAATAAACATATACTTAGAAAAAAACAATTAAGTTGATAAGATAAAGCATCACATATCTTATCAATATAGTTTCTGTTCAAATACAGGTCAAAGTAGACTTTAAAATCACTGCTTATTTGCATTTTACCTACTGTCTCAACTTTTTTTGGAATTTGGGTTTGTACAAAAACAGGTCTGCATTATTCAGTTAATTCTAACAACAGACACATCACTGAAACAAGCTCTTTGATTCTAAATCATAAAAGGACACCTTACCACTTGCAGCAAGGCCAGATATCCTGCTCCAACATTGTCAAAGTTAATCTTCAGATTTTTCCAACGGGCAGTATTATTGCCTAGTTGCTCACACTCCGTTTTATTCGTGACCTCTGTCTCATTAAAGCGAGCTCCTGAGGTTATGTTTACACACTCATAGAACTTTCCAGCAAACAGATTGACACCCATGATGCTGAAGATGAGCCAGAAGATGAGACAGACCAGCAGCACATTCATGATTGAGGGAATGGCACCAAGAAGAGCATTGACAACCACCTATCAGAGAGCCATAAAACACCGTATTACAATATTGTGATACACTGAGACTCCTCGTGGAAGCACTTTATTTTACAGCTATATTTTGAATCATAGCTACCATGTAATAAAAAAGGGATTATTTGCAAAGAAAAGGGAACCTCAATAAGCCTTTCTTCACTTCCTGAATACTTCATTCCAGGCTGTATTGACAGACAAGACTTCATGGACATCTCTTAACACAGACATGAGTTTTGTTGTCATGGTGGTAATTAAGCCACCATGTATTTAAAAATATTATGCATGAACTGAAAAATAAAGTGCAACCTGTAAACATTACTTGAGCTGTTTTGACTGGTCATGGTAAAGAGAGGAGAACACAAGAGTGAAGCGAATAACTGCCAAATGCACAAATCGGTAAAGGCACCACAACAGCACACTTAACAATGCTGACATTAACAACAACAGCTACCACAGGGGACAAGGCAGGGAAACCAGGATAAGGAAAAGAAGGGAAAGTGTTCTCTACAAGCCACACTGTAGATCTGCTGTTTTTCTTTATGTTACACAACTAAAGTACAATTGAACAAAAACGGAATAAGAAACCTTGTTGAGGCACCATCATGTCACACATGTTTACTGCAAATGAACACATGAAAAACAAATGAAAACACATGATAAAGTCACGCAGCAGGCGACACATACTGACGCAGTGTGCAGTTTTCAAAAACATCAATACAGATCCAGTACAGTGACGAAAGGCTAGTCATGCAGATGGGAGAATTCAGTGGCTACCACGTGAGGAAAGGCCATTGTAGCAGCAGCACTGCATGGAAAACTCAGCCCAACAAAAACATGCAAGTGTTTGATCAATGCTGGCTCTATCAAGCCCTCCCGGAAATCTCCCATCCCCCTGCTGTTATGTAAGCAAGCACATCTATCTCCACTCTGTACTGTCACTACCAATTCCCCATTGGTCAATGTCCAGTAAAACAATGTCGATGACGACAAACGTTGCATTGCATCAGGGGAAAGTCCATAACAGACCACCCAATTTGGTCACACATTGCATTACATTCAAGTCATAAATCCATATGTAGGCATTCTATAGACAAATACGCATGCTACCAACATGCAAGTCCAATTGTGCTTTAATGATTTGAATTAATGTCTCTTTCATTTTTAAAATTTTAATTTTCAATTTTCAAATAATATATTTAAAAAACAAAAACAAATATTTAATTTATATGTGTGTAAAATGTCTTGTTAGGGTAGATAGCATATACTTTTTTGCAGCGTAATCAAGCTAACATTAGTATGGCGGCAAATTTCACTTCCAATTTAACTTTCAATTAACAACAAAGACATAGTTGAGCCGGGTAGCGTAGCATTTTGATCTAAATTCATTAATTAAATGGAATTTTTTGCAACGTTGTGTACATCTTGTCCAGCCTCACAAAAGTACCTACGAAAGAATACATTTTTAGGCGGAGCATGGATTTTCCAAGAGTGTTTGGTGAAAATTTTTGATTGGCTTTAACATAAATTATTTCATGAGATAATAATAAGTACATAATGTATTTTAATATGTAAAATATGCAACAAAATATGTAAAAACAAACAAACAAAAAAACAACAGAAATACATTATTTGAAGTGATGGGATTATGGGCAGCTATGCAGCAGTTCACTTGACTGACAGAGCTTTTCTTTCAGGATAATGGAGGCTAAATCTAATGTTCTGAAAAACACATTTGGCTGGAACAGTCAGAGGAAGAGACAAGGAAAAGAAAGCGTCTGTACATTGGAAGCCTCACCACATGCATGCACACAACTCATTCCACTATGTGCACTATGCTTTAAAGGATCATTAACACTGAGGCCCTGCTTCAAACAAACAATAGGAACTCACTTAAAGCACAGTGATCACTATCTTCAATCAGCTAACGCTCATGTTTAGGTTCCACTAGGTCAGACCATTATTTGATGATGAAAAATGTGTTACTCTTGCACTGTGGCAAAGTTTGGGGACATCTTGTGTTTCAAAACAAGAAAGCATGTTTTCCCAGCTGATTTGTAATTATGCTCTACATCAGTCAGGATTTCAGGATATGCTACTTGTCAGCATACCCCTTTAATATGTTAAAGCTGATAAGCTGATAGATCCTGTTATTTCTCTTTGCAAAAACTACAAAGCTGAAGGAACAACTGAAAAAAGTGCCAGCTTGTGAATAATGCCAAAACCCACACATTTTTTCCCCTTGTTGTGCTGTCAACACTCATCAGCACTTTAAACAATAGTTCAAAACAAAACTCTAAATTCATCACTTAGGCAAAATCTATTCTTCATGCCAAGGAAGACATTTTGATGAACATTAATTGATGTTTTAATTGATGATTAATTGATAAACATAATTGATTGTTGTAAAATATACCCAATGTATTAGTAGAAAGCCGTTCCATGTGAACAAAACAGTCGCATGTGTTCTTCCTTATTTAATAGAAAAGTAACACTGAAAATCAAACAATGCTTGGAAAATATCTGAAGAAGGCAGACTGTCCCCAGACTTTTGATGGTCAGTGTTTAAGTACAATTAAAAAAAACTGATTCACATAGGTTTCCACATTAATAAAATATATTGCATCAGCTTATTTATATTTACAGGCCTATGCAAAAGTTTAGGTGCCCCTGGTCCCTTGTTGATTTTCCAAGTGAAAATGAGTTCATCCTCTACAGAGAGCACACTTTTGCACATTTTAATAAACAATTACTGTTTACTTGTTGAATTTAATATATTTGAAAAAAATAAAACAAAACATTAAATGTGCAAAAATTACGTCCCCTTTTTATGTTTTATTTTTTTCCAGCATGTTAGAAAAAATTCAGAATAGAAATTGTGGAATTATAGTTTAGTTTCTTCCCTGTAGACAATGTGTTAACTCATTTTTACTCAGAAAACCAGGGGGTGTTCAGACGTTTGCACATGACTGATGTATTTTATTCATTTGGAAATGATGTACAGCATGTTATGCTTTTCTCAGCACTGTCAGGAAGTGAAGCTGCTCAGTAGCAGCTCTATCTCTTACCCTCATTCCCTCGAAGCGTGAGAGTGCTCGGAGAGGTCTCAGGGCCCTCAGTGTACGCAGAGATTTGATGGCAGTGAGCTCCGAGCAATCAAGGGCGTTGGCCACCAGACTGATCAGAGAGACCTACACACACAGTTCATGCAGATGATGTAATCAGGAGCCACTTCTCTCATCTGCCTCTCTCCTCTCTCTCTCTCCTTCTCTCTCCATCTCTTTACTCCCTTGAGTAGTAGCCTTAGACCCACAAATGGCTAATCCATTCACTCACTCAATCCTTGCCAAACACTATCACACACTCACCACATGCAGCTGAACTCTTTTCTTCCCACACATACACACAATAACAGAGACTGCAGCAAGAAAAATATGAGCAAGTTAATTTTGTTTTAGAGCTATCACCCAAAAATAACATTTAGAAAATTGCGAAATAAGGACATACATCGACAATAAGGAAGTCCAGCCAGCACCAGGCATTGGTGAAGTATTTAGCAAATCCATAAGCTAGCCATTTCAAAAGCATCTCCAACATGAAGACGTAGGTGAAAACTTTATCTGCATATTCCAAAACCATCTTCAATCTCTTGTACTCCTCAATGTATATGTCTTCAAATGCCTGGAAAAAAACACTTGTATTATATTTTGATATACGCAATGCTACATTTCACACTTCAAATAAAATCTTTTTTCCCCACACAAGCTCTCCCACCTCAACCCCCCTGCCTCCTCACCAGTGCTCCACTGCTGAGCAGGATCATAAAGATGATGAAGGATTCAAACCAGTTGTGCTCCACTATCCTATAACAGGTACGTCTGACGGTCCACCATGTCTTCCACCTGCCCTTCTCCACACTCACCTGACAACACGGAAACCTGCGTACACAGCCTGGGGAAGCACAAGCAAGAGGGAGAGATACAAAAATATAGAAGTGGGGTGACAGAAGTACATCCTGCCGCTATCATAAGAAAACCTCATATGTCTAACTTCAGAGAACAGACTTACATTTAATGTAGGCTAACCCCATAAATGGCCAGGACACTCCAAAGTGGGTCATCAACACCATCATCAACACTGTTTAATGCATGTACGCTAAATATCCAAAAGTTTATAGACAGCCCTACTGATTAGTAAATTCATCAATTTTAAGATGCAGCCATTGCTGAAATAGATATTCAAATGCACATAGAGCTTGCATAATCTCCACAGAAAGACATTCCCACGGAATGATGGAATGATCTGGAGTAGCCGCACATGAGCTTCTATCCATATCAGATAAGTAAGACATGAACAAGTCTACAAAAATATTTGGACACAGAATGTACTGAAGCCTGTGACCATTGTGACTATACTTTGTAACTATTTTTTACACTGAGAGCAAATCTGACCACGGTTTGATAAATTGCACCCAGTTGTTGACGGTTAGGCACCATGGCTCACCATCTGTGAAGCAGGCCTCTGGATCCATAGACTCTTCCAGCTCAAAGTCCAGTGACTCTCCTCCCTCCCTCAGGGGCCTGATGTCCACTGTGCTGCCCTCAGAAGAGCTCATCACCGATAGCTTCTGCAAGAGCAGTCCAGACACAGCACACATTTCCATGACAACGTCTCAGCTGGGGCCGGCCGCCGCAGCGTCGCCAGGGAGATGACACACGGAGTCAATCATTTTAGCCGAGTCATGTGGCTAGCTTGTGAGGCCAGGCCTAGGTCTTTGTGAACTCAAGACTACATCCTGATGCTCATGCAGCGGCAACCAAATGTACCTACAGACTTGCACAATATTTAAATGCAGCTTAGCGTGTGATTCAATTGGCCTTTGCTTTGAATGTTTTGTAATCAGGCCTGTAGGTAAAATTGACTGCAATTCATTTGTGTGGCATGCATTAACATGGCTGATCTTTAGCTGCGATGTGAATTTCAAAATATGAATATGTCAGTCATTTCAAGTCACCCTTCATGTAAATAAGCATTTGAAGAGCAAGGGTACAAAAGAGAATTCATTCACAATGACATGGTTTCTTTTCTTGATATGAGCACAAAAGTCACATTTACTTTATTCCAGTGAACAAGACGCAGGCTTCTAAGTTAAGTTAAAAGTTATTATTGGGCTAATGGCAGCGTCATGCTGTGCACCTTTTTCAGAGGCAACACTGAGGGGGCTGTAAAAATCTCAGCTATTTTACACCTGTCAAAAATAAACAGTTCATTAATAATACATGATGGTTTCAGTTTTCTCGCTATGCAGTGACAGGTTTTGATCATGTTACTATTGAATCACAACAATTATATCATAATGTTGGTCGTCTTTGAGAGCAAAATTATAGTATTTTGCTTAGGAGTCATTAAAGTACTCATTTTAAGCACATATGATAGTCAACAAGGTCCATAAAGAGCCACCCTGCAGTGCCACTCTAGAAACATGCACCAGCCAACAGCAGTCTGCTGTGAAGGGACCCAACTAATGCAGCACTAGGAATGATGTAAGCATATGAAATCCAGATTTATAAGCTGCTCCCTGGATTTTTGCCTCAAACCATAGTACATGACTTGCATTGCAAATACAAGTTACTCCTGCTATTTATTTCAAAGGCCATGCCACTCAGCAGCCAATTATGTTTCTGTAATGCTAATGTTATTTACTGTTCTATAAATTTAAATATAAAATAATTTTTTACTGAATCTTTTCACTTCTGATAGTAATCTGCTTTCATCATTCCAATATAGAGAATGTGAAATGTCAACAAACATTTCTGAGACTCATTCAATGACTTATCCAATGAATTTTGATATTATGAAGCAAAATCCATTCCTTCAGGTCGATGTAATCGGAGTGGGCACTCTCTGACATTTCAGTGCGTACAATAGCAAGAAGGCAAACCAGACCATGAGACATCTATCAATGAAATGAGCAATGCTGCTCATTCAAGATGTGACAGTCTTGCAAAACATCATATATAAAAATGTAAAACATGGGTAAATAATGGAACTAAAATATAATTTCTACTATATGAGAGAGAAGAAGAAAATGAAACTGTGATCAGGCAAAAAATAAAAGGGAATGAGCCATCTCAAAAGGTGAATGCCTATGTCTCTTTTTCATGAATGGTAAATGCAATCTCCATGGTAGGTGTGGAATGTACTATAAACGGGTCTTACAAGTCTCCTCTCTGAAAACCTTGAGAGCATCTCAGAAAGAGCTGCAATAACAAAGCGGGTTTAGGGGGGTAAGTCTGCAAGAAGAAAAGATTATCTTGTACCGGTTAAGGAATATCAGCTAAAAGCACATTTTATCAAACTTCTTGAGAAATGAAAGTTATAAAGTAGAACTTCAGGTTTACAGGCTGCTACAACCTCAAACCACATGGAGTATGAATGACCGCACAGGAAAATCTGATGCATTTTAATGTGTTACAGTCAACTGACCATTAATACGTTTTCTATCTGAAGTAATCTAAATCAATGTAATCTAATGACAGAATTCTTAATTCCATTACTTGTTAATGTAGAGCTTACATGTACCTTAAATGGTACGTCTTTTCAATAATAGTACAGTGGCAGACCATATCAGCGACCCTAGGACAAGCTGGACAATCTTTTCATTCTAAACAAAGATATGACTGACCCTTCGCTAAAACCCTTGCCTAAAAACCAATTCCCCAATCATTGCTAAGGCACCTCTAACAAGCTTACAGAATGTTTGCTTTCATTCTCTCTCTCTCTCTCTCTCTCTCTCTCTCTCTCTCTCTCTCTCTCTCTCTTTCTCTCTTTCTCTCTCTCTCTCTCTTTCTCTCTCTCTCTCCCTATCTCCTCATCTTTCTCCTCATTTCATGCATACTGGTTCCTGATTCCACAACAGCAGGGTAGGTGGTGGTATTCATAATTGGCTTGTGATTAACAGAAGAAGAACCCTGTCTCATTGAGCGCACTCGCAGTCCCCATTTGTGCATTCCCATGAGGATTGGAAGGGCGTAGAGTGTCTCATTTCTTATTTTGCCGTTAAAGTAGGTGCTTACAAGCACAAGTGTGTTTACAGCTGCTTGACTAACATAGCAGACCTTGTCATTGAACTGCATAATGCCTATAATCTGTATTTGGCCACAGTGGATAAGCAAATCAGTTAATTAAAAAAAAAAAAACAAGTAACTTAATTTCGGCAGGTACAGTTTATGCACCTGTAAGCTGTAAGTCTTTTCCAAATGCACGCTTTAAAACCTACTGACCTTGAGGTCTCTTGCACTTTACATCCCCACATTGTTGAAGTCACTAGAATGCATTTCAGAACACAAACTGTGTGAACAACCAGAATATGCTGCAATACTGTTAGAAGTTCCATTGCATGCACTTCCATCTGCACACTGAGATCATCATAGGACCTAACTGTTTGTCTTGTCCTCATGTACCAAAAAAGGAAAATTTTAATATTTCATAACTTCCACCATTTCTAAACAAGTGCTACTTTTCAGCAACCCAAAGCAGATGTAATAAGCAAGATGCAACTTTTTTCTGTGGCCCCTTAGCATCCCCCCTACGTACCCCCCTGGCACAGTCCCCAATTTGAGAACCACTGATGTAGGCTATAATAAAAATTGCAGCTCTTGTGGAAATTGTACTTCTTCAAATTGTGATTTTGATATAAAAACGATTAATCTTTCAGTTATACAGGCTAGATAACTAAACTTTTGAATGCACTGCTCCAGTGTTTTAAATTTGCCACTGAAAACTCCATAGTTGACATAACAGGCTCAAAAGTTGCAGTAACAAGAGGCTTAGCGAAGGGTCAGTTCATATAGTTTTATTTAAAAGATACACATCTAAAACTCTTTCATTTATTTTAATGAAAAATAGGTCCTAATTGACTCTGTAACAAGTCAAGTCAGCCACCTTACCTCTTTATCTTCCTCCATGTCAGAAGAGTAGCTGCTGAAATCCTCCATGTTGTGGCACTCTGGGTCAGACTCTGCAGTGGCTATGGGCACAGTGACAGTCAAGCCAGAGTTGACAATGAAATTCTCAGAGTCGTTGTCTGCTCCTGCTACTGTTTTCATAGATCCTGGGTCTTTGCTCAGCTCTACTGTGGTATGATTGGAGATATCAGTCAGCTTCTTGCTGTTTTTTAGTCCATCCTCCTCTGATGCCTTTTTCTTTCTCCTTCTGAGGCAGGCACTCTGAAAGTAGCGGCGCAGACAAGCCTTAAGGAAAGCGATGCCTCTCTCGATGCGGCCCACAGCAATCTGTAAGTTGTTCAATTCACTGTCATCATCTGTGGCTGCCAGGTTATCTGCACTAAAGGAGCTGAGCAGCAAGGCCAGGAACAGGTTCAGAACCTGAAAGAGTTGAGATTGGAAGTCACTACAGGTACAGTCTTAATCTACTACGTACCACTTGGTAAAGTATCCTATTATATCCATTTTTTACATTATGACATTCTGGTCATTCAGTGTTTCAGTATCACATACAGTATCATTTTTCATATTTGCATACTGCAATTAGCAATTAACCCAATTACACACAAAAAAATGAATCAAAGGGGTTGTTTGATTCCTTTTTTAAATGTAAAATTCAGAAAGCTCTGAAATCCTGTAAATATATGCATACCACAAGATTTCCGATCACCATGACCATGAGGAAGACAATTAGGCACTTGGGCTGTCCAGAAACCACCATGCAGTCCCACATGGTCTCGATCCACTCCCCACATAGTACGCGGAACACAATTAGAAACGAGTGGAAGAAATCACACATGTGCCAGCGAGGGAGGCTCCCATCTGTTGAGATGTTCATCACGTTTATCTTGTAGCTCTTCCCAAACAACTGCATGCCCACCACAGCAAAGATGAAGACGATGATTGCCAGGACAAGTGTCAAGTTGCTGAGGGCACCCAGCGAGTTGCCAATGATCTTGATCAGCATGTTTAGAGTGGGCCATGACTTTGCCAGCTTAAAGACCCTCAGCTATGACGAGAAGATTTACCAAGTTAAAATATAGTCAACTATCATGGCAAATGCACTGGCAATATGAGTTGAACTGTCAGTCATTACAAGCTTTTCTTACTGATTAAACCTTTGACATTTGAAGAACAGTATAGCACTGTGCAAAAATCAGAACATTTTTAAAATTCCCAGTCAAAACGGCCAGTAAGTACAAGTTATTTATTCTTCAGGAGATATATCAGAGAAGATTAGATATAAGAGTGTATAATTGCATAAGGAAGAGCACAGTCAAAGGGAAATAAGTGAAAAAAAAAGTTTCCAAAACTGGAGAAAATGACATGCAAGACCTGGTAGATCACCAAAACCAGCAGATAAACAGTACTTAAAGCTTCCATCTTTGAGATAGACAAGAAAATCAAGCTCCACTGTTGCTTCAGATCTGAAAAAATCCACAGGTGTTTCTGTCCATCCTTCCACTGTGAGAAGACAACTCAATGATATGGGTCTGAAAGGATGTGTAGCTGTAAACGCATTAAAGGAAAAAAAAAAGAAAATTTGCTAATGAAATGAAGAAGGTATGGGTGTTCTGACCATGCCAGAGTCCAGACCTCAACATCACTGAATTGTTTGGGATTACTTGAATTGTGAGAAGCAGAAAATGCAACCAACTCCTGAGACTGAAATTTGCAGGTGTAGAAAGGAAACTCTTTATTTCACTGGAAAACTGAAAGCGAGTCTCCCAAACAGAACGGAAGGCGTGATAAAGGTAAAGTGTTGAGTAACTTTTTGTTTGTCTTTTTTATTCTGACACTGAAAAATGAATAACGTGTAATTAACGGGCATTTTTTGACCTGAAATTGTATAAATGAAGGGTCGTCTCTGACTTTTGCACAGTATTTTAAGTACGATATGAATACTGTCTTTAACAGGTAGCTTTCTTACCAGCCGGAATGACCTAAGAACAGACATTCCAGATACGTTGGCCAACCCAAGTTCCATGAGACTCAGACTGACAATGATACTATCAAATATGTTCCAGCCTTCTTGGAAGTAATAATAAGGGTCCAAAGCTATGATCTTGAAGATCATCTCAGCTGTGAAGATGCCTGTGAAAACCTGGACATAAAAGTGTTCTGTCGATCAAATGCAAGCAAGCATACCCACTAGCTTAAGTCTTTTAATGAACCCTAATGACCCAATTGTGGGCCCTCACTTAAGTTCCTCACTCTCATAGCTACATGAAGTTCAAATAAATTTCATAGTAAAAAACATAGGAATTCACAAAAAGTTACTAAATATTAATTGTAATAATATATTACACATATCAATATTAATATATAACTGCATTATAAGTCTGTGATTCAAGGAGCTTAGTCTAATTTAGGTGATAAGTTGTCTATACAATATTCTTGTTGTTTCAGAATATTAAATACTACGCAAAATGACTTAAAATGCTCTTACATAGTTTCCCACTGCAAGCATTGCACCGAAATCCTTATCCATGGGGTGATGCTCCATGGCCATGAATACTGTATTCATTACAATACAGATAGTAATGGACAAATCCACTAATGGGTCCATCACAACCATGTGAACTGTTTTCTTTATTTTCACCCATGTTGGACTGCACTCCCAGATTAAAAAAGTATGGGCAAACCTATACCAACACGGATGGCACTTCTGCCTAGACTCCTCCAACTCTGGAACATTAAAAAAGAATACACTAAGTAAATACAGACATTGTACTATAAGTGAATAAATCCAGTAGAATAATAGAAAAAAAAGAATACCATATATGAATCACAATGCTTTTAGGCTAGATAAAGCCAAGTATTTATCCTAATATAATGTAATATAACCCTCATGAACACATAGCACACACAATTTAGGCATGGTACATAGGACGGAAAACATTTCATCTATATAGATTTGAATTCATCTGAATCCTAGATTTGAATGCACCCACCTTCCATAGTGTTGGTGATAATACTGGCTACACTCAGAGCTCTCTGTCTGGCTATCTGGTCATCCAGGTACCCTGGTGAGGGCTGATGAGAGTCATATCTCATCCTGTACTCCTCTTGTGTATCCTCCTGGGTAAGATATCATCATGAACATGTGATTAGATGTTATTATAGACTTTATAGTATGACACCATAAAGCACCTATAGCACTTTGAATAAAGCAGTGCTTTGAATTTACTTGATTCAAATGTATATACCATTTCCACATAAATAAAATACAAATCAACACAGTTATGGGCAAAAGTAAATGAACTGAAAAACAAAACTGTGGCAATGTAATTTTATTTTATTAAATTATGTGGACTGGGATGCATTTAATTAAAGTAAATTCAATGCATTAGTTTTTAGCATTGACATGGTTATAGGAAATACGGCCCTGTATGATAATGGCTCCATCAACTACTTGTAATGAGTTAGTGAAATGCTTTCTATTCAACATATGGCAATAATGTCAACTGAATTTTGTAAAAAAAATGTATTGCTGTTTTTTACCAAATTCCACAATATATTATGCGCTAAAAAGTAATGCATTGAATTTATTGCCATATGAAAACAATATACTATGTCTTTTAGTAGTACTTATGTTGAATTCCGTCAATGTCATGTGGAAATGTACACATTTTAATTAAGTAAATTCAATGCATCACCTTTTTCGTAGTGCAGTCCAGATAATCCAAAGCAAAATATTCTACAGTGCTCAACAGAAATCTTTTGTTGGCCACTTTCGAGCCTAGAAGGCATATTTCTTTATGTCTAACATTCTGCTAGACAAAAAAAATAAAAGGTTGTGAGAGTTACATTAATGTGACTTGCATTTCAACCAAGAACAAACTGCGTGTCCCAGGACAAGCGAGAACAGGGTGCATCACCAAGCTTTCCTTACATTGTCATCTGTAGTGGCTTTATCTATGGTCACCTCGGGCAGCAGCAGTCCAGCGGGCGAGCTGGGCAGCGAGCGTCCGGCCACGAGTGATACCACACCATTGCAGTCCACAGAGCAACGCACTTTGCCATTGGTGGGCAGGAGAATGCGTGGGCTCAAGCTGCCTTTACTAACAGTACTGTAAAGCCGCTCTGAGCGGTGTGGCAGGAACAGCGAGCCTCTCTGGCTGCCTGTGTCCTCAAACGCACTGTGCTCGTCATCTGCAAAGTCGTTCTCTGATCCCAGCCGGCCACGAAAACTAAAGATGCTAGCTCTGCTGTCCCGGCGCGGCGTGAAGACTGAACCCTGGATGCTCAGGACAGACTGGAGAAAGAAAGAGGCCTCACACTCAGCTCTCATATCAACATCACTTCAGGTGGCCATGAACTGATGACCTGAAGATCATGAAGCTCATGAATGGCAAATGGTACAAGCAATCTCCATGGTAGGTGTGGTTTGTACAATAACTGAGGCTTTTCGATGTTCATGCTGAACAAAATATAATAAACAATAAAGATGATGACGTTGATGATGATGGCAATGTCAATGATGATGATGATGATGATGATGGTGACGAAGGGCAAATAAAAAATAAAAGCATGGCTGCTGTTGTAAAGCTGTTTTTGATAAAGATGATACTACAAATGACAAATAAGGCAATGAGATGAGAGCAGAAAACAAAAAGGCTGCCAAAAAATGCTGAAAATACAACCACATTTCTAAAAAAAGTTGGGACGCTGTGCAGAATGTAAATAAAAACTGAATGGAATGACGTGCAAATCATTGCTGTAATTTTGAAAGTGAAATATTTTCCCATTCTTGTTTGATACAGGATTTCAGCTGCTCAACAGTTTGGGGGCTCATTGTCGTATTTTTCATTTCATAATGCGCCAAATGTCATCTGGATGGCAGCATATGTTGCCAAAACGTGTATATATCGTTCAGCATTAATGCTGCCTTCACAGATGTGCACGTCACCCATGCCATGTACACTAAGGCACCCCTATAGCATCATGAATACTGGCTTTTGAACTGTGCACTGATAACAAGCTGAGTGCTCTGTAGCCTGGAGGACATAGCGCCCATGATTTCCAAAAAGAATGTCAAATGTTGAATTGTTGGACCACAGCACACTTTTCCACTTCACCCCAGTCCATTTTAAATGAGATCAGGCCCAGAGAAGGTGGCAGCATTTCTAGATCCTGTTTATATATGGTTTCTTCTTTGCGTTTTAGAGCTTAAACTTGCATTTGTGGATGCAGTGATGACCTGTTTTCACAGACAGTAGTTTTCAAAAGTAGTTTTCAGTGTTCCTGAGCCCATGCAGCGATTTCCACTACAGTATCATGTCTGTTTTTAATGCAGTGCCGCCTGAGGACCCAAATATCATGGCCAGCAAATACTGTTTTTTTGCCTTGTCCTTTGCATACAGAGATTTCTCTGGATTCTCTGAATCTTTTAATGAAATTATGTACCATAGATGATGAAAAGCAAAATCATTGCTCTTTTATGTTGAGAAACGTTATTCTTGAATTGTTGCACTATTTGCTCGTGCAGTCTTTCACAGAGTGGTGAACCCCTCCTCATCTTTACTTCTGAAAGACTCAGCCTCTCTGTGATGCTTTTTTATACCCAGTCATGTTACTGACTTGTTGCCAATCAACCACCAGGTGTTTTTTTTAGCATTACACAACTTTACCAGCCTTTTGTTGCCCCAGTCCCAACTTTTTGCAACGTGTTATTGGCATCAAATTCAAAATGGGCATACATTTTTCAAAAAACAATAACATTTCTTAGTTTCAACATTTGATATGTTGTCTTTGTACTATTTTCAATTAAATACAGGGTTTAAATGATTTGCACATCATTGCATTTTGTTTTTACTTACATTTTGCACAGCATCTCAACTTTTTTGAACAATGGAAAAGATGGTGAGGAAGAAAAATGACAATACAGCATATAAAAGCGCAATGAAACTGATGAATGATATGGAAATAAGATGGTGGTGATGTCTGGCACTGATCCTTCTTTAAAAGCGATGTGGACAAACATTTGAATCACACAAAAGCTTGGGAAATCTAACTTATTGAGTGGTATAGCATTCAATGTACATCAACACTATATGAGTAGAGAATGATTCCTGACCTGGTGAGGAGATGTGTACGTCCTATCATACGGCAGTCGGTTTCCATCTAATGAGAACCTGAAGCTGGGCCTTCTAATGCTGCTCTCTGACTCGGAATTGTGGACCTTTTCACAGTCTCCTTTCTCCTCCTCCTCTTCTCTCTGCTTCCTCTTCTTCTTCCGGTTGCGTCGTTCTTTGGCACTTTTGGAACTGAGTTTGGAGGCTTCGGAAGAAGTGTCTGTCATTCCTCCACTAAAATCCCCACTGTCATACCCTGCAGCCACTGCCTAATGAACATGCACAATACAGAAAATACTCAGGCCAAATGAATCTTATTATAAATCATTTGGTCACACTTTATTTGGATGGTCCCCTAGATGCCCTACAAATTCTTAAATCATTAACAAACTTTCTGGTGATATTCAGTTGATTATCAACAACATGATTGTTAGAGTTAGGTTTAGGAGTAGGTGTAGGTTTTGCCTTGAGGTTTGGGTTGGGGTCAGGGATAGATTTAATAAAATCTTTCACACTGAACTTGAAGTTCAGTTGCATTTAGTGTAAATTTAGTTGAATATTACTTAAAGACACGCTGAACATTTACAAAGCATCTACAGTGGACCATCCAAATAACACTCAACTTGAAGTTCCATTGCATTTAACAGAAGTTTAGTTGAATATTACTTAGGGATATACTGAGCATTTACAAAGCACCTACAGTGGACCATCCAAATAAAGTGTAACCCAAACTTTATTTTCTTTCTGTTTTCTATTGTTCTCTCATGCAGTTGTATTAATTATTAGCACTTTAAGCTGCTTTATAACGTGACTCAATACATAGTTTTCACAAGAATAAAGTATATTACATTACATCAGCACATTTTATCTTTCAGTGTTGATGTAAAATATCATTGCTGTCTGAACAAAACCTGGTATCTCCATTTTTTGTTGTTTTTTTTGATTTTTTAAAGGATTTGAAAAAGCCAGCCGTGGTTTACATTGTGTTAAATATGCAGGATATGAACCAATAAAAATGGTCCAAAATTTCCACTTAAATTTAAGAATGTTTTTATTTCATCCAGTGTAAAGTTACCATTCTGTGGATACAACATTTTGTTCTGTATTTCACATTTTGTTCACGCAGATTTTGAGTACACAATTCATTCAGTGCATTACTCTTGTCAGCGTAGTGCCCCACCCCTGATTTTAAACCACAAACTGACTGATAGTGTGGAGCTTGTATACTCTACTGGGAATAAGCAATACAGCTCATTAGACTCTGGTGAGAAATAGCAGGAATTTAATGGCCAGACAATTCTACTCTCTACACTTAAGTCCTCTACAGATAATGATTTAAAGTCACCCAGAGATATACAGCATTCCTTGTGCAGTACATTTTAAACCAGTCTATATTTGTGAAGAATGTCTACATGCAGTAGAAGTCCATTTCCACGTTACTAGTTTTCCACTAGTTAACTTGTATTGGTGGCTGTGGTTCAATTATATTCACATTCCAAGCAATACAACCAGTACAGGTAAATAATACACTTAAATGGACCTGTGCATCAGCCTGTTGTTTCTTGAGCTGCTCGAGCATGGCCTGGAACTCTTCCTCTTTCTGCTGAGCTTCCGCAATGGTAGCCTGGTTCTGTTCCTCATAGGCCATGGCCACCACAGCCAGGATCAGATTCACAAGGTAGAAGGAGCCCAGAAAGATGACCAGCACAAAGAAGATCATGTAGGTCTTCCCTGAAGCACGAAGAGTCTGCAAAAACGCACCATCAGTTACAACCACATTGACACGTAAACTCCACTGTGCAGGGAAACTATCACTGTAATATTACAATCTTCTAGAAACATTAAGATGGGTTTCCATTCTAAACCAGCAAGAGCACACCTGATTCTACTCATTAAATCAGCTAGTCTCAGTCTTCAAACAACTGGTTATGTATGTTCGTGGTTTGTTGGAATGAAAACCTGCAGCCACACCAGCCCTTTGCGGATATGATTTTAAACCACTGCATTAAGACATAAACCGATAGAAGCATTACATTTACATTTACAGCATTTAGCAGACGCTCTTATCCAGAGCGACTTACAAAAAAAAAGAAGCCTTGGTGTCATTTTAAAATATCATTTTTTGTGTTGTACTTTTATTTTTTTAAGGGCTACAAATTATCTGACATATAAATTATATTTTCTGTAAAAACCTAGATGACAAAGTGATGCCAGGGTTCTTACCTCAGGTAAGGGGGCATCCTTCCCCGATAGAGTTCCAGTTTATTTCCCCTAACTCTGCGAAAGTTGGGCCTCATCATCATGTACATAGTAAACTTACGATTTAGCTACATAAGCATTTGGCCTCGTTTACCAATGTCTTCCCAAGTTTTTTCTTAAATTTATGATAAGGAATTAAACGGCACTATGTGCAAACAATTCTTAAAGCGCAGAACTGTTTGCACCTTTGTGCTCTTGAGTGTACATAGATTCTGTTCTGACCTAAGAACAAATGCCAAAAAAAAAGAAAACATTGGTGAATGTCAGAATCTTCACTTCTTGTTCAGAACGGTTGGTGGATGTGGCCCATTGTTCTTAAGGGGGCATTTACCTCAGTTTTTCCCTACTGTTACTCTGGTACTTTATATGGAAAAATCCTTTATCAACATTAGTCTCTTACACTGACTAGTTTTATACTGTTTTACAGTTTTACACTGACCACATTTAGCATGCCTTATTCAGTTTATCAAGTCAGGTGGCTATAAAAGTTGGCAATGACTAGGGTTGCAATAAAACTGACACCTAAAAATTACAAATGAAAAATAAAAATTACAGCTAACTTCTCTCACCCTGGACACGCAGCCGCTCCTCTCTAGTAGAAGATTCAGGGTCATAAAAACCTGCAAAACCAGATATACCAACAGCTTTTTCCCCAGAGCTATAGCGCTCATTCACCACATTGGCTCTTCATTATTCTTTCTTACTCTTATTCTATGTATTCTATTTTTATTTTATTTGTCTCTTAGTTAAATATTTGTTAACAGTCTGTGTGCTTGTCTTACATGTGTGCACTCACCAAGACATATTACTAAGTAACATATTTTATGAAATGAATTGATTTCTTATCACCTTTTGTTCTGGGTTAACAAGCACATTTCTGTCTGTTACTTCTTGAAAACGTTTTTACATGGTTACTATGTAACTATGTACATAGTTACAGGAGGCTCTGCTGGTTCCTTGGTTTGGCTTCAGTAAAGTTTGTCAGTAACTTGTTTTGAAATATAAACACTGCAATTTGTCACTGTCATAACAAAACCTTCCAAAATGTTAACTTTATAGGAGAAGGACAAAACAGTCTTTTCACTTTAATGACATTATCTAGATTGTAATGTGCATTATCTAGATTGTATTCCGCTTCCTTTGAGACCATTTCTATTGGTTAATTCTTTGTGAAAAACTGCCCTTTTCAAATGGTGTAAAAACACACAACGTGAAAAACAAACAAAGACTTGCAAGGTTTTAATATGCCAGTGACAAACTGAATCTATACCGAAGCAACTGCTTTGAAAGAAACTACTGCTTTAGTTTTGCCTTATTACTCTACAGCTTGACCCCTGAAAGATGATAAAGAGTTACAACTAGAATAAAACAATCTTAAATCACTGCCTTGTTTAAACTATATGACTGTATGATTAAAGTATAACTCTATATATTTTTCTATCATAATGGGTTTTTCTACAGGCCACAATACAATACCCAAGCAGATGCCCTACATATCACATGCTTTCACCCCCACCACTCACTAAATAACAAAAGGCTTTCGATGAGCTTCAGCTCAAACATTTAATGAGGCAAACAAAGACTTAGACACAGGTGTGGTGGACATCCATTAGAGAAATCCGCCGAACAAATGCCGCACACTGATCTGCAGACAAACTGATCCTCACAACACAAACACACATACACTCACACAAAGAATCTCTAAAAGACCCACATCCTGCATGATTCTTGGGTTTTATTTGTGTTAGGTCCAGGCATTATTCATTTTATATACCAATTTTCCAACCACTCTACATCCATTAGATTTAAACAGGCTGCTTTTACTACTGTTGCTTTAAGACAGACATATGTAAGTAATTTCTGTTCTGATTCGCTGCCCTGTATTGTGCCTCATTCAAAAAGAAGTTTCCTTAAAACTTCAGTGTGAGTGGGTGGAGTTAAACTCCTATAGGCTGAACAGCTAGACATGTGTAAATGTGTTGGTTTTTGTGACATCACATGCAGCTTAATTTCTATGTATGGATTGTATGGACTGGGGAGTGAATGATACATTTAGGGAACTTTAACAATGTTTACACTGTATATTAAACTCATTTTTAAAAAGCGAGGAAAAAATCTACACAGACACAAAGAATTGTCTAACACAGACACACACACACACACACACCTGTTGGTAGAGATTCTCCCAGTAGTCTTGAGTCATTAGTCTGAAGAGAGAGAGGAAGGCCCAGCCAAAGCTATCAAAGCTGGTGTAGCCATAGTTTGGATTCCTGCCTGCTTTACGGCAGACAAAACCCTCTGGACACTGCCTGGAGCACAGTCGGAAAAAGCATGTTAGAAACAGACAACATATGTTGAATATTTATCAACTTTACAATTTGGCATTTTTTCAAGTGCCAATCATATTTGTAAATTTGAGAGGGCGCTGAAAGAATTTCTTTCACAATCAGAATCATTTTATGTACAAGAACATGACGCTCAAGGAATTTCCCTTGGTGCACAAAAACAAAAAAACACACATATACACATATACAAAATACACAATGCACAAAATATTCTGCAAGTAACACAAGAAATGCTGAATGGGTGTTATGTACAGTACATATATGTGTATTGTATTTGATTCTGAGGTGAAGATTCGATTTGACTTTCGCTAACAAAATAATCTCCAAAAATTGCAACCTCAAATTTGACCTCATGACTTCATGGGGGCATATGCCCTCACCACAACCACTTCACTCTGAATTTTTTGATACTGCATTGAAATTGTTACAATCTTAATATATACAATAAGTACAGCTGAAGATCCTCTATGGCAGTATATTCCAGACTTCATTCAAATTCAAATACAAATTAGAAAATTTGAATGCTAATTCGAAAAAAAATGCTAATTCAATTGTGTATTTACAATTGCATTTCCAATGTGAGTGTGCATTATTAAAGACATAATTCAAACTCAAATGTTAAATGGGCATTTGCATTTGCATTTCTGTGCACATGGTGGTGACTGCTGACTTACCCTGCATCTCTCGCTGTTCCACAGATCATCGCGTCTTTCTTTCCAGATATTTTATACTGATTATCTGTAGGAAAAAGGGAAGAAGAGCTTTCAATAACCTCCGCAACCAAATTTATACAAAAACTACAGTGCACAGTTGCTCATACAAGCGCAACACACACTAACACGTCACCACCATGTCAGTGTCACTGCAGTGCTGAGAAAGATCCACCACACAAATAATACCCTGCTCTGTGGTGGTCCTATGGGGGCCCTGACCACTGAAGAAAGGTGAAAGGGGGCTAACAAAGCATGCAGAAAAACAGATGGACTACAGACTATAACTGTAGAACTACAAAGTGCTCCTAAAGTAAGTAGAGCCAACAAAATAGACAATGAGTGTGGATACATGGAGTTCCTAACAAAATACTCAGGTGTTTCATTCAGTCTGATTGCCACAGGTGTATTAAACCAACCTAGCCATGCAGTCTGCTTTTACAAACATTTGTGAAAGAATGGATTGTTCTAAAGAGCTCACTGAATCCAAGCATGGTACCGTAACAGGATGCCACCGCTGCAACAAATCAGTTTGCGAAATTTCTTCCCTCCTAGATATTCCACGATCAACTGTGAGGGGTATTATTGAAAAGTGGAAGCGTTTAGGAACCACAGCAGCTCAGCCACAAACTACAGAGCAGGGTCTCAGAGTGCTTAGTGCACACCACCACTGGACTCTGGAGCAGCGGAAACATATTCTGCGAAGTGACAAATTACACTTCTTTATCTGGCAGTCTGATAGATGAGTCTGGGTTTGGTGAATGCCAGGAGAACGTTACCTGCCTGACTACATTCTGCCAACTGTAAAGTTATAATGCTATGGGGTTGCTTTTCAGGGGTTGGCCTAGGAACAGTTTGGGGAAGGCCTTTGTCTATTCCAGCATAACTGTGCCCCAGTGCACAAAGCAAGGTCCATAAAGACATGGTTGGGTGAGTTTGGTGTGAGTTTGACTGACCCGCACAGAGCCCTGACCTCAACCCCATTAAACACCTTTGGGATGAACTAGAGCAGAGATTGCGAGCCAGGCCCTATCGTCCAACATCAGATGCTCTTCTGGATGAATAGGCAAAAATTCCCACAGACACACTCAAAAATCTTGTAGAAAGCTTCTCAGAAGAGTGGAAGCTGTTACAGCTGCAAAGTGGGGACCAGCTCCATATTAATGCCTATGGATTTAGAATGGGAGGTCACTAAAGCTCCTGTAGGTATAATGTGTATGTGAGTGTGTGTGTGTGTGTGTGTGTGTGTGTGAGTGAGTGTATATACAAATATACAGTATTTCTTTTTCATGCAGCTACACAATTTCATGCAGCTACACAAATAATATTGAATAATCTCTTACAGGGGTACAAATACAACTGCATCCACAACTACAGCTTACATGTAAATAAATAAACATCTCAAATGTACTATGCAATGAGCTGTTAAAAATCCCAGAATACCACAATGACATGCCTGGGATACAAGCTGCCAAACCCAGTGAAGCCTTGTCTGACCACGAGCTTCAAGCTTATATGAGAGCTTTCCTCTGTATCCGGCTAAAGTACTTTATAATGGGCATCACATTTCCTTCCCAAGAGTAACCATGAATGTCTTTCCTTGCCTCTCTCTGTCTCGCTAACACTTTCTCTCCTCCTCTATGTCTTCCCCAGTGTCATTTCTCCAGTATATACCCATTGTATTCTACTAGTCACATACACCACAGTCTCCCCCCTCTCTCTCTCTTACTCTCTCACACTTATGATAACAGGATTCCCTCTCCACCATATTCTCAGTAAGTACTGCATCAGCTCATCTGTCCTGGCATACACTTACTCTCTCCACTGGGGCAGCTGCTGTCAATCACAATCAGCTCCTCCCAAGCCATGAACTCTTACACTATCAGGCTAATCTATGCCTCAAAGGATCTGAGGAGTAAGCCCTGCTAATGCTTGCTAATGACTCTAGGGTGAGCACTATACTGAGGGCAACATGGGGGTACAGCAGGGAACATTCAGATAGTTTCAGAAAAGCAGGTTTTCTAAATGGTAAGGATATGAATTTAGCTTAATGGCTCACATCCCCAGCCCTGGGAAATGCAAACTACACCAGTTATAAAGAGTAAGAACACAAATTTGGCGCTGAAGATTGACAGCCTGGGTCAACACTGTGCATATTTGCATTTATCCACCTCTAATTTCCTATGAAAAAAGTATCGTTACAGGGAAAAATGTACTGTTCTGTAATGACAGTAGTTGCAATTCAACTACTTTCAGGTGCACACAAAGCGGTTCAATTTGTTTACACACAGGTTGGTTTAATCTCCATAGTAAGGCACTCCCAGTAGAACAGGATGCTCTGGTGCAGCCACACATGAGCCAAAGGTCACCATGCCCAGTGCCAAGCGTTGACAAGAAGGGTATACAGTGATTCGCACAGGATTAATATAACCTGAGGTAATCTTTATGGCTTGTTTTACAGATAGCAAAAGGTGATGGTGTTCCGACTAATCGTTGTACCTTGTCGAAATGTCCTACCGTAGTGGTGTTTTAGAAATTTGTTCTACCCATCGAGTGGTCGTACTGAGCATGCGTATATCATTACTGCAGCGCAGTAACTTAATTTTTCAAACATTTTGTTGTGTTTTTAATGTTAATTAAGTACAGACTCAGCTTTAAATTATTACTTACTCCCTGATCAAAATGTCCTAAATATTCTTTTAATTCCGGTAACGTTTTCTGATAAAGAGATTTAGGCTATCAAATCATCCTACCTCTAGATTTCAGTGCTGGTAGCACTTTCTGATAATTTACTAATTTAGGACATTAAAGTGTCTTACCTGTTGAGTGTTACCTAAAAATATGCGGTACGGTAGGACATTTCGAACAGGTATCACAATTCATCAGAACACTGGAATCTCTGACTTTGGACACGCAGTTGGTTAAAATGACTCCCATGGTGCATTCGGACAGGACTAAAATCACAGGGAAACGCCAGTAATAATTACATTACCCCACCTCCCCATATAAAACTAATCACGTCTAAATAAGGCTTAAGAGATGTTTGCTACCCAGACAGCAAGCATATATCAGTCCACTGGCTTGATAGGGTCGGCACCCTGCTGACTGTTTGCCACTACTGGTCCACCCACAGACCACCCAGATTACTGTCCTGCATACAAGCTCTGACTAGTTTTTAATCTCCCCAAGCAGATTTTCAGTGCACAGAGACTTTTATTTTAGAAAATAAACTTTAACAAATATTACAAACAACTGAGAGAAAAAAATAATGACTTGGCCTGATATAAAATGATTTTGTAGAAAATGTTGTTGCTGACACGGTGCTAACTAATTTACGAAGTATAACTAAAGAAAGGGAGGAAGGAAAAATGAGTAATCTGGACTGTCAGGGTAAAATGAGCGATGACGAGTGGAATTTTGTCTATTACTCTGCTCACCGGTGGACCACCTGGAAAACGCTGAGCAAAATGCCAGCAGACCGCTAGCTTTGCCATTGTGCCAACAGTGGTCCACTATCCTCTTGCTATCAGGGCTAAAGCAGTTACTGGCTGAGAGTTCTGTCATTTTGTTAATTTGTAAACCATCAATTGGCCTTTCCCAAAAATCATATAGGTAAACAACAATAGAGAACGCCTATTCAAGCTAATGGGATAAAAAGTCATCTCTGTTGTCTGCAGAACGGGGGGAATGAGTCCCCCTACTTCTCCACAAAACCACAAGACCACTTTCCTTTTTTTTAACTTGCGCCTCTCCCTTTATGAATCCTCACTGTCTATTATAGCAGCTGTTGCTAGGTTGGACAAGCTTTACAGAACACTGGAAAAACTCTCATTCAGCATAATGAGAAACTGTAGAGTAGCATTGAGTTTTGTCAAAATACTTACATTTTTAATATGTTTAAATTTCAAAGGATATTTATTGTGTATGCATGTGAAAAGCCACACAGTTAAGATTCAGTGTAGATTCTGTCATTCAGCTTAGTAGCAATTATGAAATCTAATGGGAAATTTCAGCAATCTATATTTAGGATTACTTCATGACATTTCCAGAGTTTCCAGTTATGTAAATACTACATTACCCAGTTGAAACTAGCAAATTGTTGTGGTGAATTGAAACTTGAGATGATAATGTCAAATTAGCCCCCATGCTAATGTTAGCTGCACTATGTGGCAAAAAACTACAAATGATCTATGTTAACAGTGTGATCTTCCATATGGATATCAAATAAATACCATTTGTAATTAATAATGCACTGCAAATTTAGTTGCGCCATACAATTTCTTATCAGGCTGAATGGAATATTTGCCAATGTTCTGTAAAGAGTGTTCAACCTAGTGGCTAATCTTGTCTAACCTAGTTTCTATGAAAGAATGCAGTTGTTGGTGGAGCATGGAGAGGCTTTGACCTGCACTAGGACTAGTTATGGTTAGTATTAAAATTCAGATCAGGAACAGTTTTGTGCACCACTGTAATAACACTTACATTCCTCTTTAGCGTAGTTGACGAACCATTCCGGAACATTATTAGACCCATTAAAAGTCAGGGTTCCATTCTCATGTAACGTAGCATTGGGTGGTACTCGTATGCACTTTTGCTTTAGGTTCCCCATGAAGAGCTGCAAACCAATCAGGGCAAACACACTCAGACAGAAGACGGTCAGGATCATGACGTCTGAAAGCTTCTTTACCGACTGGATCAGCGCTCCTACAATGGTCTTCAGGCCTGCAAGCAGCACAATTTTTGCATTGTAGCAATGGGTTGCAGAACAACGATAAAAAAATTATAGTGCATATACAGCACAGTGCAAAAGTCAGAGACCCCCTTTTTATGTAAATTCAAAATAGCCAATAAGTACAACTTTTTCATTTCTCAGCATTAGGAAAAGGCTGACAACATTTATTTAACAGACAATTACAGAGAAGCCTCAGCAACCACATGTAAATTTTTCAGTATTTAGTGTGTTCACCCTGTGCCTTTATCATACTTTCTATTCTTTTCGGAAGACTTGCTTTCAGTTTTAAAGAAATCTGCAGGGATGTTTTTCACAACTCCAAAGTTCAGTCTTAGATGTTGGTTGTTGAGGCCTGGGCTCTGGGGTGGTCAGTTCATTGTCCTGGGAACACCAGCAGCTCCTTTGTTTGTTTTGCAATTTTTCTTCCTTTTCTCAGTAATGGCTTTGAAAGTTACAAAACCTTTCAGACCCTTAACATTCAGTTTTCTTCTCACAGTGGAAGGATGGACAGAAACATGACTGTGAAGCAAGAGAATTAAGTAACATTAAGCCCCAATCCCATTTCACCCCTTGCCCCTACCACTTAGCCCTTAGCCCCCTGTTTAGCGTGTTGCCGTCTAGGGTTAGGGTGTCCCAATTTTTGTTGAGATTTTCCCGTTCCACCTTAAATAGTCCGGCAGTATTGACGCCAGAAGCGGCAGAATGTAACTGCTGCACCATTTAAGGTGGAACGGGAAAATTTGAACAAGAAGCTGGTGAATAGCTGACTTTAGCTTCATATCACCAAAGAATTAGCAGTGGGCGATAATAAATATTTGTCTTGTACCCCCTCTTTGAAAGCATATGATGCCCTAAATGTAACTAAAGCCCAGCAGCGAGGCTGCTGAACTTTTCCCTTCTCTGCTATCACTGAAGATGGGCCGGGTCGCCTACACAGCGCTGCTGGTAGCCTGTTAATGACGCAGTGTAACTTGAGGGTTGTCCCATTTCGTAGGGCAAGATTTCAACCACTACCCTTTGTAACTCTGTTCCAAGGGGTTAGGGTGACACTTGAAATCAAGGAGTAGGGGTAAGAAGAAGAAATGGGATTGGGCCTAAGTAAATCAAGGGTGGTCTCTGATTTTTGCACTTTGTTGTTGAGCTTCTTTCAAATATTCATCACACATTGTTATCTATGTACAGGTTCATTATGTAAAAGGTATGCAGAAAGTGATGTAAATCAGTGAAATAAATACAAAGTATTAAAATTAGATATGTAGTCGACACATGCTCCAAAAAGGAAGCTGCTCATGTACTGGTGATGGAAGTCATGAAACAAAACTTCAGATACAATCATTTCTATTAGTTTAAACTGGTTCTTCATAGAACTAAAACTGAGAAAGAATATACAGTTGGCAGCCAGATAAAAAGAATATCATTAGAAATGAATATATCATCACAAATTATTACTAATGGATGGACAAAGTGATGCATCAAATTTACTTGATTCAATGAGTACATGATGTCCACATGAATAAAGTATATTACATCAACATATTTACTTACAAATGTAAATAAACTGATACAATTGTATCAATGTAATATATTTTATTCACCCAGAGATGATGTACACATTTGAATCAAGTACCTTCACTTGAATTTTTTTTTTGTGTGCTACATGAATTACTGTATTATGAGATTCTACACTGTCAGAAATGCTTGAAGTGTTTCATTGAAAATCAGTGAAAGTGAAGCACACTTATTATCACTTACACAAAACACATTTACGCATTAATGATACATGCAAGTACAATCACATACACATGCACAAAACCACGTTCTTACACAGAAACAGTAAAATACAAACTGGAGTCACGCAAGAGTGCAATGAACTAACAAACAAACTCAAGCCCACAGAAGGAAAGGAGAGGGAAAACAAGGAAATTGCATTGGCAACAAAGAATCAGGGGTGGCCTCACCCTGATCTTGCACTGAAAAAAGAAATGAATTGAATTTCCTTGATTCAAATATGTATATAATTTCTAAAATATATTTCATTAACAAAATAGTTTACTAATTATCAGAAGTACACAGATTTCTGGACAGTATCCATAACAATTTCTGCATTTCTGACCTTGATGTATAGTTCTAGAACCTTCACACTGCCTGGAAGTTAAAAAATCGTTATCTTCACACCAGGGACTGATCATAGTCTCATGAGGCTCCTGGGGACAAGTGTCTTTAGAGAACCCTCACCTGCACAATAATGCAAAAAAAGTAAATAAAAAAGGCCTGAAAAATAACTTTAAAAAACATCACGTTTCTTTATGCTTGCTTTGAACAGTGTTGTAAAAAGGTGATTTAAACAAACTTGCACAGTTCAATTTCTGCAAATTTTTGGTGTTGGCTTTTGGTTATGTAGTGGCAGGATATGGACTAAGGCGACTTTATTTTACTTATTTAGTGATTACATATCGAAGGGATTTTTGTTTTTGACGATGGCTTAATAAAGATCACTCACTGTTCTTCGTTTAATTATTATATGCTTTTTGTACTGCTTTTACAGATCACAGGTTTGAGCTATAACCACAAATTAAATGGGATTCCATGGCAATGGCTTAGCAACACCTTAACAGCCACCTGAGAAACCATAGCAATGGCTTTGCAGCGTCTTAGCAACCACCTGGAATACCACATCAGCAGCCTTACAACACCTAAGCAACCAGCTGGGATTCCACAGCAATGGCCTAGCAACACTGTAGCAGCCAACCTGGGATTCCACAGCAATGTCATAGCAACACTGTAGCAACCACCTGGGATACCACAGCAATGGCCTTGCAATATCTTAGAAACCACCTGGGATTCCATAGCAATGGCTTAGCAATATCTTAGTAACAACCTGAGAAACCATAGCAATGGCTTTGCAACATCTTAGCAACCACCTGGAATACCACATCAGTAGCCTTGCAACACCTAAGCAACCACCTGGGATACCAAACAATGGCCTAGCAACACTTTAGCAACCACCTGGAATACCACAACAGTAGCCTAGCAACCTCTTAGCAACTACCTGGTATAACATAGCAACACCTTAGCAACCACCTGGGACAACATAGCAACACCTTAGCAACCACTTGGGATTCCACTTTGCCCTTCTAGTATAATTTTTGCATCTGCAGTGGACTGTCCCCAATTTTTTAGCCGCCCTGCGCCTTGTGGACTGAGGCCCTCCAAGACTCTTGGCAGTCAGAGGCCACTTATACATTTAACTTATAAAAATGATTTTAAAAAACTATGCATTGAAAGACTATTCACAGAACCAAAATGGCATTTGCACAAAAGAACCCCTTTTGGCACCTTAATTTTAAAATTTAAGATTGCATGTTTGAATAACGTACATATGTGAATCAAGCAAACTGAACATATTAAGCTTTTCACTGTTGATGGCAGCGAGTGGCATGGGAACCCTCACCTCTTGACCTTTACCTAAGCTCTCACCTGGGATGACTAATATAGTTTTGAGGGCTCGAAGAACCCTGAAGGTTCTCAAGGCGGACACATTACCCAGACTCACAACCTCTGTCACATATCTGTAACAGGGAGGAGGAGGGGAGGGAGTGGGGGTGGTCACATACACAGCATGACATACACAGGACATTCAGAGAGGTCGGAGGAGCAGTAGTAGGTCAGAGGTCACACACCTGAATGCTCTTACTGCTTACCTGGGATTACCGAAATAGTTTTCAAAGCTCTCAGTACTCTGAATGTGCGGAGAGCTGATAGACTGCCTAGCTTTACAAACTCTGTTACAAACCTGTAGAATCAAATGCACAGTTACTAGGGGCGCAAGTCTATGACTACACAACTTTGTAGTTCAATTACGATTCTTTAAGAAATGTTCCATAAAATCTCCAACTTCACAACAATACGTTTGGATTTGATTATTTTAACGATTTAGAGAAATTTTAAAAAATACACAATGTTACTGGAGAAACAGTTTACACAGTAACAGAATATAGATAATTAAAACGTATACACATATTTTTCCATTTTGACATCTGTAAAGAGATTAACCAAAAAAAAATAATCAATTAAATTAACCAAACAATACTGGTTACAACATTATTATTATAATTGATCACAGCTGATTCTAAGTTTCCAAAATGTATGCAGTTAAATTGCCAACTTCAGAGTGATGTGATGCACTGATGCATTTTTACAGTTACAATAGAGAACACCTCATGTTATAGATTTCTAAGGCCATCCTTGGACTCGTAGCAAAATTTTACGGTACTCACTTAGGGTAGGTAAGTACCTACTTAATGATAGCCTTAATCAATAAGATAATGTTTGGCACAGCCTGAGGGCTTGTACTCCAAATCAACCATGCTTTTAAGGACAGACACAAAGCTGTTGGCTTGAGTGGAAGATTCTCTATAGATGGCATTGGCCTTCTCACACACCACTCAGATACATATCAAAACAAATATTCATCATTTTGACATACTAGTTTGTAAATGAGACAATTAGAGATTTCATGATTGAACATATCATCACTGTCACAAGAAAACCTTGTATCTCTGAACTGCTAAATTCACAGCAGAAGGTAAAAATGTTCTTAAAAGACTTAAATGTAGTATGTAAACATTGATTAAGTTTCAAAATTGACTGTTAACTGCCCAGTCCATACAGTCAATAGCTGCAAAAACAGCCAGTTTTGAATTGATTGTTCCTGTGATGTCACAAGAAACAGTTCATTTACATGTATTCATCTATACAGCCTACAAGAGTTTGGCCCCGCCCACTCATATTGAAGTTTCAAGGAGTGTTTCAGCTCTAGTGCTTTTCAAATGAGGCACGACACAAAGCAGCCAATCAGAAAAAAGTGCATTTACAAACATCAGTCTTAAAGGCATGGCATGTTTCATTCTAAGGGTAAAAAAGAGGATTGAAAATAGTCATAAAAATTTAATTATGACTATTTTTGGTACATAAAATTACAAGGGTAAAATAAAATACAAGAAAAATGTAGGATATGGGCCCTTAAACTATAAAATATGTGAAGGTAACAAGATATTATTCCAAGTAATTTTGGATCATTTCTATTGTTCCATTTGTTGTGAAATTGTGTATTTTCAAATAGTGTTAAAAAATGAAAAATCAAAAAAAAAGGTTTTACTATGACAGCAATGATATCTTGAATATATGCATAGGGCTCGGTACTTACGCCATCACAATAACACTGAAGTCTAGCCAGTTCCATGGGTCTCTGAGGAAGGTGAATTTCCCTATACAGAAGCCCCTGGCTAGGATCTTTATTAGTGATTCAAATATATATATCCCTGTAAAAGTGTGCCTGTTAAAAATAAAACAAGTCAACCAGGGCAAAGCCAATCCAGCATTTCATAAGAATAACAAATATTCAGTTGAAGTATCAATTAAAATTTTGTATTCCAAACAACTGAGAATTTAGACAGACTTACTCAACATTTTTGGCCCAGTCAGGGGGTTCACTCAGGGTCATAAATGCACAATTAGTAAGGATAGTGCACATTATTATCATGCTGAACAGCGTGGCAGTGGCGGTCAAGGAAAACCTAACATAATGGATGTTCAAGCAGGGTGTGAAATAATTTTGTTTAAGCTTGCGGTGTAAAACTAATTCCAGACCAAGTATCAAGTCTTCAAGTCAGAATAACAGCTTGCAATGAAAAACAGTTTTTGTTAACAACAGTTCATATTACTGTAAAATAAGACTAACTCTTAGATAAGAAAAAAATAGTGGCATGTGGAAAGGATATGAATGCACCAAAATTTTTATCGATATTCTCCTAAGAAGGTTGAAGGGGCTTAAGACGTACAAGGCAGGAGTGGCGTTGAATCGGAAGATTGTCTTCCCTCTGTTCAATACTATAAAGGTCTAAAAAAAAAGAAAGAGAGAGAGAAACAAAGGCAAAGCTAGCCACACATGACTCTAAACATGGAATGCTTGTCTTGCTGCTTGGTGTGTTTCATGTGCACTCACTGTTGATCTCATACAATTATACAGCTTTCTAACAAAGCCTGAAAACCAGTTCAACAAGCCATAATCCATAATGACCTAATAGTTTAAATATTCCTTTAGACGTCGCAGTTATCACCAGCGATAACAAAAGCATGCTCAAATTCAATATGAATTCTTCTTCACTCACAGTTCATTGAAAAAAGCAGAGATAATCTATCCAAAGTGCATATTCTAAACTTTTAATCCACACCACATTTGTGTTTGGAAAAACAAGAAGAGATATTTTCTTCTAATTTAACCCTTTACTGCACACATTATCAGAGAAATATAAAACAAAATTGATATAATTTTCTTGCATAAAGTGGACATAATTATTAAAATCGAATTAAAATCAAATAAGAAAACATTTTCAAATATAACAATATTTTTAAACAAATGTGTTTAGGAATATTTTGGTGGTATGTTGCCTTGAGGCAACATTGTGCAAATGGAAAGAAATGACACATGATAGTATATGAAATAAAACTAACTACATATTTAGTTGATCTTTAGAATTTGTCAAAAATCTATTTAATGTTATTTCAAACCAGTTGTTATTATGAAGCTACATCACAAGGTATTGTTAATTTCTTGCATGCTTGACAATCATTTAAATCCACAATTAAGACCATATTAAAGCACAGGAAGTATCAAGTAATTTAAGGACTAAGTACTCAGAATTAGCTTTCTTTTTCTAAAGAAAACTTTTGGCACAAGTAAAACATATTGTACGTTGACTGCTTCAAGACAAATTTGACTTCTTATAGGCTTCCAGTCACAAATACTGCATATGTTAAATAAATTTTATTTCCTAACAAAACAAAACACATACAATTCTAAATAAAAAATAATTCTAATAATTCCAAATAAAAAATAAATGATTACTGTAGTGCTCTCTCATAAGTGACACTTCACTTGCTACTGGATATATACATTTACTGTTGCACAATGTTGCTTGTTTAAGAAATTTCTCATAGCATAAAAATAATTTATATGATTCTGAATGTTTATAAAATGAACTTTAAACTTTAAAAAATGAACTCTAGATGTGACACTGTATTTTTGAATGGATGAAAAATGAGGAAAAAACAGAAACTGTGTTGTCTACAAACTGCACCATACTGGAAAGAGGTTTTTAAATGGCCACCAGAAGACTGAAGTTTTATATTGACTTATTCAAACTCCTCTCTTCATTATTAACTATGTCACTGTTGTTAAATATGTTCTTTGTCACTGCAAAGTGAGGAAAATGATTTGTTACCCTGAGGCAAATTGTGCATTAGAGGGTTTTATTTGATGAAAACTTATCATTGTGCATCAAGCCTTTTTTATATAAAGAAAACCTAAAGGGTCAATTTTTGCCATATTTTTGTCATTGCTCGATACTGAAACAAAAAGAAAAAAGCTGTTAGTACAGGATGTAAATAAAATGTGAATTTAATGGATCTCTCACTACATATTTAGATATCCAATTAAAGTATTTCATCTGAATAGCATAATAACATATAAGTAATAACTCTCAACTTCTAAGGTTAATGCAATACTTTAGATGTATCAGTATTTCAGTTTAGTGAAATAATTTGCACATACATTTGTGGAGAACATTTACAGGCATAAGGAATTTGTTACCAAATCATTTAAAGCTACAAAGGAGATTTAAAAGCTCCTATGAAACAGGATATTACTACAAAATATATAATAGTGCTGAGGTCTGAAAGCTATGTTAATGTGTTCTACATCAAAAACCTCAAATTTGGCTTGAATTAGTGAATGCATTTTAACTAAATGTATTCAAGCTGTTTTTGTTCGTCTTTAGTAATTATGTTAATCATTTGAAGTTCATGCATTATGCAAAATGACAGCTCATTATGACGAGCCACTAGAAGTCACCCCATGAATAATCATTATAGATTGACAGTGTAACAGAAGTGGCCAATTACACCCAAATGACACTCAAAAGCACAAGACAAATCAAAACTTACTTTCTGATTGCAATAAAATGGGTCCATATCCTCCAGTGGTGTGGACACGAGTCCGTTGGGTATGTCCCCATATATGAGTGGAAGTTTCTTCCCTGCCTCCAAGTCTCTGTTAGGTTGTTTTGTTTCATCCTCATCATCAATATTTCTCTCCTGATCTTCTTTATTCTTCTTGGCGTTCTCCTCTGCGATTCGGTTCTCGATGGCCTTGAGTGACTCGCGGGTAAACGGGTGGAAGCTGTCTGGTCCTGGTGGTTCAAACATCTGTGCCATCTTCGCATCCTTTACCTTCAGAGTGATTCGCTAGCCCTCTGCACGAGAAGCCACTATGGCCGTAAAAAAGACAGACAGACAAAATTAGATTATGATAAACACACTTGATTATAATCTCAGTGAACTAACCAGGAGAACTTGAAAGCCTGTTGCAGGAGCAAGAACTGAGAAGAGAACAGTGAAGATATTAGGAAAGTACTTGCAGCTCCACATGACAAAACCACTGTTAGAAGGCAGAACTAGAACTTGGGCAATACAGCAAAATATAATATCATGATGTATGATCTGTGCCACAAATTTATTGAGGTTTCAAAGGCACTTGCATTTAACATGATACCTATATGTCGAAATGCTCCGTTATCTTCATCGCAACTTTGCAAAACCACTGCAGCTGTAAACTCTTTGCACCCCATTTCACATGAATTAAGAATGAAGGGTTTCTGACATGGTGGTTAAGATTACACACAGTGAGAGGCAGATAACATGTTTCTCAACCCCTCTTCATAGCCTCGTAACTCCGAATACAAATAGAAAAACTGCAAAAACTGTGGACATTTGTTAATCTCTAGGAGTCTTTATGCAATTGCACCCCTACGTGTATTATTGTTTTGTTTTTTATGTTCACTAACTTCTTGGCATTGTTTTGACACGTCTTGCTGAAGCAAATTATATTTATATTTATATTTATATTATATTTATATTTATATAACTATATACTAAGTTATGTAAGATCCTGCAATAAGATGGAATTGAAAGGGTAGATTCTACAGATTCAGGAAATGTTTTGGAAATGTATCGCAAAGACAGAGAAACATACATAGAAAGTTTGAATTTGACGTTGGGGTCAGACTGTTAATACTCCAAAATTCCAAAACTCTAAAAGTGAAAGCTGCATTTCTGTACAATCTTCTTCTGTTTGGTTTCCACTCAGTTCCAGAGGAAAGCAAGCAGAAACACCCAGGAAAAATGGAACAGCCAGACCCTGAATCTTATTCCTGAACTAGTGCATCAGTGTCAGAAAAGCAGATGAGCCCCCAGCACAGCACAATCATTCAGAGATCAATCGACTAATCCACAGGTAGCGCTACCTTAGCTGGATAGTGCCATAGGAACAAATGTGTCTCAGAAACAAAGAGGAATCAAGAGTGTCATGAAGAAAAAAAAGAGCATTTTATGAACACATCACTGCACAATGTATAGACACTAATGCAGACAATTAATGTACAGTCCGAATAATCTACAGCATATTCATATTCTGAAGCAGCCCAGATTTGACAGAAATTTGATGAAAGGTGATCAGAGTCTGTATATATTTCAGAGTGCTCCATTTATATGATTTCTTTACTGCATCCTGAAAATGCCAAAAAAGTCTAATGAAAATGCCAACAGATTTATAATAAATTTGATAGATAAACCTTCTGCATTGGTGAGCAGCTGTTATGTAACATTATATAGTAAAATATTACTGCTGAGACAGTTATATTCAGACATTCAGGCTTTTGAAAAGAGAATCAACAAACCCTTAACAATAATAATGTAACTACTAAATAATACTGCTGCCAAAATACAGCTAACACACCACACAGGCCTTGTTTTTAAGCCTTGTGTTACTTCCAGAGGAACAAAAAGGACCAAAAGCATCTGGAATACAGAAACACCGGGGAAATTACCAATACTGTAATTGGAGGTCATCAGTGTAGCCTACCAGAACCCTGCAATAACACATTTTATCCCCACTGCAAAAGGATTAACAACTGGGCGTGGGCTGACATGATTCTGAATGGAAACCACAGCTGCTATACTGCAGAGATTAGCTGGGTGTATCATTAATTAGTACATAAACATTTTTCTTGCATTTTATGCTTGTCCCAGAAAAAAACATAATAAAATTAAATTCACTATGTGCTTTTCTCTTTATCTATTAGAATTAAACAGAGTGTTTTTTTTGCTGTGCCATTAAGACTGATACATGTAAGTGACCTCTGTTCTGATTGGCTGCCCTGTCTTGTACTGCATTGAAAAAGCCGTCCAGGCTAAAACAGTCCTTATAACTTCAAAGTGAATGAGTGGGGTTAAACTGATGTAGCCTGAATAAGCAGATACATGTACATAAGACATCACATGAGACATCAATCAAAATGAAATGGAAGTATGGACTGTCTGGACTGGGGAGGGAATGGTATGTTTTAATGTTTACATACTCTGTGAAACTCCTTTAAAAAAATATGTCATCACTGTCAATACATATCAAACACAACATAAGTTGGTGTTTTGCTGACCAGCTATGATAGTCTATGCTATTTTATCTAGCAGGAAAGGCAAATTATGCAAAAAAAAATGAATACAGATACAAGGTTTTGTGTGACAGCTAAGGTTTAAAACATGTTTTAACTAAGTTTTGACAATATCTACTAAAACTACTGTACTACAAAATCTATTTAGTATACTAAAGTACTAAAATCTATCGAAAAACCTTTTTATATGAATCATTCAACCAAAATGTTTCAAAGTCAGAGTTGAAAACACATTTTGGACTTTTAACTGACTTGGATTTTAGACTAAAATCCTTTTGCTTTGAATGACTGTACCTTAATTATGTGTATTCTATTAAAATAAATGATTTCATTTTGTCACTACCAAAACAATCATAACACTAGCGAAATGTTACCAAATATTTGTTTTTTAGCCAATTTTGACCAGAAAAAATACTTGTCAGTATATGACTGGCAAATACAGCTTTGAACAGCTGTACACACACAAAATCATATTTTCATTAAAACACAGAAAAGGGTTTGATTAATTACAGACAATATGCATTCGGGTAGTGACAATTCTTAATGTTACACACTGATTTTCAGACTTTGAGACACATTTACTTCAAAACAATGGGCTCTAACTGCTAACCATGTGGCAATGAGAGACTTGGAGACAATCTCACTTCCTGCCCTAAAAAGCAGGGGTGCAGCTAAAAGAAGTCTCTGCCTACAGACTAAATCTCTCAGCATTTTCTGAATACTTTTTAAATAAAACACATGATAAATCTAATTCTATTTATATAAAACTAGATTTAAAAGTTCACTTAAAAAATCCCAATACAAAGTACCATAAAATAAAGATTTTGTATATGTTTAGCTTGTTACTATCTCTATTGATTATTAAATGAAAGGTCTGAATACTTAATAGTTGTTTTTTTTTTTATTTTACTACAGGACCACAGTTTTAACTAATTCAGTAGATTAATCTATTTAGGGACATTTTTATAGCATAATCATATGCTGATGCATTCTGTCAAGGCACACCATCTAAACATCATCATCTAAAACAAGTGACCATAAAAATGAACCTGTTACCTTCAGCGCAAAATGCAACATAACATTATTCTTAATCTCGCTCCTGGGGACCCACAACACTGCACAGTTTCAACTATTCCCTGTCTCAACACACCTAATCCAAATCTCAAAGGATCCATCAGTCTAAGAATCCCTTTCCTCAACACAGACACACACAAACAGTCTTCTAAAATAGTGATCCACAACTTTAAATTATACCAAGGAATATTAATGAGTAAATAATCTTCCTCAGCAACTGTTTACATTTCACCCCTGTTTTTTCTCTCTTTAGTCTTGTTTATACTCTGACATAAATCAGCATGTGATTTACAATATCCTGGATATAGAGATCTCTGTCACACACTGTTAATTATTACCAGGATTTCCCAAGATTTAACAGTAATATTTCAAAGTAAAATACTGTATTTATTATTTTATTGCAAAAGCAACTCATCTTAAGGTATTTTCTGTAATAATACAGCAAATTACTTTGAGGCTGATGCTGCTACCACACAACATTATAGGAAATGACAGTTAAAATACATAAACATTTTAATTAAAACATGTTAAGTGTTTTTATTTTGTCGATTCAACTTCATAAGTTCTTGGCAGGCATATTCTGTTCATGTACAGTGCATATGCAGTAAATATGTTCAATTATATTGTTTAATTAATGTATTTATGGGTCTGTTAAAATAAATTTTAATATGTAAATGTACAATAAATTACTGGCTACTGAGTTGCATTACTTTTATAGTTTTATGTAAAAATACATGAGATTGTTGTAAGTTAATTACAGCTTATAGTAATTAAGTGTAAGTGTACAGCTACAGAACAGTAAACTTGGTGATTTGTGAAGTCATGAAAGTCAAGTCATAATAGTTATAGTATTGTTATTTTACTGCTATTTACTGTTTATATGGTACAATGAATTACTGTGAAAGTAATACAACTAGTAGCCAGTAAATTTCTGTATGTTTTAAGGTGCACAAATGCAGACAAAACAATGAACTGAAGTGATAAACAGCAAGTCTGAGTGAGGACATGGGTTGAGCTGTCCGTGGTCCTGAAGCCCTGAAGCACAAAAAAGTGTCGCCACCACAAATCACACATGAAATAATGTATGTAAGCGCGCACACACACACACACACGGGCAAAACAGTATTTTCTCATTGCCTCTAGAACCAAGAAGCCTCATAAGTAGAGACATTTCCTGGAGTGAAACTGAAAACCACTAATAGAGCACTTGGCAGCAAATCCCTGAAACACTCACTGCATTTGATAATGGATCTAACCGCCTATATATTTATTTGTCTTCTGACAGACAGAGATATTGGAATAGAATAGAATAGAATAGAATAGAATAGAATAAAGTATTTCTAAACAGCAGCTCACTTTAAAATCAACACCTAAATGAACAAGAATTTAGCCTAGTTGTAAAGCTGCTTACTAATTCACTCATTCATTTACTCACTCAAGCCCTTCATTCACTCACTACTACACTCTTATGCAATCTGAGAAAATCTAAGTCATGTTCATTCATTCATTTTGAGGACAAACGCCCAGTAGCAGAGCAAAACTAAAAGGCCACCCATGTTAATCTCAGAATCAAACAGGGAAATAAATGAGTGAAGACTGGGTGCAATCACAGTCCAAACACAGAACATGTAGACCAGGCCCACCTCTTGCACCTGTTACTGCCCAGAACAAAGACCAGACCCAACAGCAACAGGGTTTAGATCCACACACTTGTTTAGAGTGGCTCTATCACTGTCCACAAAACAGAAGTCTAATTCAAGTACTCATATCAGTATCTTTACAATCTGTCTTTGCACATTTGTAGCATCTGGATATCTGACAGTGCAGTACGAAAAAACTCAAAAGCCCTAAAAAATGAGACAGAACACAAAAAAGAGAGAACCCGCACACACACAAACACCAGATCACAATCTCACTACTCATCATTTCTTTAAGCATCAGGCTAGGTAATTATTAATACTATTATTGAAAATAAATTTGCAATGAACTTTATGCCAGGACATGTGAAAAAGCATTAGTTCAGCCCAAAATCTGCTGCAAATACTGATGAACCCTTCAGCAACTTCTCATTATTTCAGGGTTCGGAAATTATATTCATGCAAGAGAACTTGGGTGTTTAATTAGACATATTAGCTCGGCTCAGACCCTTGCAGGGCTGCACCCAACATGACGAAACCACCCCAACCTCTGCTTACATCACATCGGCTTCTGTTCAGTTCATGGATAATAAGATAATCAATTACTGGAAAAGGGAATAACCTGTAGGGCATCAGCTGGTTCAGAGGCTGCTGGCAGGTCTATTACTAAATTAATTTCTTGAAAAAAATGGCATATTGATAGCTGACTAAATGCATAGCTACTCTATTCTTTTAACTTACATTATTTTTATCAACACATGCAGTCAGAACAACTGTTCAAATGTTTAGGATTTAACTTGTGACTACAGTCTAGTTAAATTCAACACCAGCTCTTCTGGCTTGTCCGCAAATATCCAATGAGACAAACAGAGAAGCAAAGAGAACACAGACCAGAGATTCCACTCAACTCACACTGACAGGGACTGATAAGCATCTTCATTTAAGCATAAGCAAATCATTACAAAACAACATCTTCAAATGATAAAAACAAGACAAAAGAGAACATGAAATAGACATTCTTCAGTTTTAGATATTTTGGATATAAAGCTAAGAAACACACATGAAAGAACAGAATATGAAATGGAATAGAAGAACTACAGAATAAAAACTGCAGGCTACTTCGCTGGCTACTGAAGATTATTTTTATAAAATAAAAGCTCTAATCAACTTTTATAACGTGATTCTACTCAAACCATTTACCATATTCCTATAACAGGAGACTTTGGAGAGTATTTTTGTTATATTTGTGTACTTTACAGTTTTATTTTGGACTATCACTTCTCTTTCTGATTTTAACACTACAACGTAAAGCCCTTTGAGACGCATATTAAATATATGTAAGATGCTATATAACAAAAGTCTGTTGTTATTATTTATTAGCCGCTATTTTGAGTGTTTGATCTAGTCAGTGTTGCTCCATCAGTCATATAGTGTGTATACGCTTATGCCAATGAGTTCTAAATGGAGCATCTTACATTTAAAAAGTTTTTTTTTCCAATGTCCAGACTTTCTTGTCCCACCCATTACTACTTTAGACACTCACCATCCTCATCCTCCTCCTGGGCAGGTAGTCTGGGGTCAGCACACGCCTTAAAAGTCGCACTTTATCCTCAACACCCACAGCAAACAAGAAAAGAGAAGAAAACACGGAAAGAGCTCGCGCTGGTTTAAAAGAGATAAATTCCAGTGTGTATTCGAGCCACAATCTCTCTCACTCACACACTCACACACGGACAGAGAGAAAAGCAGATGACCACACCGAGACCCGCCTAAGAGCAAAGCCACAAGCTTCCGGTCGTTTACTGGAGGAGCAGCGGTGATGACGTCAGAGCAGCCGCGAGCTCCGTGCACGTGCGCGGGGGCGTCCATCGCGAGGTGACGAGCACGGATCAGTTTGAGTACAGTTTATAAATACAGTCTGAGTACACATGAGTACAGTTTATAAGTACAGTTTGAGCACACATAAGTACAGTTTGAATTCATATGAGTACAGTTTATAAGTACAGTTTAAATACACATGAATACAGTTTATAAGTACAGTTTGAGTACACGTAACTATAGTTTGAATCCATATGAGTACAGTTTATAAAATACAGTTTGAGGACATATGAGTACTGTTTAGTACATGTGAGGACAGTTTGAGTGTGAGTACAGTTTATACGAATAGTCTAAGTACAGTTTGGGTACAGATAAGTACTGTTTGAGTATGTGAGTACTTTTTGAGTACATATGAGTACAGTTTATGAACATGTTAGCATAGTTTGAGTGCATATGAGTATAGTTTATGAGTACAGTTTGATACTTTGAGCTCCTCCTGGATGACTGAGCTCCTCACCCTATCAAGTAGAGTGTAGCCTGCCACCCTGCAAAAAAAGCTCATTTCTGCTGCTTGTATCTGCGATCTCATTCTTTGGGTCATTACCCAAAGCATATGACCATAGGTGAGGGTGGGGATGTCGACTCACCAGTAAACAGAGAGTTTTGCCTTGTGGTTCAGCTCTTTCTTCACGACTACAATCCAGTACCACAACCACATTACTGCCACCACCTGTTCCATTCTGCGGTCAATCTCACAATCCTTTTCCCATCATTCATGAACAAGACCCAAAGATACTTAAACTCCTCCACCTGGAGCAGGTCCTCTCCCCTTACCTGAAGTGAGCGTTCTGGGAGAGGAGCATGGACTTCACACTCAGCTGCAAACCACTCCAGCGTGCACTGTGCCTTTTCCAAGTCCCCAAAACACACGTAGACTGGGTTGGCAAACTCCCATGCCTCATCATCAATCCTCGCAAGGGTAAAAAGCTTGTTCATTATTCCGCAGCCAGGATGGAATCCTCACTGTTCCTCTTCAAGCCAAAGTTTGACTATTAGTCAGAGTTTCCTTTCCAGCACTTTGGCATTAACTTTCCCAGGGAGACTGAGCAGTGTGATACCCTGGTATACACTCACCGGTCCCCTTTCTTGAAAATAGGGACCACCACCCTGGTCTGCCAGTCCAAGGGTACTGTTCCTGAGGTCCATACGACATTGCCACATTCAGTGCATTGAGCAATTCCGGGTAAATCTCATCCACCCCAGGTGCTTTGCCACCAAGGAGCTTGTCAAATACCTCAGTGACCACTAGGGAAATGGCGTTTGACACCCCTGAAGTATGTCTCTCGTGTTTAGGAGTTCGTTAGCGTGCTCCTTCCACCGACCTACAATATCCTCATTTGAAGTCAGAGTTTCTCCACCCCTGCTGAGTACAGCTTGAGCAAAGCCACTCCGACTACTCCTGAGTCGCCAGACAGTTGTCGAGAACCTCCTTAAAGCCAACTGAATGTCTTTTTCCATAGTCTCTCCAAAATCCTGTCATGTTTTGGATTTTGCTTCTGCCACCATTGCTACCGCTGCCTTTTTTGCCTGTCGGTACCTATCTTCTGAGTCGGAAGTCCTAAACCAGTCCCTAACGGTCTCCTTCTTCAGCTTGGCGACCTCCTTCACCACCAGTGTTCATCAGGGAGTTCCTGGGTTGCCGCCCTAACATGCACCAACAAGCTTTTGGCAACAGCTTTGCCTGGTGTCTTCCACAATGGAGGTTTTGAACAGGGTCCATTCAGACTCCATGTCCCCTACCTTCTCTGGCGCATGAGAAATCATTCCGAACAGGGACCTCTGCCTTGGGTCTACCAGGTCTGACTGCCAGTCTTCCCTGTCATTTGATCCAACTTACCACCACATGGTGATCGGTTGACAGCACAGCACCTCTCTTCATATACTGAGTGTCCAAGTCACATAGGCCCAAGTCAGATGAAACAACAACAAAGTCGATCATTAAACTTTGACCCAAACAGTTCTGGCACCAAGTACACTTATGAACATTCTTGTGTTTGAACTTGGTGTTTGTTACGGATGTTTTTTTTCTGAGAGTGTATGTAAAAGTACAGTGTGAATACATATGAATACAGTTTGGGTACATATGTGTACAGTCTGAGTCTATATGAGTACAGTTTGCAGACATATTAGTACAGGTTTTGAGTACAGTTTATTAATACGGTTTGAGTACATATGAGTACAGTTTGGGTACGTATGTGTACAGTTTGAGTACATACGAGAACAGACTGGGTACATGTGAGCACACTTTAAGCACATATGAATACAGTTTGACTACATACAATCACAGTTTGAGTACATATTAGTCAAATGTGAGAACACTGAAGCAAGGTCAGTATGATTATATATATGGACTGAGTACTCTGGCTTAAAAAAGGTCCAGTCCAACGTTTTCATTGGTGGTTCAAAACTCATGGTTCTTTAAAAACGTAAAAGCGTAAAAGTAAAATATAATAATGTATGAAAACATTAAGACGTAAATCATGCAAGGCACACTGCTAGCTCACTCTCTGCACATCTGGAATTATATAGACATCTCCAGGCTTGTTGAGGTTAACTTTACTTCATTAATCCCCTAATACTCCCTGTCTAGTACACATCCCACTGTGCATGAAGCGCTCTAATGACATCTTGTGGCCAAACATATTAATGACTCCACTACTCACTCACAGGCGGTGTTTAACAGACTGTTATGATGATGAACTAAAACCATTTTGTAGACTAAACTTGTATTGAAATCTGAAGTAGATATATTTGATATGTGCAATTTGGACTTTATTTAATCTTTTGTGGAAGCCAAAAATTACACCCTTTATTTCACAAAAAATTCAAAAAGTGTGTTTATAATTGCATTGAATTTCACTTAATTTCACTCTTATCATGTTCGTAGTCATATGATCCTGTGGTCCTGTAGCCTACAGTTAAAGGAGTCCCTCTGAGTCCCGCTGAGCAGTGAGGCAAAAGAAAGTTTCTATGGGATCAGCCAAATGTCACATGGTCGTTGCTTAGCAGCAGTGGAGGATCTAGGGGAACAATACTTAAAGATACAATAGCACTACAAAGATTCTTCTCTTAATGGATAATAAGAGTTCTATGAATTACGGATGCCCACCTTCAGTTATGCCTTCAGTTACTCTGAATCTCCTGGGAGTGGGGTATTTATGTTACTAACTGTGTGAAATTATGTGTCTCCTTATGTAAGATTGTTGGTATATGTTGGTATATGTATCACCTCTGATGGTCTGCGGGTAATAGCATTATAGTATGAATGCTATACTAGATTTCTGCAATACTATATGTTTTGGATAAGAATTGGATTCTGTAAGACAACTGAAGTCTTGGAAAGACAATCAAATAGCCAATGAAAAAATGTCTATGAGTTTATCCACTGGATGTGAGAAAAACTGCGTTACTATGCATATGAATATAGTATATTCATTTTCCTACTTTACTTTGTAGGCACCAGTCTTTGGGAGCTTTTTAAGATGTCATCCATAACTTCCTGTGTCACTGGGGTCCAAATATGAGGTGACACGCAAGCCAAAGAGTCATCTATCAACATGGAAAAAATAGGAAATACACCAATGAAATAAAGTAAAGGTTTATTGAATTTCTTTAATGAGAAATGCCAACAAAATACTTTCAACACTGCAAAGACCAGTTTTCATTATTAGTGCAGTAATTAAGATGTTTCAAACCATCAGAGCTGTGATGAACCTGCCTGGAAGAGGAACAGTACTTTGCACCCATGCACACTGAGGATGGTTTGAGAGGCAAACTTTTCTCCAAGGATCACAGTCGGGCAACAGCAGGAGTTGGTTGCATTGAGGGGTGACCAATGCTGTGTTTGAAATGGTCCCCTAATCACTCAGGAGCTCTATATGATTACAGAGAAATAAAATTTGTAATTCAATAAACAGTTTGATATTGTAACATTACACAGTTTTACACTGACTTTTTACTTATCACTCCTCTTTCATGCACTTCCATTACACAGTTTTTGGATCATCACTCAGTGGCAGTAGTCACATCTTATTACGTGCAGTATGCATTATGAATATTCCATGTATTTGTTGCATTGTGGAACTGTAAGACTGCAATATATATTCTCTGCTGGGTTTCCCAAAAGCATCTTAGCACAAAGATGATTCTTCAGTGGCAGAGCAAACATCACACTGAGCACTCTCTCTACCAGTTAAGATACTCTTAATACTAAGAAGCTTTCAGGAAACTGGACCCTCCACAATAGGTCAAGGCTGTAGCCCAGGTAGAAGAGAGCTTTCTCACGCTGTTATCCAAAGCCTCCATTGAAGTGCTCAGTCCTGCACAAACTTGACAGCTTTAATTATTGATATAAGCAAAGAGACATATTTGAATGTTATGTTAAAAAACATTCAGTTAAGATGTACATTTCATTACAAACTCTGGAGCCACAGCATCATTTTTAAACTGTTTTTTATGCATATGAAGGATTTTGGGTGATTTTGAAGGATACACCAGTCTTCCTCAACTGCATCCAGCTTTGACAGATGTCTTTTTGAAACTAGTACAAAATGTCAAGCTCTCTAAATCTGTTTCAGGACCCATAGAGTGAAAAATAGAATTTCCCTCCCTTTTTTCAAAAAAAAAAGGCTTTGATTTAGTATGTAAACATTGATAACATTTTTAAACATGCCATTCAACCACACTCTAAACAGTCCAATTCTAGAAACTAACCTGCAAAAACGACCTGTCCAGGGTATATACTGCCCTCAGTGACCGCTGGGATAGGCTCCAACACAAAGGAAGACCTTTCCTATAGGTAAGCTAAAGACCTACAGCCACAGTTTCAACTCTTTTGTGATCTTATTGCGTCATAAGTGCCAGCATTGAAGAGAGTGCTTTCATATGAACTGACATGGCTCTAAGATTTAGACACATTAAAAATGAACTGCATTCAAGCAAAAAAAATGAAACAGCTGAAAGTTGGACTGAATAAAACGGGCTTTAAATCTGCCAGTCTTCGGCTATTTAGGCCATGTGGCATGTGTTGAAAATGGTGTGTAACATGATGATTGGGCGTAAGAAAAGGCTGGGCTATTACATGTATGTAGGGTCTAAATCATTTTTCCCATGGATTTCCTTCCCGATTTATATTCTGCCCCCATTTTGTGCCTCAACAAAGCCAGACTGTCGAACAAAGAGTTAATGCTGTTAATACGATTTAATGGTTTATGCGTGTCCAAAGCTGGTCAAAGTTGTGGAAAGTTGAAGCCTAACCGTTTCTAATGCTTTTCCTGGCAGTAGCAGCAGAAGAACAGAGGGAACAGGCAGCGTCCCGGGGGCGGAGGGGAGGCAGAAAGAAAGAAAGAGAGGGAGAAGAAGGGTGAAGAGTGAACGACTGAAACAGCTTAACTTCTTCAGATTTGGAAATGGATACGAAAAGAAATGACACGAGTGGGCTCATTCACAAGGTAGGCCATGCAGACCAGAGCAGCCAGCAAAATCTTTTAGCGTAATATATTCATGTGCAACCACTTCTGAATCCACATTTGAATCATGAACCATTTGTTTCAGTGTAACTCTCCTTCAACATGAGGAAAAGTGGTGAAGCTTAACATTCACTGCTGCTTTTTCAGCAGGATGATGAGAGGAACTTTTTACTATCACCCCATAATAAGGATCCTGATGAAGCAGGTACAAGCTCGATGACCGCTGCCTCTTTTAATTTCATCAACTCGATTATTGGATCCGGGCTTATTGGTAAGATCTGAGCTATTGTTATTAGAATGTATGCATATCTCAACATAATCTGAATTAAACATGAATTTAAAGTGTACTGTAAGCTCGATTCTACAAACTCTTTGACACATACACACCTAAAAAGATGGTTCTTCAAGGGTTATTTAGTAAAGGCAATGGTTCTACTTAGAACCATGAGTTCGAAATAGAACCATTTTGTCCTTAAATATTTCTAGGCATGGCGAAATCGTTCTTTGGATTGATGAAGAATGTTTTGTACATGGTTCTACCATGTTGAAGATGGTTCCACATAGCACCAAGCGTTCTTCTATTGTTATGATGTCAAGCTTATAATAATAGAAGGACCCATTTGGTTTGCATATAGAAGTATTTTCAGAAACATAATATATAGAATCTTATACAACACATTCTCCATCAATCTGAAAAACCTTTAAACCCTGCAAAGAACCATCTAAGCATGAAATGGGTCTTTATAGAACCAAGGAACCCTTTAAGAATCATCTTTTTTAAGTGTGTAGCAACAGTGGAACCCTTTTTGGAGCTGTATAGAGCCACTTTTTAAAGGTTTCTTTAAAGAAGCATACCTAGTTTTCTATCATAGGGAACAATGAATGTAATGTATGTAATATAAAGTAGTTTACTGAAGATTTTTTCTTAGATCCTGCTTATTAATAAGGTGTTTAATAGACACTGACAGTGAGCACTCATGTGCTCAGTATCTCAGTATGCCCCCTGGTGCAGAATCATATGACTGCTAAAAATGTGACTCAGCACAAGACTCTGAGAGTTCAAAAGAGAACTCTTACACATGACTCCAAAGAACAAGTTACTGTAGGTGGTTAACTTGGAACACAGAACAGCACTGATCTCATGTTTGTGAGTATGTGCATGTCCACGTGTGTATGTGCGTGATAAATTTGGCCACATTTTAAATTGGCACTCCTGCAAAGCAGCTACAGTGAACAAAGAACAATGTTTCACAAACCTGAACTTGCTCAACTCACTCCAAATCTGGTTGCCTCCTCAGAAACTTCACAAAATGCTATCACAGCAGTGAAAATGTGACAGTGAATCACCTGAAAACTAGATCTAACACTGGTTATAAAGCATATGAACAAAATCTGGCACTCAAGTACAACAGCCTGGGTCTGATTTTACAAGGCTAGCTGTAATAAATGAAAGAAGCATTGATTGTTTTAATTTTCTGCAATGTGTTCTCTTCAACCAGGCCTGCCGTACTCGATGGCGCAGGCCGGCCTTCCACTGGGACTGCTACTGCTCTTTCTTGTTGCTTACATTACAGGTACTAAGACATTGTTTCAATAACTGCCTTTTTTCAGGCACAGGCTAATACTCAGACATGTGGGACCATGTCATTTGGAATGTCGTTTGTTAAAAAAACATCTTTAGGTTTGAGGATGTCGTATTTCACACTTTAATCAAAGCATCATTTCAAAACCTCAGAAGTAATTTTCTTTTATTTTTTACACCATTTACATTGTGTCAGATTTTGTGATGGATAGGCCAATAGAAATGGTCGAGAATTATGTGGAATAAAATCTCATTTATATTAATGTACATACAAAGTTAAGAACACTTTTTCTTTCTCCAATGAAGTTGCCAGTTCAGAGATATTTACAAAAAAATTCAAAAGAAAATTGCAACCTAAAAAAGATACTTCTTGTGGTTACAAGCATTGGACTGGTTTTATTCAACTTAAATAAATACTTTGGATGAAACACTAGCTTAGTCAAGGTATTTCTTTGAGTTGAATAAAACTGGTTAAGCTGTTTGTTACCACATGAAGTCAATTTTTAGGTTGAACTGAAGAACCATTTTTCACAGTGTAGGTTTGGCTATGTCTTTTTCAACATAACCATTTATACCTAAATATCATCACAAACCTGTAAATGACAGCCTGTCACCCCTCTGCAGACTACTCCATCATCTTGTTGATAAAAGGAGGGAACCTGTCAGGGACACACAGTTATCAGTCATTAGTTCACAGCACGTTTGGCTTTGCTGGATTTCTGATCCTATCAGTCCTTCAGTTCCTGTATCCATTCATTGGTAATTACTACCCTTTCATTTTCATGTGTCTCTATAGTAAAACATATAACATATATACAATATATAGCAAATACAAATGAGTGACTGTCATTCTTTGTCCACAAGAAAAATACATGAAGGTTATGATGTAACATTCTTGTCTTTATTTCATGCAGCTATGATAAGCTACAACATAATCACTGGAGATACTATGACCAAAGTGTTTCAGAGAATACCAGGAGGTATGCTACCATGCACGGAATGCCAGTGTGGTGTTGTCTATAGTCACAGACCTTGCATTCAGAAGTTATTTTATATGTTGTTTGTTGATGCATTCATGTTTCCATGCTCTTGCAGTTGGGCCTGGTCACCTTCTGGCAAATAGACACTTTGTCATCTTGCTCTCCACCATTCTCTTCACAATTCCTCTGTCATTGTACAGAGATGTAGCTAAACTGGGGAAGGTATACTTCTAGTTATACAAAAATTTACGAACATTAATTACTCTGTAAAAATATATCTCTACACCTTCTACACCATTTGAAAACACCAGCTGCTGTTTATATAGTGTGAAGATTTTATTACAAAATAGCAATTACCCAAAATTACTTTAAATCAAATCTCTTCACTGAAAGAAATGGCACTTTGAATTTTTATGATGAAAATGTGGCAAGTAGTGGCTTACGAACAAGTCTTACATCAACACAATTATTAGCAAAACAAGGCAATTTAAATAAAATAATTGTGTTGTTGTAATATATTTTATTTGTGTGCTACATTTTAGTCATTAACCTTTTTTTGTGTTTACATTAATGTACAAGATGTTGCCATTTTTGATTTTTGTTTTGTTCTCCGGATGTTACACATTAATGTGAAACGGAGAATTGGTCAGTCTCTCTATTTCAGGTGTCGCTAGTGTCTATGCTGTTGACTCTGGCCATCGTCATCATGGTAATTGTGAGGGCCGCAACGTTGGGACCGCAAATGTACTAAGCTAAGCTTCACTCTATATCCTCATCAGCACCATCTAACACATGCTGCTAATATGCATGCTTCTCTTTTCTGGTTAGGCTTACTAATTCAAACAAAAGGCCTATTCTTTAAACTACACTGCAGGCTTATTATTGAGTCATTAATCTTAAAGCTTATTGTCAAGCAACTGCTATGAGTTGTTTGGTAAGTACTATAAAACTACTATGTATGTTATTAGAGTGAGTAAAGGAAAGATGGACCTCCTGACAGGTCCTCAGCATTTAAAGGGTTAATACTGTTTTCATGATTGTTTTCAGAATACAGTTCCTACATATGGACACTTACTGCATATCAAACAAATACACATTCAACTTTGGTGTAATGTAGCCATTTTATCTGGGTATAAACATGCATGAATGCATCATGATGCATCAGCCTGAAGGTGGCAGTTCAGCTGCATTTTGAATATTACAGTCGCCTGTTATTGATTCTAATAATGTTCAGGTATGTGTGTATAAAAGTTTTGTTTTTTTGACCAAATATTCAAATGTAAGCTATTTTCAAAGATGAAATAACACACACAAAAAAACTTAGTGCTTAGTCTGTACTCCACTACTGTGTAAGCAGTTCTTCATGTGTATTCTGTGTATTTTTGGTTCGGTAATTATTACATTAATACACAGATATTCAAGTTTCGCCAAAATAATCAAATTCAATCATTCATGGTGACTCATTGAATTGTTTCCTAAATAGTCACAATTGAATTGAATTTTGAGGTCTGAGATATACAGCCATATTTTTTACTCTTGGATTCATGTTGTCAATAGCCCCCCTTCTGAGGACGCATGGGTCTTTGCACGCTGGAATGCAATTCAAGCAGTTGGTGTGATGTCTTTTGGTGAGGTAGCTCTGAATTAATGAATTATAGCTAAACCTTTTTAACAGACTTGTTTTCTACTGTGTATGTCATTTAACACTGGTAAGCTTTTCTCTTCATTGCAGTCTTATTTGAAATGTTCTGTGTTTTCCAGCCTTCATCTGCCACCACAACAGCTTCATTATCTACGAGTCGCTGCAGGAGCCCACTCTGAGGAACTGGTTACGCATCACACACACGTCTGTGGGCTCAGCGGCCCTCATCAGTGCAATATTTGCTGCTGCTGGCTATGCTACTTTTACAGGGTACACACAAGGTAAATCAAGCTATGAGTAGACACATTACTGAGCATACACAGATAAAACGGTAAGACGCATTTCTCATTTCATCATCATAATTTTATAAATGATACTTTTTCCATTAGGGCTGCATGATATGGACATTATGCAATGTTTGAAGTTGTTGGATATTACAACGATGCTTTGAGAAGCAATAAAATATATTTAAAATAGTGTGCCTCTAACTCTTCCTTTTAGCAAATAGCCAAAAAATACAAAAGCAGCATTGTTATTGTGCAGAATAAATATAATGAAGTATTAATAGCTACTTTCATCAGAACTGCGGCACATATTTGTGCACTGTAAGGCTGAATAAGGACACACTGTGTCACTGATGAGGCATTGCTTTTATTAAGCATCAAAAGACGTTTGGCTGCTAATGGCACCCCCTTCTGAAGAATTTGTGGTCCGCATAATGTGAGTGAGTTCCACGAGTCTAAAAACAGTAAGGACCCTCTGATCAGCTTTTTATATTCGTGTTTGCAGTCAGGCTATAAACATGAATAAATATGATGATGCAGATTTGTTGCGACAGTAGCCATAACTGCTTTGTACATTTTACCCTACCACCTGTTTTATACATTTAAAACACTGAGAATGAGATCAGCCATTGCATTTTAAGTGTTTTTACAGGCTAGTAGTTCCGGATAGAGTTGTTTTTGAGCTGTGCACGTGTGTGTTTTGTAACTGGGCTTTTAGCCAAATGGTTAAGTTACTCACTCTCCACATGGGAGAGCATTGTTAAAGCCCAATGCAGAGAAGCACTTGTTGGGTTTCTAACACTACATTCCTATCGTATTATGTCACTTTGGCGCTGTGCATGTGAGGTCTTTTAATCCGTTCTGCTAGCACGATGTGTTTATCGCAGAAACTCATATTGCAATCACAATAACAATATGATTTATTGTGCAGCCCTAGTTTCCATATATAAATGATCTGCTTGCATAATGAATGAGAATATTATGTGTTCTTCTTTCATCCTAGGTGATATATTTGAAAACTACTGCAAGAATGATAACTTGGCCACATTTGGGCGATTCTGCTATGGCCTCAGTATAATCACCACTTTCCCGTTAGAGTGCTTTGTTACGAGAGAGGTATGTTATCTTTTTATTCTGTTGGGGTTAAGTAGCTTTTAGTAATACAGTCTCCTGCACTATTCACTGTAGGTTTATATATTCACTGATTTGTTGTTTTTATGCCACAGATTATCACCTTTGTTCACATATTTGCATAACCCAGAATTTATTATGTGTTATTAGGAACATAAAAGCTCCAAGGAGACCATTGGTCTCTGACCCTCAGATCTCTACAAACCTACATTATTATTTGCCATTTTATAAACACAAGGCATGATGACTACTCACAGATTTAGCTCTGCCTTAATATGCAGTATCTGCATCACTGCCAGAACATGTCTAAATTGTTTCCTCACACAGGCCCTTAGTTTGTGTGGAAAGTGTGAGTTTTTATTTTAGAGTGCATAATTTTTGCTTTAGCTATTAAAAGCACAATTGCATTGTTCCTCATTTATGAAGTTCATCCCGCATTTTGTCTTTTAGGTGGTGTCAAATGTCTTTTTTAATGGACTACTTAGCAACACTGCCCACGTCATGGTTACCTTGGTGATAATATCAGCGGTTACTGTGATTTCCCTCTCTTATGACTGTCTGGGTGTTGTGCTGGAGTTGAATGTAAGTGTTGTACATTATGCAATACATGAATATGAGAATAGTACCTTTATTCAAAACATACATATTAAAAATCCTAAATGTATGTGATGAGACTAATTCTAAATTAATCTAATGTGAAATCCTGTGTTTCATAGTTTCATGATGCGTTTCCAAGATTTTTTTGTTATGTGTAATTTTAGACCATTTCCATTGGTCAGTTTGCTGTGAAATATTCACACACTATGAGGGCAGCTGCTTTTTTAGATGGTCTTAAAAAATAAAAAGCTGGTAAAAAAATTGAGTTACAACATTTTGGATTTTGATAGCAATGATTTGTAGTATTATGATTGACATTTTATTTTGTCATATCTTGTCTGAGGAGTGAAAAAAATAAATACAGCTGTAAATATTATATTCAGCATTTTAACACGAAACATTTGGCCAGAATGAATGTTTCACTGGTACTTATTTGCACTGGCATTTAGTATCTGTGCAGTTATTTGACTTTTCCTAAACAGTGCGTTTCTGTGTTTTGCAGGGTGTTCTGAGTGCCACACCTCTGATCTTCATTATTCCCTCTGCCTGTTTTCTGAAACTCTCCACTGGGCGCTGGTTTCAGAGGAAGAAGCTTATTCCAAGTCTGATTCTCATTGCTGGGGTTTTTGTCATGATCATTGGTTTGGTTATGACAGGACTGTTTCCTCAGGACTGCTCACATGGAGTAGAGATGTTCTACTGTACAAATTTGAGCTCCTCCATTTTTGCTACTACCCCAGCCAGTGCCATGCTGAAGATCACAAATGTTACTCAGAACATCAGCCTTTTCTAAATGAAAACTGGGCTTTGACTTGTCAGTTTGAATATCTTGTTATTTTATGTGATTTTTATGATGTTATTACTCTTCTGTGTGAACATAAAATACAGTATATTAAGAATGTAATAAAATATATGGAATGTAGGTTGTAATTTATTAGCAACATAGTGCAATGTATTCCATTTTCATATGGGTGAAATTACCACACTGACAAGTCTTCTACCATTTCTCACTCTTTAATGGCACTGTTTTCATTCCTTCAACCTTGTGCTGGATATCTATTATAATTACCAAATGCAAAACATTATGCTACTGCTGTGTAAAGTAAGTACAGTAAAACACTCTAACTGTACTGTACCCCATCATATGCTGCGGAGGGCCCAGATGTGCTACGTTTCTGCCACAAGGTGTCGCCACACAGACATGAGTAGAAGGAGTGTTCGTCTATAAAACATCATACTGCCCCAAATCTCTGTCTGCTCAAACCTGCCTGTAAAATACAATCAGAGTATATGGGGTTAACTGATATCAGAGTAACATGACTTTATCACATAACCTCCTACATTCTTTTTTGTTGTTGTTGTTTGTTTGTTTTTGTTTTTGAATCCAAGCTAAATCCAGTCCGATAGAATACTGGCAGTTTGCAGTTCAGTTCAATGTTTCTAGTAGCCCTAATGCAAAAAATGTGTTTCTGAATTTTTTGGCAGCATAACACCCCAGATCCTAAAATATGTTTTGTTCCCTCCTAATAATCCATCAATTGTTCATCTTAATTAATAGTCTAATGATTAAGCAGAATGGACATGATTCCCAGTCATTCCACTCTTGTCATCTTTTCTCTTCCTTTGTCAGCAATAATGTAACACAGTCTTGTCATTCCATGCATACCATTCCCCGTAATCAGCAGGAATGGACCTGTGATCATGGAGACCACTGTAATCCAGTGAGTCTGGCATCCCGGAAACAGCCCTGATCTCATGGATTAGTGGGCAAGAGAAAGCGTTGCCCAAGGCTGGGAACGAGAGAATAGCTTTAATGTTGGTCCAGGTTCAGAAATGCAAGCCGCCAGTGTTCTAACACAAGTGGTATTCTACATGATCAAAGTACCCATACAAAGGGCATTTCTATGCTGCAGCATAAGGCCTTGCATTAGATCAGTGTGTCTTAGGCTGAAAGAATCAGTAGGCCCTAGTCTGATTTTGTTAATACTGGATAAAACAGAGCAAACTAGTATTTAGTGGATATGCAAGACACTAACATAGGGTGCCTTGCTGATTTTGATGGACAACCAGCATTGTTTTCTGTTTTGATAGGATGAATTGAGTGGCTTTAGTGGTGATGAGGTTTTGCTGATTATGGCTTATGCTGACATAGCCTACTTGGGAATCAAATACGTTTTTTCAGGCTACCATCCTGTTCCCCAGCATTTGTATCAGGCCTACTGGAGCCACATGACTTCTTATTTGATGTTCTCATTTGATGGGCATTTCCATAGCCCGTGGCTTATAAAACTGTTCTCTCTTCCTTCCCTCATTTCTCACCGCAAAGTACCATTGTGTTTTAAGCAGGTGATCCGCAAAAGCAAAGAATTAACAAATAAAGCGATTTGAAACAATGGTAATGACGAAGGCAGCACACTGGTGTTTATCAATAGCTGCCCGGTCCCTCCAGGCTCAGCACGTTTTCATGTGATGAAAATAACTGCTTACGTTTACTCTACAGCATCACTGTTGCCCTGGCAACAAGGAGGCCGTTCTCACGGCTGCTGACATTCGTTCGGACCGTACCACCTTACGCGCCTGCGGGGTATCCCGGAGCTTCGCATATTTCAAAAAACAGCCTTTAATGAGCCAGCGTACCACAGAATGTCATCGAATTTATAAAAATAAATTATTTATTGTTCGTTACGTTTTCATTTTGTCCCTGAGCCTCAGCTATTCATCGATACCCAACCGGCGGAACCCCCGTTTGCAACTTACGAGCTCTTCCAGAAAAAAACAGACTCGAGCTGTCAAATGCTTGTTGCTCGGGGGAAGTCGGAGCTGGAAAAAAGTGGCGAATTAGCAGCGAAGAGCGAACTCTCGCTTTAATTTTCTCTTAACCCGATTCGGGCGAAGATCCGTTTTAACAGTTCATCGCGTTCTAGAGCGAATCGTATCGTTTTTAGCGCATGTTTTTGCCTTGACTTTTTCTGCTGTGTCCGCGCTGGGTGGTTGCCGTCTGGGCTTCGTGACTGTCGGTGTGGCTAGCGGCGCTCGGCGGAGGGCAGATTCGTGGCGATGAGGTAAGCAGGTGGAAAACTGCGGCAAGTTGCTGGCGCTGCTAGCTAACTCGCCTCCTCTTCTCTTTTCAAACAGTTCTCTGCCCCAGTGTGTATACAGAAGTATACACAGAAGCCGAGCTTTATGGAGGGAAGGCGGTGTAAAGGTAATATTACGCAACCAGGCTGAAGTGAATGCCGACTGGGCGACATCGAGCTAGCGCCTGTAACGTTAGCTGTCGTGCTAGCTAGGCTACTGTAAGTTAGCTCGAAAACTGTTTTCAACTTGGTTGAGCTGAAGCTGCGTTGAGTGGCTGTGCTAGGTTAGCTAGCGGCAGGCTAACTTACACGAAATGCCGGACAAGTTTTGCACAAAACTAATATAGCCACGTAAAACAAAAATGAAACTCGTTTTAAGACCGTTTTGAAATCTGCCCCGTCACTGTTCTACACTCAAGTTAGCCTACAATTATTAATAGCAACTGTATAATAACTGTATAATAAGTAGTTGTGTGATGTTTACCGCACGCGTTTACTATGAAGTTAGCTAACCTAACTAGATTTTTAAAGATATTTTTTAGGGCTTGATGCATAAAATATCCACTGGCATTATCTTCCAGTGGATATTTCCAGAACTCATGGTATAAAGCTATTTTAATCAACACCTGGTATCATTTATAGGCATAAATATCCGTGTAAACTATACATTTATATTATTTCTTATAGAATGTTATTAGTGTTAATTTTATTTTATTGTGCACACAGACGGAGTTTTCGACAGCACTAGTGTAAGCTCAGGCTGTGTTTTAGTACAAGGTAAACTCAGCTTGCCTAATAAGCTCAGAGCTCCTGAAGCCCGAGCAGGAAGGTCTTTCAGGAAATGTTGGGGCAAAAGGAAGGGTGAGGTTGGGTAAGAGTTCATTGCTTTAGCTTTCGTTTTTGTTTCATAAAAACTCCTGCTGTGGATGGGGCTGAGGTTGTGGTGTAGTGTGGATAATGACAGCCATACTTACCCTTTCACTTTACGAGCAAACAGATTTTACTTACCTTTCTTAGTTTCTGCGTAGTGGAGAAAAAGAGAGAAGAAGCACGCTGTATGGTGGGTAAGCATTTTTCGTTTTTTTGGAGTTTTTAGTTGAGAGAGAGTACGTAAAAGAGAGAAGAATAAGAAAACAAATGCAGGAACACACCTAAGATATACACCTTTTCACGAAGTAGCCACGTTCTGTTCTTCATAGTGTCATGTTTACTCACTGAACACTAATCGGTCATTCATTATAACCCGCTTTATGCCTCGACCTTTGACTCCCAGTATTCCAGTGTTAGTGCTCTTATAGTGTTAGTGACTAGTAACTAGTGTTAGCAACCAGGCACACATTAGCCATATCAGTTTGATCAGCTTCGACAATATTTATGCTATACCTTGAATCGCAGCCATAGTCTGCAAGCCACATCTGAAACAGCATGTTAAACCAGGCTTGTTCTGTTTTCGTCAATGCAGTCCAGTACTGGCCTAATTTAGACATGTCGCCTCTGGCTCACAGCACCTAGTTACAGCTTCATCTCACCACTTTTTCATGTCCACAGAGCCATTCTGATCCTTAATTCATAAGCATGTAATGATTTCAAAATGGTATTGAAAATTAAAAAAAAATGAACGTTTGAAATTTTAAAAAGTATCACTGCTTCTCTCCTCAGTCTCTTCTGATTGTCTCTCATTTGCCATATTTCATGAAAACCAGTGTCACTGATTGAAACTAGGAATCTGGGTGCATGATGTTAGAATATATTGGTTGGGTTGGTGCTTATGGTAATGCACATACGCATGCTGAAATGATGGGGCTTTTTATTTCTTATAAATTCTTGGGGTGGCCATTTTTACACATTATTTTGGTATAAAAAATCAGATCGAATCTTGACCTCATAATTGAAAATCGTATCAAACCTGAAAATATGTGTGATGTGTTAATTCATAATTTCAGCAGTGTGTAACAACCGGAAAAGGAGAATTTTAGTACATATAAAACAGGTCTGGGTACCGTTGAGTAAAATTGGTATGAATTTTAAAGTGTTGTGATGCAATGTGTTACACATTTTTAGCAAAGTACATTTTTGAAGAACTTTTATTTTTGAACAAAATAGTATATTAAATAAACAGCCCACTATGTAGAACATAAATGGCTTATAGAATTGCTCTGAAATCTAGAAAAGAAGCAAATAAATATTGATGCATTGCAGTTCATGTTGATATTTAGAATATAGCTCGAACTGCTAGGGTAAAACAAAATGAAGGGTGATTTAAGCTATGCACTGTATATGATGTAACACTGTATACATTTTATAGGCCAGTATTATTCTGTTCATATAATGTAAGCAAACATGAGTTTTCTTTAGAAACCCAAATAGTAATGTTATTAGAAGGACGATGCATGTGGCATGATGGTCATGAAAAAGGAATCATCACACTTGCCTGTAAAGATTATTTGTTGATAAATAAATAATTGCATGGCCCTGTCTGTCTAAATGGTTGAGAAGGAAAATAATATTATACGTCTTTTCGTATTGGCCATATTCAACATTTTATGTAGGCATCTACTGTACCAATGTCTTATAGAAATGTTTCAATACAAAGAACCTCTCTATCTCATGTCTTTTCCTCAAGGCTATGAATCTCACACATCAGAGCCAATTATCATAGCAAAAACCCTGACACACTCACTGGTTTAGTACTGCAGTCCCAGTGATTCTGACAGAGAGCGGCAGGAAAAACACTGGAACACCCACACAGAGCCAAAGGTCAGAATATTGAGCAGCAGAATGTAAAACAGTATCTCTGCCCACCTGCAGTCGGTCAAATCTGTTTACACACATATACAGTAAATATGCATATTGTATATTTCAGATAATGCTGCTTATTAGCAACTATAGACAAGAAACGCATCAATACGTGATTTGTCTGGAGATGAAAGTTTTTTTTCCTTGAATACAAACATTTAGTGAGCAAATATTATCTGGTCCTTTCGCTTCCCTCTGGGTATATAAGTTATTTTGAGAGAGAAAAACACAATTGCCCCAATTATGTTTTAATCCTTTGGGAGAACAAAGTGAGTTTCATTTAGATGAGTGAGATGATGCCCATCTGAAATAGGGTGATGCATGTGGCCTACTTACACTGCTGCTGTGTTAAACTAGCTACTGTGGCTAGTTCCATGCTAAGCAGTATATTCACATTCTTATCAGGTGAGCAGAGTTACACATGCTGGGTTACAACAGAACTACCAGCGAGGATGTGGAATCATTTTTATCACTTGTTGGTCTGTCAGAGTTACAGCTTTGATGATGACTGTATGCTGTAATTTGGATGTTACCAAAAGAGAGTTGTGCTGTTAGAGAAAGGATGTGGTGCCCTATTCCTACCAAGTCAACTATGATCACTTCACTGATACCATAAATATACTTACATAGGTAACGTGTATGTTCATGTAAGTGTATGTGTGGATATTAATAGTTATAGTATGTTTTCAGTAGTACAGTAAGTAGGCCACATGCATCATCCCACTTAAAATGTGGTGCAGAAGAGCTCAGCTGGTATTAAATTTTCATTAAACACAGGCAGAGACTGGCTCAAGGTCAGTAGCATTAATCAATCAAAGTCAGATTTATCAGTCCAATCAGCAGGAGGCTAGTATATGTGCATGCAGAGACATAGAGAGAGAGAGAGATGAGAGATGCTATGGTGACAGATTGACATTACTGTAGGCTTTGCAGCGTCATAGTCAATAACTACCCTCCTCTCCACCATCAAGCTGCATCAAGAGCATTTAGTGCTTTTGCTTTGCACTCTGGCACATACTGGACTTACAGCCGCTTGACTCTGTAGACTTATATGAAGCACTTCGGTAGTAACATGCTTATATAGCTATAGTTTGAACTATAGCTGGGGGTTATTCACTCTGAATTATCTCTCTTTCCCTTTAGCTGAGACCATTAAGTGTCTGTTGTCCTCAGCACTTCCTGTCTCTGCTGGCAGACAATGTGATTGCAGGTATTAAAGATTTGGCCTGCTCTGCTGTCCTGCCATTATGAGCTCAGATTGCTGAGAACTGCCCAGACTGCACTTTAACACAACATGGTCTCAGCCACCAGGCCAGGTGATCTGGAGTAGGCTTTTAAAGGTTACAGGCCTAGTCACGTAGTAACAAGGCTCTCTCTGTAATTGCTTATTATGTATTCAATGTAAATTCAAGAAGGTTTGATGTAAGAGCAACCTCAATTCTTTGATTTCCTTCCTTTGTATATCATTGCTATTAGATCAAAACCTCATAACTCTCTCTCTCTCTCTCTCTCTCTATATATATATATACATATATATATATATACATATATATATGTATATATATATATGTATTTGTATATATATACACATATATACATATATATATATGTATTTGTTTTACACCTTTTGGATGTACTGGGTGTCCTTAACATAGTGTGAACATTTCATGAAGACAGAACCTGTGGTAATAACCCTGAATGTTTTGGAATAAAATCTTTTTACATTTACACTGCATCATTTTGCAAAAGCGATAAAAACATTAAAGTCTCATAAAGTTAACATTTTGGAGATACAGAGGATCGGAGCTGTTGTTACTTCAGTGACATTGTAAATTTTGGTTTGTGTTGACATTTGGCCATGTCTGACTTGGGTAAGATGTTACATCGGACCCAGTGCTGATCCCCATGTGATGATAGCATAAGTAGGCTCTCATGGTGAACATTCTTTCCAACAATTAAGATGATCTTAACATGGTAATGCTTTTAGGAAGCTGAGCCCAAGTGTGATAGTATCAGTATCAGTAGTATGTATTTGTGTGGTTGTGTGTTTGATTGTTGCTGGGCAGTCTTAGCCTGATTTCTCTGAAGTGAGTGCTTACTCTCTCTGTTCAGCAAATCTCCCTGGAGTATGTGATTTAATAGGATTTCTGCTGCGTCCTGATCTGATACAGGTCTGGCAGACTGCTGTTTGCTCAGAGATCTCAGCCTGGAGAATCAGTAGTGGGGATATTCACCAAACCTTCAGTAATATCGGGGAAAATCATACTAATGTCAGCCAATTGACTTCTCCATGCTCTGCTCACAAACGCATTCTTTCATAGCTATTTTTGTTGTACAAGCCTTACAGAATGTTAAATGTGTTAAATGTTAAAAATCCCAGAGTGATTTATGAATCCATATTGTCTTATTTTATGATATGTGTGTAAGTTTGTACAGATTAGATTGGACAGATTAGATGTGGCTTTTTCTGTTTGTCTTTTTTTGTCATCTAATTCTAGATAGCAAGATGGTAGCTAACATGAGAATAGTGGCAAGTTGGATGTTGTTGTCATTTACAATGAGGATGTGTATATTGTATTCTGACTAATTTTGATATTCGAATATCTGCAAAAAGAGTTAATAATTCTTTTTGCTGCATTTTAAGGTATCACAATACACAAAGGTGGTAAACTGGTGCTAGCAGCTGAGTAAAAAATCAGTAGCACAAAAGAAAGTGTAACTCAGAGGTGTACATTTGAAAACGTCTTTTTCAAAAATAGCCAAAGGGAATGTTTTGATCTCTGTGCTTGAATAACAGAGACTACTTCTTCAGAAGGGCCAGTTAGCTGATGCTACAGCACAGGAGCTAATTGGTGCAGCAGTACAGGTATTGGAATGATATGGAACAGGTTAGTTTGTTGAGGTAACACTGAGAAAAAAGAAATATCTTTTCATTGTTTTTGTTTCTAGCTAACGGCAGCTAGAGTAGTTACTACCTGCTCTGCCTTCTTGATCACATCATTAAGTCAGTTGCTTATTAAAGTGAATATAATGTACTACTAAATACGAACAGTGCCTTTCAGCCCTGCTAAAAGTTACCAGTATTTCACTGAATTGTTGGCCTGTGTCCTGACATACTGGACCGGTTAACTGAGTAACTACTCAAGTAACTTGTGCACAGTCCTAGTTTACAACTTGCCTAGTTTCAGTTAGCTACATCAACACTGTCCGGCTCATTAGAGCAGCATTTTAAACTGTGAAGTCATTATTGTGTAGTGAGTCTAAACAAACGTTGTAGCAGTCAAATATGAATAGTTTAGGTGCATGACAAAAACTGAGCTGCAAATTTATCATTAGGCTGTATAGGGTTTTTTCTAAGGGTGTATAACGCTTGTCCAGCCATGCCACATTTGTTATGAAAAAGTCTATTTGTGGCAGAGCATGGAATTAGGTGTGCTTGACCTTC